AGATGTCTCGGCAAATTAACATAAGAATAGTTGGGAAATTATATGCAAAAATTGCTTATAAATATTTAGATGCAATTTGACAAATGTCGCGCCGTTATAAGCTTTAGCTTTTGTCCAAAGGAACATATAGAAAACACTAAACATTGTATTGTCTCAATTATTACTTATCAAATATGTTGTTGTTTCAGTTTAAGCTCGTTTTTTTTTTTAATTTTATATACAGTGAGCGGTAAAAGTATGGAAGAAATTCATTGAAAAATTCGGCTTTTTTGCTGAAAAAAATTATTTAACAGGTCGATTTTTTGAAAAATTTTCTTATTTTCGGCCATTTTTGTAGAATCCATTATTTTAAATTGTTCCCCCTTCTTTTTTTGTTCTTTTGTCTGTCACTGTAGATTGGGTAACCTATATTTCTAACCCCTAGCGATTCTTAGTTAGTTTACCAAAATGCCAAAAGTGATAAAAAATTTTACTCCATGAATTACAATTTTTTATAAATAAGATTTTTTTTTTGTTAAGAGCAGGGCTGTGTTTAAATTACAATAAAAAATATTTCTAAAAAGTGTACAGATCAGTGTGTGGTACAAATGTGTTCCTCATGGTTTAAACATTGTCACTTTAATGCGTTTTAATTTTAATTCTGAAAACAAACAGTAAAATGGCCAGTGTCCAATTACTGGTTGGTAAAAAATGTAAATTTCTATTATTGGACACATGTCCAATATCATACTCTATTTGTATCCCGGACATTTACCAGACAATTCTTATGTAAAATTGTCCCCTGAATCCGAAAAGACCGTCAAAAACTATAAAAGTTAAGAAGTTTGTGAGATATAGTCAATTCCATATTATATGTAAAATTGATTATATTTCAAAAACTGTTCTACTTTTATAACTTTTGACCACATTTTTCAGCGAATAAATATTTCATAAATGTCCTGGATACAAATTGCTGTTGACGATAATTATTAGTGGCTGCTTTTTCGATATGACATTTATGACTAATTCATTTTTAGAGAGTAAGTAATATAGTGATTTCTTTGTCACAGGACATCTTGCAGAATAACAATGATTTAAATATAGTGCATGATAGAGAACATAACAGCCAAATTAATAAATTCGGAAAATACTTTTAACATACCACCCGAAAAAATATTAGATATATATAAATCATCCTGTTCCGGCCTAAACATTATAAATGCCACACTTAATGATATTTGCAACAAACTATTTCAGAAGGAATTAGTAGTTACCTTCAGAATCCAGAAAAGGGGTGAGGAATCTGAGAAAGAAATATATGAATTATATGATATTTACAAAAACTAAATAAAAAATTACCTAATATAGCAATTTATCTTCAAAAAACAATTTATTTTATTTGATGTAAAGTTTATATAAAATTTGTATGTCCAATAAATATGGTCTATGTGTCCAATTACTATATAAAATGTCCAACTACTACCTATACTTTTTTGCATGTTTTTATAAAACTAATATTAAAAATTCAAATATTCTTATTTTTAAGTAAACGTAAATAAAGTTTAAACAAACAAACTATCCTTTTTATATATTTATAAGAAAAAAACTAAAATCTTTAAAACAACGGCATATATAAATTTTAAATAAATAAATATTCCTTAAGTATCCATGTATTATAATATAATATTATTGTACCAAGGATACAAAAAAGCGAAATATCTAGCCTTAGTGTCTTTATGTTTTTTGTACCGAGGTATCCGAAAATTTTGGATGTTTAAAAAAACTTTGATTTTGAAAATGCTACTGATTTTTTATGCTATTGAATATAAAAATCAAAAATTATTTTTTAAGTGATACCTTGTAATAAAACTTAATAAAAATTTTAAAGAAGATGTCATGCTACATCATGTGGCCCACATAGGCAGACGGACAAATAGCTTTTAAATTTTGGGTAAGTACACAGAGAAAAAAGATTATTTGAATTAAATAAAATTTATTTATATCAAATAAATTATTTATTTCGATATACCCAAATAAATGTTCTTTTGAATGTAAAAAAATATTTATTTGTTTTAATTTATTTAATTTAAAATTAATTTATTCAACGCAAACAAATATTATTAGTTTGTATGAAATAAAACCAAGTAACAAACATGTATTGTTTTAAATTAAAAAAATGTTTTTATTTACGTAAAACAGATAATTTATTTCATTTAAAATTAATTTATTTAACTTAAATACCTATAATATTTGTGTTAAAAACAATTTATAAATAATTTATTTGGATTAAGAGATATTTTTTTTTTAAATTAATAAATTTTAATTTAAATTTAAGAAGAATTAATTAATTTAATTTATATTTATTTATTTGAATTAAATAATTATTATATTTGAATTAATAAAAATTATTTATTCAGATTAAAAGATATATTTTTTTAATTAATAATGTTTTTTTTTCATCTAATCTAGTAATTAATATATATTGGTATATTGGGGAGTAAAAATAAATTAAATTTTTTATGAATAAACACTAATCTTTATTGCATAAAAGTCTTATAAATACATATAGGAAACCCTAAAATATAGATACAAATACTTCACTAACCTAAAAAATACTTATGTTAATTTTAACTTAATGTTAATGTGTGTTGCATAAATCCACCAGGGTCCGCAAATAATAATGATAAATTCCAAGTAAATATTTAAATTACTTACCTTTAAAAACAGGAATAAATTTCTCAAGACCCCATTCCTTTAAAAGGTCCTCCATAGTATAAAATAATATAAAATTATTTATTATTTTATTATAATGCCACACAACACTTCTCATCAACACCCTGCTCTAAATTGGAGTCTCTAAAATCACGTACATACAAAATGGAAAGCCCATTGGGTGTCTGCAGTCGCCTGATTTACAGCAACCAATAGGATGCAAGTCATGCTACTTCGACGTGAGCAAAAAAGTTTAAATAAACCTCTGCTATAAATCAAATTACATTTTTTTGTATTTAAATAATAATTGGTTTAAATTATATAATAATTTGTTTATATTAAATAATTAATTTTTTTGAATTAAATCAAAATTATATTTTAAAATTAAACCATGTTTTTAAAAAAATAATATTTGTTGTTTAATTTAAACTTTTTAATTTTTTAAAACAAGTAAATTGTTTTTATAATTTAAGAAAGTCAACTTTTATTTAAACAGAATAAGTGTAATTTTGAAATAAAAGTCAGGTACTTTGTTTTAAAGATATATTTTAATAAATTTGCTTTTTCCTTTTAAATAAAGACAATTATTCTTTTTAAAGAAATGTTTTTGAATTAAATTTATATTTTTTTAAATGTAATAAATAAAATTAAACAAACATTCTTGTTTGAATTAAAACATCTTTTTTCTCTGTGTAGTTCGATAAAAAATACCATTCTACGATGCCCTAAAGGTTTTAACCAATTAGGATTTATTAAAAAACGATTTATTTTATAAATACGTTAATTAAACGTTCTTTTAATTGTGCAGCTTTAGGGCGATTAAAAGTAAACAAAATAAGATAAAACAAATTTTAATGAATGAGTTCTTAGATACTTGTTAATTGACAAACTAAAATAAAAATAAATTTATCATTAAAAGCTTTAAAAACAATAAAAATTTCGAAATTTTAAGACAATTCGTTAAATTGTTAGAGAATAAAATCATTTTTAGCTTACTCTGTATAATTAACATTTTTTAATTTTTTTTTGGGACCATTTAAAGTTGATTTTACATACATGGTGATTCTACAAACTAAAAATATATTTTTTTGAAAAACTGAGATAATTTTGTTTCTTTAGGACAAGAATAAATAAATGAATAGTATACAATTATTTAAAAAATGGGGGGTTTAATTTGAATTATCTTATGTTACCACAATTATCCCTTATTCCCATTACCTGTTATAAAAAAATTATGAAATAATAGCCCACTTACTTTATATAAAAGGGTTAAATAAGTCTTTCAAAAGAAGCTTATTTCATAATGAGCTTATGTCGTGTCGAGAATAATCACATTAGGAGTACAAAAGATAAGATTAATAATGAAGATAAAGTAACTTAATTTAAATATAGTTTAAATTTTATTAATAAATTTGATAAGAATATAGAAAGTGCTAGAATAAACTTGTATCACAGTAAATAAATGTCAAAAGTTTAGATAAAAAGGTCTTTCAACAAGTGCGTTGTGATTACATTTGGTTTAAATGTTTTCCGGAATGCAAATGTTTAGATTCCACCAATTAATTTTTATTTTACATTACGATGATGGATCTTGAGTGAACAAAGAATTCCCATGGTCTATTTTTAAATCTTATGCAATTTGTCAGTTATAGTCTTATTGCATTTACGAGGTGTGTTCAAAAAGTATAAGGAACAAAAAAGGCACACGGGGTCATGTCTGGCGCATATGGAGGCTGGGCATCACTACGGTGTTGTTTTGCCACAGGTTGCCAACAACTTATCAAGGGTAATTTTGGTGTACCGATTCTAAAAATTATAAAATTTGTATCAAATACTTTACTGTTGTAGATTCATTACATTTGTCCATAATTGTAGATTGTTATTAATGCGTAAACAAATTAAATTATGCATGTTATTATTGTAGCTGCGGATTGGCATTTGTTGTGTTATGTAAAATTAATCAGATATTGATTTGTAAAATAATACATAAATTAGATAAAGCTGCTTGGTAGGTATCTGCTTTCATTAAATCATATTGCATTTGTGTATGGAAATAACCTCGACTTTAACAATTATTTATATACTTATCGACAAATAAAAAACAAAATTGTCTGCTATACAGTATTACAAAATGATTTAAAAATAGATTAAGACAATCACTGTCAAGAACCTAATTTATAGCCTAGATATATTCTTATTTATCCACAGTGATTCATGTAAATGTAAATTTAATTAGTCATATACAGGGTGGTATTTTAAGAAATACAATTTGAAAAATTCAACAACAAAATGATTTTTAACTTTCTTAGGATGATGAAGAAGATTATGAGGATGAAGATTTGGAATCGGACCTTTTCAACGAAAAAGACGAATATTCCGGTTATCAAGACGAAGAGCCCACTGAAAAGCCAGTACCAGCACCCAAATCTTTTTCAGAACACAAATGGAACACACTGGGAACCAGAGAAAAAGTGACTGAAACTCGAAGACTTCATCTCAATATTAAACCAACAAAAGAACGTAAGTAACAGCGTTATTATTACTTTTTAGTTTATCTTTAATTTTTGCCATTCCAATAAAATATTACGAAAACATATGTTTAGAAATTAAAACTTTAATAAAACCGAATAATTTCATAGTCAAAAAATATTTTAAATATAAAATACAACTGTAAACTTTAAGCTTAAAAATATTGATTTTTTTAAAATTATAGTTCAAATATAATATTATGGGTGATTTTACAAAGGTTGGACAACTTGTCATCAGTCAATAGAGTAGATATTTTAATATTTTTTGTAAATATTTCAGTATATTATAAAAGATCCAGGTTTTTTAAACTTGTCCACCCAATTTTAATGTATTTTTTCAAAAGCACGTTTGTAGAAAAACATAATAAATATTCAAAACATCAGTACCTTGGCGTGTCACAACTCCTGAATCAAATATTTGAGTGATTTTATTTTAAAATATATTCAATTTATCTTAAATTTTTCAATTTCACTACAAACTATAAAGCATTAAATAATGTATTTTTCGTATTTTATCATAGATTCGAATAATAGCAATTTTTAAAAAATTGATAATCTTTGTACTCACTTTTACCCATCAGTTCTGTGTCCAATGTTAAAATTCAAAATTTTTGCGAAATATTGAAGTTTAAACGTCAAGTCCTCGTTTTAACTCAAGTGTTGGTAAAAAATTACCTACAGAGCCCGCCCTTTGTACGACAGTCATCTTGAAAACAATTCAAGCGGCGAAGTTGTGGTGAATGCACGTATAGTGCGAGTCAAAATTTCAGTACTGTGGTGAGTAGTTATTTTCTTACGTATATATATTTCATTGTAATTTATATAAGGCTATATGTGATTTGTTAATAACTACTTATCCACTAATAAAAAAAATCAGTAAAATACTTAATTCCGAATTATAATCTCAAATTTGTATCCCATTCATCAGTGCCGTGTCGTCAGTTCCATGTCCGATGTTTTGGTTATCTTTTTTTCGCAAACTTCATGTTAAATGCTGCTTGCGCAGAACTTGTTTATTTAATGTTATTACTCATATAAATTTGGTGTGGGTCCCATATTTAATAATTGAGATATCGGTAGGTATACCCAAAATCCACCAGCCGCCACTGATGTGTGGTTTTATTTGATTTTAAGATATTTAATGTATAATATGCTCAAAGTTGCAATAGATCTTATATTTTCCAATAAATTATGTATTTAATTAGTACCCTGGTATACTCGTCACTTCCCTTGCATTCAAATTTAGAAAACCCATATATTTCAGAAACTGTTTGAAAAAGAGACTGGCCCGGTCTGGAACCGTATATTTATATAAATATAAATATAATATTATATTATCTTTGTTCTCAACAAAATACTGTTTAATTTTTCTGAAAATATATAAACAAAATGAGGTCAAAACTTGCCCAACTTTTGTAGAATCATCCTTATACAAATTTATCGGTTTAAATTTGTAAATTTTTTAATAAAAAAATTCTCACATTACATTTAAATGTAAGTTTTAAATTTTAAAGTGATAGTTTTTGGATTAAAAATGTATCAACTATCATTTAAATGACTGTTAAAAAATTTAAACCAATAACTTTTATTTTTAACAAATTTAAATTGATATACCTATTTTAAAAAAAATAAAACTTACATTAAATTTTTAATGTAATGTGAGAAATTTTGTATTACAAATTTTATTTAAATGACAAATTTAAACCAATAATTTTGTAGAATAAAATATTAAAACTACAATATTTAAAAACCAATATTTTAAATTTAAACTTTTACATTTGCATTTTATCTTTAAAATATTTTTTGATTCACAATTGTTTTGGTTTTTAAAATATTTAACTTTTAAACTATTTTATGGCGCGCCGTTTGATTTTTTATTCAGGAATTATTTATTTCTCCATTGAATTTCACATATCTCTAAATCAATTTCAGATATGTAAAATTAATTTCAGATATCTCTAAATCAATTTCAGATATGTGAAATTAATTTCAGATATGTAAAATTAATTTCAGATATCTCTAAATCAATTTCAGAAATCCCAAATTAAAGTTGCAAATGTGATATTTATTTATAAATAAAAGATACCAAGTCAGAAATTTAATTCATTGCATTAAACATATCATAGAACAAATTAAAAAATGCGGTAAATTTTAATGTTAAAGTGATATTTTTAATTCCTTGAATAAAAAATATCATGGGACAAATTTAGAATTCGAATTAGCAACATCATAGGAGAAATTTATAATTTAAATTAAAAATATTATGGTAAAAATTCTTAAACAGATTAAAAAAATATGAGAGAAATGTATAATTCGAATTAAAAATATCATAAGAGAAATTTTTAAATGAATTAAAAATATCATAGGAGAAATATTTAATTCGAATTAAAAATATCATAGGAGAAATGTATTATTCAAATTAAAAATATCATAGGAGAAATTTTTAAATGAATAAATAATGTCATAGCAGATATTTTTAATTCGAATTAAAAATATCATAGTAGAAATTTATAATTCAAATTAAAAATATCAAATGAGATATTTTTAATTCGAATTAAAAATGTCATAGGAGATATTTGTAATTCTATTTAAAAATATCATGGGAGAAATTTTGAAATGAATTAAAATTATCATAGGAGAAATTAATAATTCGAATTAAAAATATCATAGGGGAAATGTATAATTCGAATTAAAAATATCATAGAAGATAATAATTATTTAATTACTTAATGAAATAAAGCATATTTTTAAGTAATGTCATATTTTCATTCTTACTGAACTAAAAACGCACTATATGCGGTTTTAGTGCATTCGAACTACAGGTGCCGCTAACTGGCAACAGTTGAGCTTCAAATATAAACAAACTCCTGCTATAAACTTATTAATAGGTACCGTAAATACGGGTGACTTTGCACCCCGCGGGTGACTTTAACCCATTTATGAAAAATCTTTTCGCGCTCGATAAAATTAACATTTATAATTTGTTGGTCTAAACCTGTCAATTGAGCGATTCTATTGAGTTTATATTACAGGAAAATCAGTATTTTAAAGAAAGAAATGGGATTTATTACACTTTAAAATTGTAAATATCGTATCAGTGCAAAACTCTTAGAAATACACGCGTTACAATTTCTATATTATGCGCAATCCATTGGAATGATTATCCTTGGTTAACTACAGGTCGATTTTTTATTTTTTTTATTGGTAATCCCTTGCAATAGATATATGTCGCTGCTAACACGTGTCTAATAAAAATAAAATATAATATTACATTCATTTTGTACTGAAAAAACACTGTGAGACAAAGTAACCCGCAACCAGGGGGTAACTTTGCACACCCAGTTTTTAATGTTTATTTTTGAAACTCAGCTCTATGTAATATTATAACATAGTTATTATGAAAGATCAACTCAAGACTCAAATTTTGGTATACAAAATTTAATGTTTATGACTGTTAAAACCACAAAAATTTTAAGCTGAAGTTTGAAAGTGAGCCAAAGCCACCCGTGTTTACGGTACATACATAGATACCTATTAACCTATCTTATTATAACACATTAGCATTATTAGTTCATTAATTTTAATTATAAATATTTTTGTAACCGGTAGTTCAAATATCTTTACCAGTTTGTAAAAACGCGGGAAAAAATTTATTCATCTGTCAAAAATTAAATGTAGTTAATTTTCACAAGATGCTAAATATATTTGAACTACCGGTTAAAAAAATATGTATAATTAAGATAAATGCATTAATAAAGTTAATGTGTTATAATAACGCTAATAACAAGAAACAGTTATTAATAAATTTATTACAGGACTGCGCTCATTGATATCGGAAGCTTAAAGCCTGATTTAAATATTGCCTTCCTTCCTTCCTCCCTTCCTTCCGTAAAAGATGAACAATACAAAAACCGTTGTGATGTTTATAAATTAAGGTACGGAATCTATAAATAGTACTACAGTTTTCGTATTGTTCATATTTTACGGGAGGAAGGAAGGAAGGCAATATTTAAATCTGCCTTAAAGCCTTCCTTCCCTCGTTCCTCCCGTAAAAGACGAACAATACGAAACCCTGTTAATAGATTAGGGTACGGAAATCTATAAACAGCACTACGGTTTTCGTATTGATTATCTTTTACGAAAGGAAGGAAAAATGGCAATCTATAAATGAGGCTTAACAGTTGCAAGTAGTTCTAATGAACTAAACCGCATATAGTGCGTTTTTTACAACCCAGTTCAATGAAAAATTTGACATTGAATTAAAAATATGTTTTATTTGTCATTTTATAATAATTAATCTTATTAAAAATATCTTCTATGATATTTTTAATTCGAATTATACATTTCTCCTATGATATTTTTAATTCGAATTATTAATTTCTCCTATGATAATTTTAATTCATTTTAAAATTTCTCCCATGATATTTTTAAATAGAATTACAAATATCTCCTATGATATTTTTAATTCGAATTAAAAATATCTCATTTGATATTTTTAATTTGAATTATAAATTTCTCCTATGATATTTTTAATTCGAATTAAAAATATCTGCTATGATATTTTTTATTCATTTAAAAAATTCTCCTATGATATTTTTAATTTGAATAATACATTTCTCCTATGATATTTTTAAATCGAATTAAATATATCTCCTATGATATTTTTAATTCATTTAAAAATTTCTGCCACGATATTTAATTCGAATTATAAATTTCTCCTATGATATTTTTAATTCATTTAAAAATTTCTGCCATGATATTTCTAATTCGAATTATAAATTTCTCTTATGGAATTGTTAATTCAATTATAAATTTGTCCTATGATATTTGTTATTCAACGAATTAAAAATATCACTTTAACATTTCGATTTATTAATTTGTCCTATGATATTTTTAATGCAATAAATTAAAGTTTTCATTTGATATTTTTAAATATTTTAGAAATATGTGAAATTCAATGGAGAAATAAATAATTCCTGAATAAAAAATCAAACGGCGCGCCATACTATTTTGATAAAAAATGTTTTATGTGTTTTTATTTTAAATGTTTAAATACTAAAAAATTTAACTTTACCAATGTAATCTAAATAATTTTATAAAATAGTTATTTAAGAGTTAAAAAACTCTGCCCAAATAAATTATTACTTAAGAAACTATTTTTATTAAAAAAATTAATTGGAAATATTATTGTTTAATACAGAACTGAGTAAATTTTATCTTTCAATACATGATAGTTAAAAATATTTTAAGTTTATAAATGTTAACCTAAAATTTTAGTTGGGAAAATTTTAAATAATAAAATTATTTAATAAATGTTAAAACGGCGTGCCATACGTAGCAAACCACAAATATTATAATAAGAAAACTGCTTATTTCACCTCTGTATTTTTTTTTCAGAACTCGAAGTCCAGCAGGCTAGGGACCACTACATACGGGTGCACAGGGACGGACTGTGCAAAAATCCCATGCCCCGCGTCATCTACGTTCAAAACGAGTACCCGAACCCCAACGTGAAATACGTGCCGCACTGCACTGTGCTGCACAGGTGCACCGAAGATACAGGGTGTTGCAGCCACGGCGGCTACAAGTGCCAGTACCAGAGTCGCGAACCGGTGCTTCTTTATTTTTACGTAAGTAAATTGGTTTATAGTACTTAAGTATTATTAATTAGTGGTATTTCATTTCCCAAGCAGCATTTTAAGTAAAAGCGTAGAGCTTTGAGACAATATTACTTAATTTAAGTAAATATTTTGTTAAACTAACCTTAAAAATTCACTTTGAAGTAAAACTTTTTATATAGTTATTTAAGTTTTATTTATGTTATTTTCACCTATTTAAATAACCTTATGTTTCAACATTTTAAAGTATTATGTGGGTCGTAATTTTTACGAAAGAGAATTACTTATAAGTGTATTTTACCTAAAGGAAAATTTAACGGTAATTTTAACGTCAGGATATTTACTTAATGGTAAATGTTACTTAAAAGTCATAATTTTACGATATTAAGACCACTTTATAAGCGTAAATAATTCCTATTCGCCTGGTAGTTTTTAGGGTTATTAGTGGTAATAAATACTATTAATATTGACTAAACAAGGAAAAATAAGCTTAAAGTGAAAATAAAAACTATAAGAGAAAATTTTTTTTAGGTCGTCATAATGAGTTTTTTAAGATGGCATCCCTTACTTATCTAAACATTTATATAATATTTTTTCATAAATATTATTCTAAAAAGATTTTATAAAATTTTGTAGATTTTAAGTTTTGTTTAATTTTTACCCAAGCAATAATTTTTCTTAAAACCGCAAGATATTTAGAGGGCATATAATTTTTTATCAATAAAATGTGCGTTTGAGTTTTAATGCAAAATATTATTAGTTTTGACAATTTAAGTTATATTTTTTAATTTTATCTACTCTAGGGTGGCCTGTATTACTTTGTAAGTACCATTTTGTAAAATATAAATTAAAAGAACGAAGAAATTACGAATGTCAATGTTTACATCAAATAACATAAATTGTTAGATAAATTGCTGTTTTAGGCTACTAATCCCTTGGTCTGACTTCTGAAAAAGTTTGTTGCAAATATCATTAAGGGTGGTATCTCTAGTTTGTAAAGCATTTATAATGTTTAGGCCGGAACAGAATGATTTATATAAATCTAATATTTTTTCGGGTTTTTGTTGCCATTAGTTTTGTATGTTCTCTATCATGCACTGTATTTAAATCAATGTTATTCTGCAAGATGTCCTGTGTCGAAGAAATCACTATATTACTTACTCTCTAAAAATGAATTAGTCAAAAATGTCATAGCGAAAATGCAGCCGCTAATAATTCTCGTCAAAAGCAATTTGTATTTAGTACATTTAGCATTTAATTCCTATGAAATAATATTCGCTCTCCGAAAATGTCGTCAAAAGTTATAAAAGTACAACAGTTTTTGAAATACAATCAATTTTACATATAATATGGAATTGACTATATCTCAAAAACTGCTTAACTTTTATAATTTTTGACGGTGTTTTCGGATTCAGGGGACAATTTTTCATAAGAATTGGCTGGTAAATGTCCGGGATACAAATAGAGTATGATATTGGACATATGTCCAATAATAGAAATTTACATTTTTGTATACAGCGTCATCTAATGATTTGACTTTAAAGTAACTATTTATAGAACTCTTGTTTTTACAGTATTAATGTTAATTGTCCAATAACTGTTTTGGTGAAAAACATTTGAAAAATAGTCATTTTAAATGACACCCCAGTACTTCTACTTTATACTTTTTTTTAAATTTGGCTAAAATGGTGTATTTTCAGGTCATAGTGCAGTGTAAACACTAAGTCACTTAAGATAAATTTTTAGTAGGAGTTTTAGTTATTGTTTACCCTCCCACGCGCACTAAAATCGGCTTTGTTTGTAGGGTAATAAAACCCTTTAATTTTAAAGCCGCTTTAGATTAGTTTATAGTAATTCGTTATGCATTTTTCTTCGTCCCAGTCGACATGCGTTAAGGTGTAAACTGTACTTAAAAACCTGTTAATTGGCTTTTAGACTTGAATCGCTGTAATTTGTCTTCATCAGTTTCGTAATAAATCATCTGAATGTTTTTTAAACGGTCTTCTGGGATATTAACAGAAAAATATTAGTTTTTGAGGTGTTTGGTTCAAATTAAAATACACACAACCAATCTTATATGGAATCAACCGGTAATTATGAGAAACAGTATTTTACTTAAAAAAAATTAATTGAAAATAGAAAGCACCTTATCCTAACCAATTTTATTTAAAAAAAAATATATAAAACATTTTAAAACAAATTTTGTATTAAACAAATAACAAGAAATGTGAACTCACTTTTTAAACAACAAGTCTGCTTCGTTTATAGAATAGACCTTAAATATTTCTTTTAGAAATTTTTAATTTTCTTAGTGATCTTTTTGATATTTTTATCATGCCAGATTTTACCACACTTCACTCACATAAGTGAAATCAATAAAATTATAACACAGACTGTGGATTATAAAGTTATGTTCACCAAGGAGAGCCCTGGCCCTTTCCCCTCTTTTTAAGAGAAATAAAAATTTTATTATCATTGCAAAACAATAGTAAATATTAAAAAAGTCTTTTTATAGCAATAAAATATTTTTGTTATTGTTCTTAACGTAAGCTATTACCAAAGATTTTCTAACTGAAATCATTTAAAAAAAGTAGTTAAATATAGGTTGCTTTACGGCCCAGAAGAGAAAGTATTCCTAGCGGATAATAATCTTCGCTTTGAAAAGAATTTATATAAAAGAAATTAAAATTTTTTGTGAACGTAAATGTTGTCCAATGGTGAATAATGTGAAAATAATGTGTGATGTAATATTTATAAAACCAAATTCGTTACTTTTTTACTCCAAAAATGTCCATAAGGCGATGTCAAACTGGCATGAGACACCAACCTAACAAAAAAAGTCCAGATAAAAAAAAGTGAACTGTAAAGTACCTATTTCTTATTGCCATGACAATATGATAACAACTATTACTTTCTTGGATAAACATTCTTCATTATAGTAAATGAGAATTTTATTAACAGTAAAAAAAGTTTATTCTGTAAATAAAAATATTCTCATTACTTTGACAAATCGTAGGTTTTTGTCCCAATAAGACAATGAAAATTTAATAATAATAATAATATTAATTTCCAAAAGCGACAATTCACAAAATTGTATAGGAAAACGTCTAAAATATAATATAAAAAACATATAGAATTGTAAACATTTACATATTGTTAAAAAAACATATATTAGCATAACAGGATAAAATTGTAGTTATTGTTCAAAATATTCTTCAATAGAATAAAAACTTCTTTCTTTTAGATACGAGGATACAGCATTTTTAAATTTACGAAAGTTATTTAATTTTATAATATTACTAGGTAACTTCTTATACAATTTTATCGCTGTTATTATTGGGCCTTTGTATACTAATAAAAAAAGGTACATTTTTTTATAGCCATTACAATTTTAAATTTTAGTTAAATAATATTATTTTATTAATCGCTTACAAAATTAGTTTCATTATTAGTGCATGTACAATTTTCTGAGTGTTGAGGCTAAAGGTGGAAACACTGATTATTAAATTAACATAAACCTATTATTCTCAGAGAAATTCGCATTTTTTTGTAATCTTTTCTCTAGAAAATTTGTTTAAATAAATTTTTCTTTATTTTTGTAAAAAAATTGGTTCAGATAAAGTGCTTTTTATTTCCAAATTAGTGGAATAATGTTTCTCGTAATTACTGGGTGATTCCATATAAATTTGGTTGTGTGCAGGTATGTGTGGTGCAAAAAATAACACAAAAATTCACATCCACTCGTCTTCTGCCAAACTTCGCAAAAACATCTCAAAACTGTTTTATGCCTCGTAAATCTTGAAGGTATCTTATTTCCTTCCCCTTTATGATTGTCGGTGCTTCATAAATCGCAAGTTTGTTTTGGCCGCTGCCACCAGTGCCCTACTTTTTGCGTAACGACTTTGTTTTCCTGCCGCCTAAAAAAATATTCGATTCCCCACTAAAAGTGACTTTATTGATCTTTACGATCAATAAAAGAGATGCGCTCTAATAAATTTACAAAGCCGGCTACGAAAACCTATTTATTTTAATATTGTGACATTTCATTAGAATAAGTAAGTTTGGATTATTGCCATGATGAAGCATAACATCTTTTACATTTTAGACTAAGGGCCTGGAAATAAACTATTGCAGTTTAAAAAATGTAAAAAGTATATTTTACAATGCATTATATGGGTGATTCTACAAAAGTTGGGCATCTTTTGACCTCATTTTGTTTAGTCTTCGGAAAAATATAAACAACATAGATAATATAATAAATATACTGTTCCAGACCGGGCCAGTCACTTTTTCAAAAAGTTTCTGAATATCTGTGTTTTCTAAATTTGAATGCAGGGAAGTGATGAGTATACCAGGGTACTAATTAAATACATAATTCATTGTAAAATATAAGATTTATTGCAACTTTGAGCATATTATACATTAAAAATCTTAAAATCAAATAATACCACACATCAGTGGCGGCTGGTGGATTTTGGGTATACCGATATCTCAATTATTAGATATTGGACCCACACTAAATTTATATGAGTTTATAATGACATTAAATAAACAAGTTCTGCGCAAGCAGAATTTAAATTAAAGTTTGCAAAAAAAGTTAACCGAAACATCGAACATGGAACAGACTACACGGTACTGATGAATGGGATACAAATTTGAGATTATAATTCGGAATTAAGTATTTTTCTGATATTTTTTATTAGTGGTTGCTACTTATCAACAAATCACATATAGCCTTATATAAATTATAATGAAATATATATACGTAAGAAAATAACTACTCACCACAGTACTGAAATTTTGACTGGAACTATACGTGCATTCACCACAACTTCGCCGCTTGCATTGTTTTCAAGATGACTGTCGTGCAAAGGGCGGGCTCTGTAGGTAATTTTTTACCAACACTTGAGTTAAAATGAGGACTTGACGTTTAAACTTCAATATTTCGCAGGAATTTTGAATTTTAACATTGGACACAGAACTGACGGGTAAAAGTGAGTACAAAGATTATCAATTTTTAAAAAATTGCTATTATTCGAAACTATGATAAAATATGAAAAATACATTATTTAATGTTTTATAGTTTGTAGTGAAATTGAAAAATTTAAGATAAATTGAGTATATTTTAAAATAAAATCACTCAAATATTTGATTCAGGAGTTGTGACACGCCAAGGTACTGATGTTTTGAATATTTATTATGTTTTTATACAAAGGTGCTTTCTAAAAAATACATTAAAATTGGGTGGACAAGTTAAAAAACCTGGATCTTTTGTAATTTACTAAAATATTTACAAAAAATATTAAAATACCTACTCTATTGATGACATCAAGTTGTCCAACTTTTGTAGAATCACCCATATATTTTTTAATAGGCACTTATATTTTTGTTCAATGAATTCCAGGCCACTGATTAGACCATAAAATTTCAATAAAAATAGTCGACCAAAATGATACAGCATATAGGCAATTAAGCTCTCATTAAAGGATGCAGTAACACTAACTAAACTAATAAAACATTTTTTGGTCCAGACTTGAGGCCAATTTAAATATTAATCATGCAGTCGGGTCATTTTAATTTTGGTCAATGAAATAAACAAAAAAAAATCAACACAAGCAACTGTATTTTTATACGGAATTGCTTTTACTGCATACTATGCAGTAATTTATTGTCTGTAGTCAATCGAAATACCATTATTCTACAGTTTATAGGCGGTTTAAAAAATGTTAATGCAATTGATGAAGTGCAATGGATTGTAATAAATCTTACGCTCGTCAGTTGGCAAGAGAAAGATTTAATTGATCGAAAAATATTTTCAGAAACTTATAAATAGGTAGTCGTAAGTAGTTTTTTTTAAACATATTCCGTACGCCTCTGTGTTTAATAGTCTGCATTTATGATGGTTGCATTGATAATGTGGGCCGTATGGAAAAGTAAAAATCATCGCGAAATCATTGTAGTATGTAATTTCTGGCTCACACAACAAAGGAAGACTCTAGATAGGTACAAAACATCTTGATAGTTTGTGGGTGGCAAAATACATATTATGCCTTGAAAACCATATCCTCTCAACTTGCGCTGTACTACAATACGAACACATAATCTTTAAATTTCCATTCAGCTATAAAACCTTACATGTACAGGATGTACAAACTTAATAAAAAGTTTCAGACACGTTTCAAACTATCTAAAGTTCATTTTTTTTATCTGGACTGCGGCAACGTTGCAAATTTAGGGTTTTGGTTGGTAAATACAGTTGTCAAGTTGGTCGCATTGATTAAAACAAACAACAAACAAGCTAGTTATAAATCTAATTGTGGTTAAGTATAAATTATTGTAGGTTATATTGTGCAGTTGTCAAGTTGAGTTGTCGAAATTCGTAGTTAAATGCAACTAATTTGGGTGTTGCCGAATTAACAAATTTAAAAATATTGATTAATTGATTAAAAAATCATGTTGCCAAATTTTTAAAAATTCCCAGAACCTGGGAAAATTTTACAAAATGTTGAAAATTTACAACATTTTTAAATTTTGTTTTGATAGTAAAAAAATTTTGAAATTTTGAAATACGTATTAAATTTTGTTTTAATAGTAAAAAAATTTTGAAATACGTATTTAAAATCGGGGTTTGGGAAAATTTTGCAGATACCCGAGTGACCACTCGTTTTATATTAGTAAATCAAGGTCTTTGAATCCGACTTTTGCAAAAATTTACAAATGATATTAACCTTTTGAGCATTATTAAATATGAGTTATTTTACAAATAATTTTACCAAGCCCAGAAAAAGTTTTTAAAATTCCCAGAACCTGGGGATTTTTAAAAAGTTTCAGGATACCTTCAGAAAGTCATTTTTCACTATTTATTTTGGAAGATTATAAAAAATTTGGAAATATTTAAGAACATTAAAGAAATTTTTAAAATCTTTAAAATTTACAAGTTTTACAAAATGTTGAAAATTTCCAAAATTTTGTTTTAATAGTAAAAAAATTTTGAAATACGTATTTAAATTTTCCAAAATCTTTGGCTTTGGGAAAATTTTGCTTTTCAGATACTTGTGATAACCACTCGTTTTATAGTAAATTGAGGTCTTTAAATCCGATTTTGATACAAATTTTGACCCAAAGGGCCTTGGGAAAATGTTGCCTTTCAGATACCCGAGTGACTACTCTTTTTATAATAAATCAAAGTCTCTGAATCCGATTTTGGAAAAAAATTTGACCCAAAGGGTCTCGGGGAAATTTTGGTTTCCAGATAACTGGGTGTCCACTTGTTTTTTAGTAAATCAAGGTCACTGAACACCTTTTGGATAGGTGCATCTTCTAGCAAAACGCATTAACTTTTAAAGATTTTGTTGGGAAGATCATCAGAAAAAAATGATATTTTCCATTATTGCTGCATTGAATTGTTACAATATAAATATTATTTCTAGGCCAAAAATATCGGCGAAACAGAAACCAAGGTACAAAAACTAACATTCTACAACCACACCGAATGCGCATGTCGAGACACGAAAAATCAAACGATAATGGAAAGTTTGACGATGAAACCGAAAAATAAAGACAGCCAGATCGGACAGTGGTTTCAACAGCAACAACGTCAGAAGATGGAGGAGGAAGAGGCCATTAAAAAGTAGTACGCAGTGATGTGCCTACACGGACAAAGTATAGCGTTATTTTTGTAGGTGCAAATGTCCGGAGATTTTCAAATCGACGTATTCGAGTTCGTTGAGGAGGTGTGTTTGCGATTGCGAGGAGGAAAATGACGAGTGTATGCTGTTTAAAAGGGGGGAGGAGCATTTTAGTCTAATTGACAGAAGGTAAGAATTACACTAGTTTACAGCCATTTTGCCCACCATGACTCACTATTATTTTCTTGTGTAGTTTGGGCCAAACTGTTTGGCTCACTAAACGCGAAAATCACACTTCGAGATCTGAATTTTCATTATTATTTTTTTAAATTTTCTGTTTTGACGTTTTAGAGTATACTTCGAGTTCTAATTGATGGATTTGACCAAACAAGCACTTAAATCAAAGGTAATTGAGCCATCTACAACTTTCTCTTGTATAGTTTTGGTATCGGCCCTATTGAAAATGCCATATAGAACCCATATTGAATCCGATAAGGAAACGTATCTGGTTCTATATGGTTTTATAGGTCCTATATGGAAAGTCCTGGTTTACATTACGGATTCTATATGGTTGAATATGGATTTCCATTTTAAAAATTTTCATATTCAACCATATAGGGAAACCTATCTGGAAATACATATAGAACAGAAACCAGATAAATCCATATACAACCATATACATGTCTCTATATTGAACCAGATAGAAACCATATAGAATCCAGATACGTGTTTTTTATATGGTTCTATATGGCATTTTCAATAGGGGGCTCAGTAGTTCGATACTGGCGATTTTAAAAAGTTGAAAAAGTCCTTTATTTTACAAAAGTCGAGGTCAAAATTTACCTATCTTTCTGAGAAAGATAGAAATCGAAAAGATAAGTCCAGTTTAATTCATTTTACGTATAGATTATACTTAAAAGAAAAAAATAAGCTACTGTTGATAAAAATCCATGGATAAATGGCAAAGTTATGAATTTTTCAGTGAAAGACCAAAACTCAATTTTTTACGTTTTTTTCATTTTATTGAGTTATATAAAGTTTAATATTGAACATTGATTTTTTTTAACATTAAATATTGAAATTAAATTATATATTGAATATTGAACAATAAATATTGAACATTGAAGATATTGAAAGTTTTATTTTGTTGTAATAAGCATAGGTTTAAAAAAAACTGGCTCCTTCTTTGTTTTTTGTTGCTTTCGTATTCCGTTTCTCGTATAAGGGGCCAAATGTAATCACCCATCATGGCTGCATCCCAGAAGCCGTGATACCGCCGCTCCATAGCCTTCATTTGCTGGTGAAAACGTTCTCCGTGCTCATAACTTACGTCGCCCAGATTGTCCGGGTTATTTACGCACTCGAACTCTCTACTTCTTTTACTTATTTTACACTTTTTATTAACTAAATAAAACCATGATAAAAATACCTTGTTGAAATATCAAAAAAAATCAGTAAAATGTCACTATGCCAACACGAGAAACAAAAGAATTCACGTTTGCGGAGTCATGTCTAATTTAAATTTTATATAATGTTTTCGTTGAAAAAAGTACATAAAAACTTAAAAAATTCCAATCATGAACTTTAATTAGGTTTTCATTAAAATATAAACATATTACGAAATAAAAGAAAAATCGTTAAAAAGCTGAATTTTGGTCTTCCACTAAAAAATTCATAACTTCGCCATTTTTTCATGTATTTTTATCAACATTAGCTTGTTTTTTTTTGTAAAAAAGTCAGCTTCACGAAAAAAATCCAAACTGGAGTTATCTGTTTGATTTAAACCTTTCCCAGGACGATCTGTAAATTTTCGACCTCAATTTTTGCCATAAAAACGAATTTTTTAAGTTATTAAAATCGCTAGCGTCAAAATACTTATCCGATATCAAAAGTATGTAAAATAAAGTTTTAGAGGGCTCAAATACCTTCAATTTAAGGGCTTGTTTGACCAAATCGATCAATTAGATTTCAAGCTATACTCAAAAACGTCAAAGACCTCTGAAAATAAAAAAAAACAATTGAAAATTCATATTTCAAAAACGTTCCATAAATTTTTTTTTGAGATTTTCGTGTTTAGTGGGTCAAAATACATGGAAAAATTAGAATGGGATATGGTGGGCAGAATTTTTTTCGATTTTGTAAACTAGTGTTATTTTACACATTACCTACTAATGATTTGACATTTTGGCTGTAAACTGTGTAATTGTTAATATATTTTTAGGTGCCTTTCTGACAACACTTGTACCACGCCAGTATGTCAATACGGCACATACAACAAACTAAAAGGAAAATGTCCGACAAAGCGCGATAAAATAGAAATATTCGCGAGAATATCGAAACCTAATTGATATTTTTTGCTACTATAGTAGAAAAACAAATGAATGTTGTGTAAGTGTCTAATTTATGTATGAAATTGGTGAAAATGTAAGAGAACCTGCTTACTGTTGGTGTGAAAATATTACGCACGTTTTATTATACACACACAGGCGTTACTTTGAAGTAACTATAACGCACTAGACATTATTTAGCACCGAGCGTGAATTGAACGTATTATTTTGCAAAAAATAAAGGCTGATATTAGGCTTGATATTACACAAAATTCCGTCATTGTAGAGTCAAGTTTTAATAAAATATTATTCACTGTACTGTACCTAGATTTCTGCAGTTTTTCTAGTATATCGCAACACAGGCATTTATCTAGATATTATTTTTTATTTATTTTCGTATTTATTAGGATTTTAAGTACTGTAATATATGCATACCATTTTTTGTATATTATTTAATAAGGGCATAAACCATGTGATTATAGACTTTTAATTTAATTTTCAAATAAATATAATAATACATACAAATAAATGTGCTTTATTAAAGTTATCACAGTAAAAAAGAAAGAAAATATTTCTTTTTGCTCTGTGACCATCTAAAAACGGATTAAAAAATAATAACCTTTATTTTTTTGATAAAAATATATTTAACACAGTAAAAATTATACTTAACACAGTAAACATTATACTTAACAGAGTAAAAAAGAAGCTGATTTTTTGGACTAAAATGAAGAATAACGTGAATTTTCGAAAAATTGCCGTATAATCGTGGTTAGCCAAGATATCCACAAAATCTCGAAAACCTCTCGAGGGATTACCTAACTGATTAGGGAGGGGTATTACGACTATCAAGCTCAACTGCCCTAAGAATGGGGATTTAAAATTTTAGAAAAAAACATCTGTTTTAACCCTGTAGTATCATGCTATGTGCATATTATCGTATTTCCAAAATTAGAAATAAGAGTCAAAGAATCAACTATTGCTCATTTTTTGGACTAAAATGAAGAATAACGTAAATTTTCGAAAAAATGCCATATAATCGTAGTTAGCCTAGATATCCACAAAATTTCGAAAACGTCCTGAGGGATAACCTAACTGTTATTAGGAAGGGGTATTACTACTATCAAGCTCAACTGCCCTGTGAATGGGGATTTGAAATTTTGAAAAAAAAAACATCCCTTTTTTTTACAACCTGTAGTATAATGCTATGTGCACAATATCGTATTCTCAAAATTAGACGTAAGTCAAAGAATCCACCATTGCTCATTTTTTGGACTAAACTGGGAAATAACGACAATTTTCGAAAAATTGGCATATAATCGTAGTAAGCCGCGATATTCACAAAATCTCGAAAACGTTTCGAGGGATTACCTTACTTATATAAGGGAGGGGTATTACGACTATCAAACTCAACTGCCCCATGAATAACTCGAAATTTTAGAAAAAATACATCTCTTCGTTTAACACCCTGCAGTATAATGCTATGTGCAAAATATCGTATTCCCAAAATTAGACATAAGAATCAAAGAATCAGCTATTCAGAATTTCCAAAGATTTTCAAAATCGATTCAGTAATTTTTAGTGATGTAGAGTAGGGAACGTTCCCTTCGTGCTGTGGCGAATATTCGCGAACGTTCGCGCACAATTAAATCGTTCGTGCGCGCATGATAGATCGTTCTTTCGTGTCCAAACGATTTATCGTGCGCGAAAGTTCTCTAGAGAATTTTCAGCACGATTCTGGCCAATCGGCGCGTTTCATCCCCTTGACCGCGTGTATTGCACATAATACAGCCCTAATAATATCTTCAAATAGTTAACAAACATGCAAAAACTACTGTCGGCAACGGTATCACAAAGACAAAGCGGCGTCGGTTTTCCGTATATTACCGCCGGTCTCTTTTGTGGCGATGCCGACCGTAGTTTTTGCATGTATTTTTTGCGGATGTTGCGTTTTAAAAATATTTTGACTATTTTGATTTTGATTAACACGTTCGATTCGTTGCGTAAAGGTCAGTGCTCGGGTCAGTGTGTGATTAGAGAGATTGGGTAGTGTTATTTTTTTTGTTTTCCGCGGGAAACTTAAATATTTGATTTAATAAATATGCCCAGAAGAAAATGCGAGGCATTTGATTTTTTTTTTCATAAAAAAAGAGATGGTAAAGACGTTTATTCTTGCAAATTTTGTAATTGTGAATGCAGCCGGCATGCCAACCGAATGGCAAATCATTTAACAAAATGTGTAAATTGTCCTGAATCCGTAAGGGTTCAATTAATACTGAAAGAAAAAAAAATTGTGGAAAGTAAGTACCTACCTACCTTTGTTAAGTTACCTAACTTCTTACATGATGTTTCTACATCACGATACTTATGTACTTTGTATGCTACTTAAGATTGTAAGCGTACACACCCCTCCCCAGCAAAGAATCTGTAAAAAGTTACACCCCAAGTGATAAATGAAATATAACACCACGGCAAATGTTATATTAAATTATGACAAATAAATAAAATAAATACTTACGGTAATAAAGCTCATTAATTTAGTAACCCAAGGTACTTGTAAGGTGTTGTATTCATGGGGAAAGTATTAAAAAGGGAAATAATAAATACAGTAAATAAAAGGCAATAAGTTACGTTTGAACTCAGGTCAAAAACCCGGAAGGCTCCCGTTTATTTTTTATTTAGTATCGCTCATAAAACCTTCCAAAATGAGGGATTATGGGAGTGAGTTACGTATAAAATATTTACAATTTATAACAAACAATAATGATATTTATTTGGATAGAGCAACAAAAATAACCGCAACCCAAACGACATTTAACTTAGTGAACTCTGAAAGAAAAGGACCTCCTACAACCGTTTAAAACCACACAATATCTCCTTACTGCGACTACAACCCAAATATAAATAAATATATAAATAATATTAGATAAATAATACATCATACTAGAGCTTAGCTGTCGTATGTGTTCCTCGTTTTCATTTTAATTTTTATCTTCGCTTTTTGCTGATTTGTTTGTTTATTTGTTTGTTTGTTTGTTTGTTTGGTGAAAGTAGATTGAGTCTTAGTCTCTATTTTTGTATTTTAAATTTAACTTTATTCATCAAGCATTCCGTCTGCAATAGGCCTCCATCATCCAAATAAAGTTTTAATAATTAATAACTGTTGAATTTAAGTTTACTGTTACACAAATTTTTCATGTAATATTTATTAGAGTTCAGGCTCAATCAACTGTTAGAAAAGGGAGTAAATAAATCGCTTCAACTGAGGGTTCGTCATTGTCTATAATGCCTTATTTGTCGGCAAACTTTAATAAATTAATAATTACCATAAAATACTAGGTAATCAAAATGACACAAATAACAAAAACAATGTAGGCGTCGCATAGTCAGATGAAATCAGATTTTAAACACCGCTTATAAGGGAGTAAATAATAATCGGCTTCGAGGTCATTCCAATTGAGGGTTCGTCATTGTTTATTATGCCTCATTTGTCGGCAAACTTTAATAAATTGATAATTACCATAAAATACTAGGTAATCAAAATGACACAAATAACAAAAACAATGTAGGCGTCGCACAGTCAGATGAAATCAGACCTTTACACACCTCTTAAAATTTACAGGATGGTAATTCAAAATGGGCTCGTTGTGTCAGGACTCCACGGAAAGTGGAGATAAATCAAATGTCGTTATCGCACAATCATTGTTGCCCCTCACTCCAAATGTAATACCAAATATTTAAATATGACTGGTAAAATTACTAGTTAATTTCGGGACATAAATGTGAATCTGCGAGTACAATTTTATAAATCCCGTATTTAAGAAAACCGATATTAAATACACTTAATTTACACAGCGTTTATGTTAAATCCCTTTTGTGAAATATATATTAAAATTAATTAAATAATCCTAAGTACTGCCCTGACATTTAGCTTAATTAAATCGAATACGGTCCTGCCTATTTTAATTGGATGAAATCCACGTAAAGCCATGCCTTTTTTAATTTGATAATTAGTCGTTAAAAATCCCTGCCTTTTATTAGATAAATTACACGTACTAATTGTTTATAACTTAGAATCTAAATTATAATACGAAATACCAAATTTAAACTTAATTTAATTCATGTCAATTTCTACGGGCGTGGTTTCTAAACGACAGCCATTACAGCGTAATAGATCGAACGATGACGCCAAGTCAATTGATCGAATATTTATCTTTACACAAGGTATTTGTGTAAACTAATTATACCAAAATGCTCGGGAATATTTATACTACAATAATTTAGTTATTTAAAACGTACAAACCTACATTTTTAAACACTTTCCTACACACACAATTTTTAAAACCCTGGTCGCTGCTCGGCTCTGCTCCAATGCTCCTATGAATGTTCTCCCCTGCCCGTCACTTGCGTCTAGCATTCTTTTCCCCTACCTTTTCCCACTTAATCAGGAGAGTTTTTCTAACCAATGGCACGCTACCTTTTATATGTCACTTGTATTTCCGTTGCGCTAAATTTAAATGTTAGTTACATTTACATGGCTTTTTAAATACTTTTATTTTAAACAATTAGGATCGTAATAACCCACGGATTGTTTATTAGGGGGGGTATTTGTAGATCTCCTCAAGATGTTACTTAAAATTTTGCTATTTTTTACTTAATAAAGTTTTTCTTTAAAGTTAGAAGTAATTATTGTATTATTTACAACCCAGAATATTAATACAGTGTCATTTTTCTTAAGAAGCGTTAGGAGAATTTTCAGCATTTTTAGCATTTTGAGAATTTTGAGCATTTTCGGAAAAAACAGGAAAAGTAAGTTTTTGAATACTTTATCACACCCCAAACATAAATTCTCGGGTTTTTTTCGTTTATGCTCGTTTATTCTCGTTCATGCTCGTTTGTGCTCCGGGAACGTTCTTCTAAAATACGTGCTCGAGAATTTTACATCACTATAGTAATTTTCCAATAACGAGCTTTCAAATATTTTCCAAAAAACTAGGTGCGTCGATTTTTATGACGAGCAGTTTATTTACTTTTAATAAAAAAGTTATTGAATACGGTGTTTTTTGAAAAGTGTGCGTCCCAAAATTCTTGTATTTTTAGTGCTTTTTTTTAATTTTAAGATTTAAAAAAAATCTAAAAATGCATTCAAAAAATAAAAACCTTTTTTTAAATTAATATATAGTTAATCATACTTAACACAGTAAAAATGTTACTCAAGACAATTAAAATTATACTTAACATAGTAAACATTTTACTTATCACAAAAAAAAAAAGAAAGAAAGTATTTTATTTTCCTTTTTTACCATCTAAAAACGTATTAAAAATGATAACCTTTATTTTTTCGATTAAAATTTAGTTTAATTATATCAAACACATGAAAATTAAACTTAACACGGTAAAAATTATACTAAACAGAGTCAAAATTATACTTAGCAAAATAAAATAAAAAATATTCGATTAAAATATATTTAATTATTAACACAGAAAAATTTAACTTAACACTTTTAAAATTATACTTTATACAGTAAAAATTATACTTAACACAATAAAATAGAAAGAAAATATTTTATTTTGACCATCCAAAATCGTATTAAAAAATAATAACCTTATTTTTTATCAAAACACAGTAAAAATTATACTAACCACAGCAAAATTAAACTTAACAGTAAGAATTATACTTGGCACGGTAAAAAGTATACTTACTTAACATAGTAAACATTATTATTAACACAGTAAAAAAAAGAAAATATTTCATTGTAGTTTTTGACCAGACATTCAAAATAATAATCTTTATTTTTTCAATTAAAATATAGTTAATTATACTTAACACAGTAAAAATTATACCAAACCCAAAAAAAATAACTTAACACTTTTAAGCTTATTTCTTTAATATTTTTTAAATTTGTATTTTTATTGCATATTAAACGCTGAATTTAAATCTAAAACCAGTTATTATATAAAAGTACTATAAACAAAGTTTATTTAAATTACATAATACTAAACAATTGTTTTAGGTTTAAAGGACAATCTTATCTTATGCATGCATAAAAATATACTATTTATAAATTACACATTTATTATTCAGCGATAATGGTTAATATTCACCTATTTACCTAAGTATTATATACTTAAGTAAGTATAGTCTGTTAGTGTACAATTAAAAAAAAATAGTACGGAATGTCGGAAAATATTAATACTTTAAAACTCATACATGTAGTAAGTATGGTGTCAATTTGTAACTATTTATTTATTAAAGTGTACATTTAAGTTATTCAGGCATGGAAATAGGACAAATGTTAAATCAACTTGTTTTCCAAATGACCCATACATTAGTGAAACTTATCATCCATATGGTAGGGGTCAGTTAACAAAAGTAAGTACCAGATGACAAATATGCGAAATATCAAACTCTTTATTTTTCTATTTCAAGGCTGGGAAACAAAATTGTCACAACTTGGGCAAATATCTTCGAAAGAGATACGAAAATTACTTAGGGGAATACAATTTTAACACTGTTGAAGCTTTTTCAACGGATATGCCAAGAACCAAGATGAGTTTGCAGATGGTTTTAGCAGGTTTATTTCCACCTTCAGCAGATGAGGCCATAGACAATCTGAATTGGCAGCCTATTCCTTATAATTATAAGCCTGTTTCGGATGACAAAGTACGTATAATATACCTGGAAGATTAATTTAAATGAATTGACTATAAACTTCTAAAGAAATTAATTCTGGTGAGACTAGGGTAACAATGTAATTACTGGAACGTCACACAATTTCTGTAACTTTACACGGTCGAGTTCAAAGGATTTTCTCAATGATTTTTTTTTTAGTTATTGTTTGGTGTTTGTCAGCCTGAGCATCGGGAAGAATTGGACAAAATTGAGGCTAGCGCTGAAGTTCAGGCAATTTACGAGAAAAATAAAGATTTAATAGCGTATATAAATCAACATACTGGGAAAAAATATACGGAGTTTTTTAGTTATTTTGATTTATATACAACTTTTTTAAGCGAGGTAAATAATTAATATTGTTGTAGATAATATTATTATAAACTGTCGAAATGAAATATTATTTTAGGAAGAATGGGGTTTTGAACTCGAAGAGTGGACAAAAACAATTTATCCTAATTTTTTAAAAAGTTTAGCTATACAGTTTTTCATGACTTTATCCAAGACTGATAAGATAAGGAAATATGGACAAGGTATTTTTTTGCAATATTGACATGCGAACTTTTTCTTTAACCAGTATTCTGAATTTCAGGAAACTTTTTAAAGAAAATCATCGATGAATGCAAGGCCAAAATGGAGGGTGTGCTTTCAGAGGAAAGAAAAATTTACCTGTACTCTGGACATGACATTAATATAACCCAATTTTTGGGTACATTAGACCTCTTTGAACCTCACATGCCGCCATATTGTGCTTGCGTCATTTTGGAGCTTCATGAAATAAATGGTGAATATGGTCTAAAAATATTTTATCAAGATTACAAACAAGAAGACCCCAAGTTAATGAAACTTCCGGGATGTCAGGAGTTCTGCCCGTTGGATAAATTCGTCGAAATACACGAAAAATATCTACCAGAGTAGTTATTAACGTTTATTAAAATTGAATACATTATTCAGGTTCTACATCTATATTATACCCCTGGACTCTATACTGTCTAGCATTATTGACTACGTATAGATAATCCAAACCTTCCCCATAAACCCTATGTAAAATTATATTTAAAATAGCCCTCACATCCATGATTCTGCTTAGTTCCACACTGCTTATACCTTCCAAGAGCGGTTCGTAATCCAACTTCCTATCAAATTTATCTTTGATGACGTCTGCTATGTTATCAAACGATTCTTCCTGCATTAATACTTGCACTGGTATCGACGCTACCAACCTTTCTATGATATGAGCCATAACGTTGAAGGTTTTACCCCTTTCCAACAATATAGTATCAACTAAATCTTCCACGAGTTCTCTAGCAACTACATCTGCACTCCCTTGCATCTAAAACAATAGTTTTTATCACTGCATAGTAGGTAGGTAAATATTAGAAATATTTGTTTCTGCATACCATAAATAATAACGTACTAACCCTCAATATAACGGCGCTAGCTACAGTCCTTAAATCCTCCTTGTGAAAATCGGAAATACACTCAATTTCCGGTAATATTTCGTTCCTCAAACCCTCCAAGCTTATCTTGGAGCCGAACTGGTTGGCCAATTTATCTATACACTCTTTCCTGATGAGGTATAACACAGGAACCTCTTCCACGACTCTCATCAGCAACCTGGTCATGACTTCGTAAGGTTCGCCATGAATTAACATAACCTCGTCTATTATTTGCTCTACTAGTTCAAGAAAGTAGGCCTGTTTTTCCTCTTCAGTCTCCAATTGGAACTTAATTTCACCATCATCCTCATCAAGATCTTGGATTTGCAGTAATCTGGAAGCAGTTTCGTCTATCATTTTCAATTGTTCATCGGACGGTGTTATAGGCAAATTGTCTATTAACTCTCTAACTATTGCGTGGCAACTTGTGCATTTCAATACTCTTTCGACGATTTCCCTCGCCATTTTTTCAGTCGACCTCTTTTCAGCCAACTCTTCGGTCTGGATCATGAGATCCTCGATAAGGCTTCTGACGATTGCTTCGGCATCCGTGTATATACTGCAACATTTTGATAGAGAATAAAATTACAATGAACTATCTTACTAAGGCAAAATAATATCCGCCGATATTCTTTCCTCGTCCTCTTCGCCGGCATCAACAAAAGTTTTAAAGTACTCTGCGAAATCGATTGGTTCCTCAACTTCTTCCATTTTCCTCCTTTCACGCACAGGTCTTGGAGGATACCCTTTGGTTTTCAGCATTTGTATTTCGTCTTTCAGATCCTATCGCACACAAATACTTCAAGTATATACAGGGTGTCCCAGAACTCGCGCAACAGAGTTCCTGATAGCAAAATTTGATTCTAAGAATCTTCTAAGAAGATATGACCCGGAATAATGGAATATTCTTAGAACCTTCCCTTATTGCTAAGAATGTTCTTATAGGGACTTTTAAAACATTCAATAGATACCCTTTTAATGATGCAATTAGATTCTTAGAAGCTTCTTAAAACCTTCCTAAAAAGCATTCTAACATTTTAAGAATACGTTTTTGGAATGTTCTTAGAAGGTATCTTATGGAGCTTCTAGGAAGCTTTTGAGAATATTTCCAAATATGTCAGATACCCACGTTCTAATATGTTGGATTCTACATTCGTAAAATTCTTGAGGAGGCGACAAATACGCCTTACTGTCATAATATGACAGTGAAATGTATTTGTCGTCCCCTTAAAAAATTTTGCGACATATTAATATATATTTATTTAAAAATATTAAATAAACAATTTGGCCTCTTAACCATAAGTTGTATGACATTATTTCATAAAAATTAAAATTGGAAAATTTTGTGGGATAAGTCAGATTAGATTGAAGTTGAAGATAGTTATTATACATAAAAATGTTAATTCAGATATAAAAAATCGGTATAAAAATTAATAAATATTTATTTTTAACATAAAATAAAATAAAAAAAAAACAAAATATTTCCTTATAAAATAATTCTTCATAAAAGAAAAAACCAAATGGTTCTTTATAAAAAAACATTTTTCATTGTATTTAAGTTGGATAGAAGATTTTATGTAAAAGCCGGATAATTTAGATACCTATAGTAAAAGTATTTTTGTTATCAAATATTGTTTTAATTTGACAAATAACTATAAAAAAATATTTTGGGTTGTGTTTTTTACTTAGTATTTAATACTAAGTATAGGTACCTTTATACGTAGATTATGGTATATTTTACTATTATATAGGTACCTAACTGAACTGAATATTAGGGTGGGTCGTTTTTTAGTATTTTTTATAAAATTAGAACGCCTGTGGTTGGAAAAGTTGTAGGTTGGGCTTTTATTTTGAAAAATATTTTTTTTTCAATTTACAAAATTAATTTAGACCCCCCGCCGGGCCCCCAAAAATAAAAAGATATAAATATTAAAAAAATTATAGGCCTGCGTTGGGGAATGTTTTATTTGGGTCTCTTGAGTCCTCAAATTTTTTTTTTTCAAATTTAAAGTACATTTAGGCCCCCCGCCACACATCCAAAAATGTAAATAATTTGTTTAAAATTAACAAAATTGTTACAAGGCAGCCCATCGCTTATTTTGAGCAATACTTAAACTCAAAATAACCCAGAACTCACCACGGGGAGGTGGCTGCCATCGAGTTCCACCCCTGCCCGCCCAACCACCCTTCCATGTGGGCATTTTAGATTATTCTGTGCTCACCACATATTCTGACTTTGTACTAAATTTGGGCATTTTCTTTCTGGACTCTATTGTTGTACGTATCCAACCATCCCTATTTTTCTCATCACAGACAGCCAAAGACGCTTGTAGAGATACTAGCTTTGTCAATATAACTAAGAATACTTTATGCAAGTTTTTTAGCCGTCCCGTTTTCAGGTGTTACATGTCCCAAATAATTGCTACCAGGCTCCTGGATTAAAACTACATGCTCTTCAACAACAGTTTTTCTAGATGATGTGCTTTCTTGCTTTTTTATGTGGAAGGTGCGGTCTTTGCGTCCATCAAAATAAAGGGCTTGTAAAATTTTGCCGTCCTCTGCACTTTTTTTTTGTAAGTCGAGCCGAGCTCTTTTTCTTTGGCGATCCAATTTACACTTATCGATTACGTAAGATGTGTCACTTTTTGTGATTAAACCAACATCCTCAGGGACTGCACTGGCTATCATTGCACCTTTACGACTCGATAATCCTGCTCGATCTATTGCTTTTGCGCTGATGAGTCTGAAAAAACTTCGTTAGGTTGAGTTTTTGCCTCGGACTTCAAACCACTGCAGCTAGCTGTTTCTCCTTTTCTTTCTAGCCTTTGCTTTAAAACTCTAGTGCTTTTGGGATCCACTTTTCCCATAAACATTATCCTTGTGGTTCTCTGATCTTTTAAAAATTCATGTTCTAATTTAGGGACCTTCTTTAACTTGACACAAGCACACGATACAAGTTCTTTGCATTTGCATGTCGAAATATCGAAAAGCTTTTTATTCGATTCATTTTGGAAACATTGTAATTTATTTCGGGCATAACTACTTGTTTTCTTTAGAGATTTTTTAAGATCCATGAATTGTTTGTGATATTTTTTAAGTAGTGCAACACATTGCTGGTTTGATATAGTAGGCAAACTGGCTTTCCACCAAATTATTTGTACCTTGTCAACTACCAGTTTGGAAATCTCAGCAACAGTTTTATTTTTACTGGTGTGTCCACTTAAATTCTTTTGTACAAATAGAAAATACCGCATTACATCTCCATAACACGGCGGTACCGTTTCACTTAAGTCACGAGGTTCACCAAATACGGGATCGCGAAACGACTGCCGAGTAGAAACCTTACGCTTTACGCCCGCCGCCATATTTATAATTGAAAATAAAAACGTACTAAAATTATTGTCGAAGAACTAATAACTTTACACTACCAGATTTATAAGCACACTAACACCTCCGTATTAATCAACGAAAACACTTGACACTTGGGCCTATAATTATTTAAAAAACGTTTTAGTCCGGGCCTGTTCACAGAGCCGAGTGACTTGCTCTGTGAACAGGCCCGGACTAAAACGTTTTTTAAATAATTATAGGATTACAGGACCGGCTTCTAAAATTTTATATTTTATAATATTAAATATTTAATTTATACAAAAAGGTGATTAAAATACAATAATAGTAAAACTATGATAAAAAATACATACGTCTAAATATTATAAATAAATCGGGCGGGGGCTGTTAATGCATTCCAATTATAAAAATATATTATTTTGCGTTTATAAACAACAATTACGAAAACATTTTTAGTACAGGCAAATTTGATTTTGAATTTTTTTATTTTATAATTTTTGAAGGGCCGGCGGGGGGGTTAAATTTTAAATTAAAAAAAAAAATAAAATACCTACATTTCTTTTAGTCCCATACACAACTTTTCCTGACACAGGCGTTTTAAAATTCAAAAATCGACCCACCCTACTGAATATGCTTAACAGAATGTTCCAGGAATATTCCTAAATGAACTTTCTATAGCAATTACTTTCTCAACATTCTAAGCATAACTAACTTTGCACCTTCTAGGACCTGCCTATATGCCAGTGAGAATATTCTTAGGATTATGCTATATTTTTTTAAGCATGTTCTTTAGAAGAAATATAGCATGATCCTAAGAATATTCTCACTGGAAGGTTTAAAAAACATTCTTAGAACATGACTAGAAGAAATATAGAATGATCCTAAGAATATTCTCACTGGAAGGTTTAAAAAACATTCTTAGAACATGACTAGAAGAAATATAGCATGATCCTAAGAATATTCCCACTGGAAGGTTTAAAAAACATTCTTAGAATAAACGCTGCTATCAGGGGTGCCGATAGCAATGGAGATGCCAATTTAAAAATAAAACATTTCTAGGCAATAGTAGATAATTTTAATTTTCAAGAAAGTGTTTCGCATAACTTTCGGCACTTTTTCTGTGGCGCGAGTTCTGGGACACCTAAAGCACCCGCAATTTACCTGGATTTCATTCTCTTGACTTTCTATTATCCCTTGCATCTTCTCAAGTTCGACCTTATCCTGTTTGATTTGTTCGTCGTAATACTCGAAAGACATCATTTTGACATCCTGACTGTTCAGATCTGCCTCCAGCAAACCTCTTTTTTTGTTCAAAATCCTCAGCAATTCTGCTTTTGCTGTATTCGTTTTTAGTAAATTTATGTAGTCGAATTGCTTCTTTGCTTTAAATGTCTGCAAAACATTTTAAGACAGTAAAAAACAGAAGCATATTTCAAACTCACAATTAATCTTTTAATTTCCTTCTTAAATGATTTGGTGGCTTCGCCGACATTCTTTCTTCTCAGGTCGTAGACCATCTTTTTTATACAAACCTCCGCCATATCGGTTAAGTCAGACTTTAAAGTGCTTTTTATTACGTACAACTCGACATCGTCGATATCGACCATTCGTCCGAATTTAATGAACATTTGATAGGAAATTTCTTGCTTCAGTTTTCTGATCTGCTGGTCCATGAAGTGGAAATCGCGCTTCATGCGCATCAAGTGACGAATGTAAATTCTACAAGTCTTCTTTAATTTTAATGATAAAAAAAAGTATGGACTCACTCGTGTTTTTCCTTTTCATGCAAGCCTTCTTGTTGTAGCTCCGACACTCTGGAATACAACCTGGACAGCGTATTTTTCGACATAACCACGCAATTTTCAACGTTAAAGTTCTCTATGTACTGAAACTGATCCATTTTTACCACCAAGGTATAGATTATGTCATTTAAAACCCTCTGCTTTTCCCTCTACAAAAGACTAATTATTATTCTGTATATATATATATATATATATATATATATATATGTATCCCAAAATAAATTACTTGATATTCCCACAAGCTTTGCTTGCTTTTCTGGTAATTCCCCTCCAACACGCCCAACTTCTTGTTGTGCATTTCCAGTTCTTTCCTGTAGGTTTCGATTTGCTTCTCGTTCTCCTTAACGGAAGCCTCTATTTCGTATCTTTTCTGTCTGAGCTGCACAGTGTAATCGTAGATGGCTTGCTCGCAGCCCTTCGGGCAAACGTTCAGATCCAACTTTATAAAACCAAAATCCCTAGAGTCCAGAGAGGCTGCATCGTCGTCGTCCGATTCGTCAGACGACGAGGATGAGGAGTCAGAACTGCTGTCTGCATATAAAATGGAAATGTTGGAAGAATATTTGGGGATTAAGGGAAGTATATTATAGTTTGTCCCAAAAGTACAGGAATATTGTATTGTGTTGTTATAACCCAGACAGCAATATGACGTCTTAATTAAGTCTGCATAAGCTCTATTTTATGATTTGGACAACATCAGAAAGAAGTTTTTAAGAAGTTCTTAAGACTTCGAATGCGCCACCTATTGAACTAATCAAGACTTCTCAAAAAAGAACTCTTGAGGAACTTCGCAATTAAGCATTTTAAAGAGTCCTACTGTATAAACTTATAAAAAGACTTCTTTAGAATTTTCCGTTTTGGATATAGAAGTACTACTAGGGTACTGATGAAGAAATTGCATAATGGATCGTTTCTTGTTTTAACATGTCAAGTATATTTTATTAATTTTATTAATTTGTTAAATTAATTTTATTAAAATCATTTTAATAATTTGCTCGTATTCGCTTATTTTAGGAATTGCGATTACTTAGTCTCACTTTTGTTTAAATTCAAGCGTGCTCTTCACCGGAACCGATAGACGGCCTGTTTCGCTCTTTTGGAGCTCGTCAGTATCGGGTAGCCGTTTACCTAGGTCTAAGACCGTTTGGTATGGAGCACGCTCTAAATTCTACTTCGCCGCTTCTTATATCAAATACAAGCAGTTACAGCGGTGAGAAGAAAGTAATCGCATTAAAATGTCATAAATGTGACGTCTCCATGTTGACTTCTAAAAGAGTTAATAGTATGATTTCAATTGGAAGTAAGCAAAAAGATTACTCTGTAAGCTCAAAATAAATTGTTCAAAAAGAGGTCAAGAAAAGATCTTCATTTGTACGTAAAAAAAATTACTTCTTATTTATGAGTTCATTAACAGCTCAGAATTCTGAGCTCATAAAAAGGAGCTGTTTAAGACGTCATGTTAGAACTTCTACACGAAGTTGTTTAAAAGACTTCATACTGAAATCTTTCTGAATTGGATGCTGACTGGGAAGGCTTATAAAAACACGGAAGCAATGTTTACAATATAGGTAAACAAACTTTATTTTAATTGAACAGAATAAAACAGTTGGAAGATTCGTTTGGTTTGTGTACATACAGATCCCTTGTTGATTATGTACTTACATAAGGTATAATAACTATAACAATTCTTCGCAACGCATAGGCGTGATATGGTCGATAGTCGAACTCATACATAGATTATAAAACAAATATGGTTGATCTTTCATTGCTTCCATTGCTTCTTTGATTGCTTCATGTGTTTTATACAGTGTTGCCGGATGAATGTCATAAAAGTTCCCGACCAAAAATTACAAAATACTAAAAAAACTAGTTTTATTTTAAATTTACTAGCGCATTCGCCGTTTTAAAAAAATTACTTAAATTAATTTAAAAAAATAAAGTTAATAAATAAAAATGTAACAGGATATCCTATATAGAATAAAATAATTATGCATTTTTAGTAAACATACAATATTATTTACTAAAAATTTCTTAAGTTGGTATTTTGATCGAAATTTGCAAAATATCCGATTTTACACGCTTCAAAATTCTACCCGCAAAACGTGACGAAAATACCCGACTTCCGAGTAAAATACCCGCAAACGGCAACACTTGGTAAGTAGTAACAGGAGAGCTACCTTGAAAACGCGGAAAGATGCCATCACATGACATATCAGCTGTGCTCTAATTGGTCAGCTGAGAAAATCGGTATTGTGTCTAAAAAGTGTTTGGAACAATATGGCGGCAAGTATTTGGTGATTTTTAGTCTGTGCGAACTGCTAAAGAACAAACCTTGTTGTTTGAGGGTGGGGGTCAGATGAATATTTGCATATAAAAAGAAACTATTAAAATAAAACGTACAGTGGCAACAATAAAAGCAAGTCAAGCGCATCGTATGTAAAAAATTATAATTGTTATAGTTATTAACCTCACATATGTTATTATATAGGTAATTATGCAATAAACTTGGCTTATTATCACCCCGGCAAAATGTTAATAAATACTTTTCTTTGTGTTTCATTTTATAATAATCAAATACAACCTCTCTGAATAATTCCGGATATTTATTTTAATCGCTATAGTTATTTTATTGTTTCGACCTTTACTTGATGAAACTCCATGTCACTAATATATAACTGGATAAAAAACAAACACTGTTTTTGAGTTTCACGAATTTATTTAAATTTTATTTGACACTTGTTTCGCTAACACTGTAGCATCTTCAGAAAATATTTTCTGAAGAAGCTACAGTGTTAGCGAAACAATTGTCAAATAAAATTTAAATAAATTCGTGAAACTCAAAAACAGTGTTTTCTCCAGTTATATATTTGGTATAGTTATGTTCCTACCATTTCTCTGCTAAAAATCTTATAAAGTATTATTAACTCTTCTAGAAAACTCCCAAATCTTGCTATTAGTCTGACTTATTCTGACTTTTCCGACTTAATATATTATAAGTATTATATATTATAAGTATTATTCAGACTATTTAAGAGAAAGTAAGGGTTTAAAAACTCTTATTAAAACTTTTTCAGAGAAAAATGTCCACAAGGGACTGTATAAAGATGAGGCACACAATTTTGTTTTTGTAAGTTGGGACAACTTTTGGTTAAATGATCATTTGCGTTTATTTACGTTTTTTTATTTAATAATGAGTAATATATATTGCTGGGTACTTTTGGGACTAAATATATAATGTAGTACCATCTTCTTCGCGTATCCTAGGAACCTTAAACTTTTTCTTGAACACCTTGCGCAAAAAATCATAAAACTTATTATTATTAGTGGCCTGGGTGAAGCTCTGAAAAATAGCCTCCATTTTAACGTTACAATCGTCAATCAGTCGATTTATATCGCTGATTTTATTCATCAAATCAGTAATGGCATCTGTCATGTCCAAAACAGCGGTATTGTTTTCTTGCACTTGTTTTTCGAGTATAAATTCGTTACGTTCGAACCTTTTCAGTACGGCAAGTTCCTGATTTAGCGCCATTATGTGCAGTCGAAGTCTATTTAATGTGTAGACTTTGTAGTTCAGTTGCAAGTATAAGTTTCTTATGTCTTCATTTATCTGGTCTATCAACATGTTGATTTGGTCTATGGAATGCTGCTGTTGGAAAAGAAGCCTGAAATTATTTGGTTCACATTTGTTTTATGAAGGCTACACTCTCTGTTAAAAAGAAACAGTTGAAAATGGACCAAGGAGTGTCATTTACTGTATGTTTAGGACAGAGAGTATATTATTATTTTATACTTATTAAGCATCCAAGCACGCATTTCTCGTTCGTAATAGGTGTCAACTTTTTCATTTTTTGCATTTTGAATTAAGTCTTTAAGAGTACTGTCAGGTATAGTTCTTAAATGTTTCTGTATGTCCAGTACATCAAAAAATAATTCGCCAGCTGGTCTTGGTGGAAAGTTATTCCTTTTGGGTAATATTTGTACCATGAAATCATCATCAAATGGGCACTAAATAGTAAATTAAAGAAATCTGTTATATCCTTTTTTTAATTTTAATATATTATGTTGTGATTTTTACCTTTAGGTAAACTTCACTTTCTTCATCCAACTCAATTTCTTTTTTTTCAATAGTTTCCATTTCAACACAAACATTGAACATTTTTTCCGGAAATTCACTTGGAATATATTTTTCGAAAACCGGACCACTTCTCCTCAAATCCGAAGGTATTCTTTGATGTATCCATTTAATTATTTCTTCTTGCTTTATAATTTTGTCGATAATTTCATACTTTTTACGCCTCAAAGCGTATACCTCTAAAGAAAATGTACGCTGTATATTATACAACTAAAAATAACAAAATTATGAATGAAATTACTAAAAATATCTACAAACTGACGGTTTCTTTGCACTCCAAAACATCTTTATACTTTGACGTCGTAGTTTTACGTAAATGGGCTGGAATTCTATAATTTTCGTCGGTTTTCAATACGTAATCGCCTATTTTCGATTTAGCTTCTTCAAACGCTATTTCGTCTTCCGGGTGATTGACTCCCTCCTTGGGTTTTTTTGCGTTAAAAATTTCCCACTACAAAAAATCTCTATTTATTTTAACGTCACTGGTACTTCTCCGTCTACTATTTTCAATCTCACTGGTAGACTTTCTAACCTAACTTTTAAACGTCAAAGAATGACACCGCTGTTTGTAAACAACTCCCGATAATTACTGCAAATTCTAGTGTTTTTTTCCGCTAATCATGGCTGGCCTATTCGGCTGGGATTTGCTGTACAATTCCGTGAAGGAAGACGTGAAAAACCATCAAGACGTGCTGGTTTGTTTGACCCATTTGGTTTTGGTTACCAATGGGTTTAAATGCGTCGGTGTTGGAGAATCAAAGAACATCGATGGCTCGGAAACGAAAACCGAGTCTTTGCCTAAAGGGTGGAACGATGAGTACACTTTGCGATACGTGCATTCAGGCAGGTTGTACAACCTGAAAGGTACGATGTTGGACGATGGCATCATAATCAATTTATTTAGAGTGGACGAACGTACTGTGTCCTTGATACAGTTGAATACGGAGTCTGTGGCCTCTAGACACGGCTCTATCGAGGACATAATCCCCGACTACGGCACAGTAGTCGAACAAATAAAAAAACAGCTCATCGAAAGCATTGTAGTATCGAGCAAATCTAGAGACTCATCAAGTCAAACCGAACAACCAACAACCTCTGAAAGACCGTCGAGATCCTCCATCCCCGATCCATACCCCAGGCACTCTGGCAACCCCCTACAAATAGGGGGTGTAATGGACCCTGGTTATGGCAGAGCAGACTTGGACCCTTTCAATGGTATGGACCCCCTTAGAGGCCCCGCAAACAGAATATACCCCGGCAGAGGAGGCGGCATGTTGTATCAACCCCCTCCAATGCCAGGTCCTTTCAACCCTCACGCAGGGTTGCCACCGGGCGCCGTTCCGCCAGGGGCGAGGTTCGACCCCTTCAGGCCTCCCGACACCAGACAACCTCCCAGGGGGCCCAGGAGACCCGATAGCGATGAGATGCCTCCTCCAGGCTATGATGATATGTTTATGTAAAAAATGAGGTTATTTTTTTGCTACTTTCTATTGATTATGTAAGGATTAATAAATAATAAAGGATTCTTTCGTTATTCTTCTTATTAGAAATCATTTAAATCTTGTATAAATGATTAAATGCTAGATGGTGTAATGCTGGTTGCCTAAAGTTACACAAATTACCAAATTATGTGCCTATTTAACATAATATGTTAAAGTGAGTATATTTTTCGACATATATTTAATTTTTTTTTTACTGTATTTAAATACAGTAAAATTTTTATCTTTGATAACACTTATTCTTAAAAAAAGGTTTAACAATACTGTTGATTAGAAATTTGTATTTGAAATAAACCTTTTCTGTTAATAAATCAAAGATTTTACAAATTTAAACAAAACTATATAGTTAACATATTATGTTAACTATATAGTTTTGTTTAAATTTGTAAAATCTTTGATTTATTAACAGAAAAGGTTTATTTCAAATACAAATTTCTAATCAACAGTATTGTTAAACCTTTTTTTAAGAATAAGTGTTATCAAAGATAAAAATTTTACTGTATTTAAATACAGTAAAAAAAAAATTAAATATATGTCGAAAAATATACTCACTTTATATTGATATTTTATTCTTAAGTAAATCGATATAAAAATAATATGCATATATCTTGGTCATCCTTAGTTAATACCCAAAAAAATTGAGTATTTTTTTCAAGAAATTGGATTCACAAATTATTTCTTATCCAAGTTTTGTTAAATGACGGATTTTTTTTCTTAAAACAAATATGAGTAAAATTAAGGGTTTTGTTTTCCATATACACTCACGTGCAAAATAATCGATCCACACAAATTTTCGATGAATTTCAATCGCAAATAACTTTTTTATTTGATGTCGGATTTAAACGAATATTAAAGAATAAATTAATGGACAATCGCTCACATTTAAAAAAAATATTAAAAAATAGACGTATGTACGTTTATAATATACAGGTTTAAACAAAAAGATGTTTTTACCATAAGTTTAAGACACTCTGTAGAGTGGCAAAACCGTATATTGTTCTAAATTAAGTTTTATTTATGGTTCACCTCGAAATATTTATTTTTGTGGAAAATATGTATTTTTTAAAAAAACATTGCAATTTCCAATATAAAAATAAATATATCGAGGTGAACCAAAAACAAAACTGTTAAGAATAGATGTGACTTGATAAATAAAACTTAATTTAGAACAATATACGGTTTTGCCACTATACAGAGTGTCTTAAACTTATGGTAAAAAAAACATCTTTTTGTTTAAACCTGTATATTATAAACGTACGTCTATTTTTTAGTATTTTTTTAAAATGTGAGCGATTGTCCATTAATTTAACTACAAAATTCTTTAATATTCGTTTAAATCCGACATCAAATAAAAAAGTTATTTGCGATTGAAATTCATAGAAAATTTGTGTGGATCGATTATTTTGCACGTGAGTGTATTATATTGGCAAAAACATACACAGGGTTTCTCAAAAATTGCAAAATAACTAACTTGATTGTTTTGAGTACTTACTTATAAAAAAATACAACACTTTTTTGATGAGTATTTTTTCTAGTTTTGTAATTTTAGGAGAAATGTACCTTTCTAAAAGTGTATTTTTAACACAAACTTTCAGAAAATAATCTGTCAATCATGTACCTACCTACACTGCTATGGACTCCATGCACAGATTATATAGACTCCATGGAGTCCATAGCAACCTTTGAGAAGGTAAGAGGGGGGATGCGTAATCAGAACGTTGAAAATGTGCCAAAAGTGAATAAAAAATGGCGTCAAATTAAAGAATTCAACCCCATTTTTAGGTTATGTCGAAGAGAAAACGTCAAAATTATAACAAAATATATTAATTATATGTATTGTAAATTACAAACTAACCCAGCAAACACATAAGTCTGATTACATAGTTTCATGGCTTAATAATGGCATTTTTAGCCAAAGCCTTCCTTGTACTGGGCCTTTACAGAAATGTTTTAACAACAATATTAATTTTTATAAAATGTATTCCTTGAAAATGGATAAACAGTTTTTCACAGTGAAAGTAAAGAAAATGTTTTATGAGCACTTCACAGTGGAGTCCGAGCCCGAATTTAAGTTATAGTTTACTGCCGGCGAAATTAAAAGGTCAGTACAATGTTCATATCAACTTTTCAAATATTGGTGCTGAGAAACTATTTAAAAGTTTTGTATAGAGATAATAAAATAATTTTCACATTTAGTATTAATACTTATTAATAATTATTTTACAAGGCACTTTATTTTAACGATTGTATGACATTTGAGAACTGTCAACTAAATTAAAACTAACTTCAGCCCGTGACGAAAAACCTGTTGCTAATTTCAGCCCGTGACTAAAAAGCCATACAGACACAACTTGTCAATGTGTATTTAAAAGGTCATGGAAACATGTACGATAATGGGCGTTTTAAAGGTGGAAGCAGAAAAAAAATATTTATTTAACCACTGTGTTTGCTGGGAAACTGCCCCCTCTGGCAGAAAAATTGTACCTACAAGAAAATGGGGATAAAATTGCAGGTGAGGTCTGGTTTTTGTAGCCTGATATTATTAGTTTTCCCTTGCCTGCCCCCCTGAACAAAATCCTGGCTACGCCCCTGCATCTTACCTCTTTATTTTTAACAATATTTACCTCTATAGCCCTGTACTTCCATTTCGCAATTCTCCTTCTATATTTGTCCAAAAGTCTGACCATTCTTGGGTCTAATTTATTCTGAATTGTATCTTCCGATAAACTTAACAAAAAATACTCCCTTTCCATAACGATTTCCCTAGATATTTCCTGAACTTTCGCCACTGGCACAACGCGTTCTTGTTGTCTAAATTTTTGTTATTAAACAAAGTGATTTATTTAGAGTTTCTCTCTTATAACGAGAAAAAGGTGCTTTTTGTCCAAGTACCTTTTTCTAGTTTTAAGGCATATTTTTGTGTGGATATTTACCCAGGTGGTGTGAGTTTTTCCCTGGCTGCATGTAAAATGTCAGTGTATAATGTTTTTGATAAAATAATATAGTAAGTTTTAGGTAAATATTTTGTCTATTAACCTGCCTTTAGCTTCCTCATCTATCAAACGTTCTTCCAACTTTGCTTTAATTTCATCCAAATTTCCGGTAATTTTCCTGTACCTCAACGAAAAAACAAAATCATTGCTATTAATGCAATGCACTATGATCGGAAACAAATCAAAAGTATCTATGAGAAAACTTTTAATTTTGTTGAGTTTTATCGTTGATTTCTCGACATCGTAGGCCCATTTTCTCTTCACCAGGTTAATCCTTCCATCTAACTGTTCCTGGATGTACTCGGTGACTCTAGAGTCAATCTCCAACTCTTCCTTGGATATTTTTTGGCTCGGTAGCAACTTGGCGTTCCTCTGCAAAACACTTTCATACAACAGCTGCATTTTCTGCAGGGTCTGCCTCGTTCTATTCTTGTGCTCGTTTGCAACCCTATTTATCCTATCCTCTTCAGCTTTAACTATAGTTTCTTCAAGACTCAATTTCTCATAGCCAGCTTTGTCCTTATCTAAGGCAACTACGCTGGTTGCTCGGACATTCGGCAACAAAATATGGTATATTTTCTTCCTTTCGTACTGCGTAGGATTGAAAGTGTAAGCGAAGAGACTACCGTCGTGCCCGCAAGTGAAAAAATATCTTTCATCGCAACTAAATGTCATTTTCGGTATGAAACCATTGAAGTTGTCGTGCATCGGCAAAGTCCAGTGATTCGAAAAGTCGGTAAAATCGTTCGAGTTAACTTTATTGAAACGTATGCTGCCATCTTGCATTGCAAAGATCATGTATTGATTTTTGTAACTATAACAAAGATGTTTCTTCTAAAATCCACTTTCTTGCAGGTACTACTTACCTATATAAATAGGAATTTATTTCTATGTCATCTGCATCAGCCACCATCTTAAACTTGTTAGGTTTTGAGTCCATTTGGTCGATAAAATATTCATACATATACCCGGCGTCATATCTGGAAATATAATATAACGTTTAGGAAACTCCCGTGTCAAAAGCTCTCTCTGAAATTTCCCCATATAAAACATTCATTTTTAGAAATGTAGAATCTACAGTAAAAATATTGAAAATGTTACCCTCCCATAGATATCCATATGGTATCCCGTTCAGTATACTTCAGCCAAAGTATTTTGTTGGGTACTTCAGGTATATGTAGAGGTTCCAGCTCTTCCTCGCTATCAGAATCAGCTAAAAAGAAAACATTAAAAAACGTTTTATCTCGGGTAAAATTTGTCGAACCCAAAAACACTTCTTCATCTATTGCTATGCCGGGGTTCTCCTTTATCAACTTCTCCATTTCCTTCCTCTTCTTCTCCACCTTGAGGGCTTTCCTCGCCTCGATTTCAGCGATTCGAATGTTCCTCCTTATCATAGCTTTATACGTTACAAACCTGTTCGTCCTCGGTTTTGCATCCAACAAATACGATATGGTGGTGTAATCTTGCGGTTCGGTGGGCAAAACAGACTGCATGAAATAACCCTTATCGCAACCAACCAGAACCTCGGCATCACTTTTTGGACACCACGTTATCCAACTGACTATTTCCGGTGTTTTTATGTAGCCTATAGGCAACAGTTTTGTGGATTCTTCGTCGATTTTTAGCTGCAATACAAAAATCGTGCTGTCTTCGCCAGCTGTTACAAGAATTGTTCCCGATTTGTTGAGTGACATCTTCACTATGGGTTTGTTGTGAGGCTTGACGACCTAAATGTGTTTTAATAAGTTTATTGGCAAATCCTTTATATTCGCAGCAAACGGAAAAATATAGAACTTAAGTTAAATTTATAGGATGACTCCCCGTTTGAATACTAAATCTTAAAGTTTAATCAGAACTGTATTGAATCGTGCTTTGTTTTTATATTTTTCGGCTCTATACCTATACACGACTATATTTAAAGTCAAACTCAATGGTGTTTTACAAGATACATTTTGATTTTCTACAGAGAGGTAGAAACTCGACCCTGTCGAATGGTGCAGTCATTTATTTCTCTAGAAATTATTGAAAAAGGGTTCAGTACAATGGTGCAGCAACTTCGGATTCCTATTCTCTTCAGAGACATAGAAACTCAAGCTTTTCGAATTTTACTGGCAATGATTTTCGTTAATGTCCCCGAGAATTATACAAAAACAGCGCAATGCAATATCGCAACGGTTTCGACTTCTCTTTACTCTACCAAGTTATAGAAACTGGAGTCTCTCTAATACTGTTCTAGTCAATATTTCTGAGAGTATAAAAGGAGGGTGTAATTCAATATTGCAAGATCTTTTGATGGATGCAATATTGCAAGATGCATTTTGTTGAAAATAGTTCCTTTCTTTGGTTCCTTTGTCTGATTTTTATTGACCGTAACAACTCAGGTATGTTAAGCACATATGATATGATGTAAAGTATATTTATGTATTATATAAAGTACCTATATTTGTATTAAAAATTTCAGAGGTTATGTTGAAAAAATGATCGATATGCTATTAAATTTTAATAATTTAGTAATGAGGGCTGTTGGTAGACCCTGCACATCTCCACTGGTAGTTTTATGTTAGTTCAGCAATATTTAAATCTGGTTGATCAAAAAGTACACACCAGTGTAGGTTATTGTAGCATTCTTCTTCTTCTTCCTTGGTGGCCTACGGCCTTAATGGTCTCGGCCTCAATGAACCACTTTGACCAGCAACAAGTTTTAACGTCCATGCGCTTCACGAAGCCATAAACCACTCAAGGTATTGTACAAATCACAAAATACCTCGCTAGAAGGTCAAAGCTTGTGATATTGTCCAAAAATACAGGTATATTTCTATACCCGGAATCCAATTTTGTCCCTACAAGGTCGAATATTCATCTATAATTCATACTTTTCATCGAGCAATGTCCCAGAGATGAAAGTGCGATGCACCGCACACGAAAGACAAAACTGAACTCATTATTATAGCATGCGAACAAATGAATGAATGGCCCATTGGCAATTATTCCTTTAGGAAAAATATTCAACACAGCTTAATTAATTAATAAAATAAAAAAAATCACAATCATGTCATTTATAGTTTTTTTTCAAGCATAAAATAATTTTCATATTAATATATACTAGATCAAAAGTCAAATTACGACCTCTATACTGTGGAGAGTATTGAAACGCTCGACTGACGAATACAACTCTATACCGTGGCGAGGGTTTATAAAACTGTATTTAAACGTGGCTTCATCCAATACACTTCTATATTTTTCCGTTTGCTGTGTTGAATAGGTACCTGTACGACAGATAGATCTGAATTATCGGCATCTATTGTCAAGACACACATTCTTAGTTGGCCGTCGTCAAAACCAAGTATTAACACATCTCCACAAGCTTGCACCTAAAAAAATGTACGATGAGTCAATCGGTTTAAAAAATGAAAATGAAACGGCAAACTTACTTCGACTGGAAGCCATATCATGCAGGTCCCGTTGGCTTCAAAGCGCCTCATATAAATCCTTTCTTTCTTCAAATAGTCGTACAAAAAGAACTTCCCTTCGCTTCCAAGACTGACGAAATAGTTATCGTACGGACATGCGGCCAAGTCCATTATTTTGCCCCCGTGGCAATTGAAAATCTGGACTGAAGGCTCTGGAGGCGCTTCCAAATTCAAATCGATACTCCAAATGCCACCGTTCCCGTCTTGCGTGAGGTACTTTTGGCTGTTCGGGCCGGCCCACGCACGTCTCCTCATGTACATCAACATAACGCCTAAAAGATGATTTTTGATCTACTGCTTCTCAATAAAAGTGCTATAAAACCACAGAAGAACTTAAGTCCTGGATTCATCTGAAACTACATTAAGTAGGATCGCGCGATCTTGGTGGCCAAGATTCGATTGAGTGACATCATTCAAAGAGAAAATGTCCGAATTCCACCCACCCTTAACCGGAAATTGATAAACATAATAGATATACCAAAGATAAGTTCTGTAGCGATGATTTTAGATATGATTTCCTTTTTAAACATAGTTTGTACCATAAACTACACTCACAGGCAAAATAATCGATCCACACAAATTTTCGATGAATTTCTATCGCAAATAACTTTTTTATTTGATTTCGGATTTAAAAAAAATATTAAAGAATATTGTAGATACATTAATGGAGAATCGCTCACATTTTAAAAATTACTTAAAAATACACGTACATTTATAATATACAGGTTTAAACAAAAAGATGTTTTTTACCATAAGTTTAAGACACTCTGTAGAGTGGCAAAAACTTATATTGTTATAAATTAAGTTTTAATTATCAAGTCACATCTATTTTTAACAGTTTTGTTTTTGGTTCACCTTGATATATTTATTTTTGTGAAAAATAGGGATTTAAAAAAAAAACATTGCAATTTCCAATATTTTTCCTGTATGAAGAACTAAGGTTGCTATGGTCCATCCATAGCCTATGGAGGATGACAGTGTAAGTTTTGTTGAATCATCCCATACTTGGACATGACATATACAGCTTTCAAAAGCAATCAAATTGTTTTTTGTAAATTAATGTGTAAATTTTGAGGTGTCTTCTTACTTTTAAAAATGTCTCCGACTGATGTTGCCCTTTGTACTTTACTTCTTGTGACGTTTAAAACACTTGCCACGTAATACTGTGACCGTCCATCCTGGATTAAATTAATGGCTCTGGCAACATCAGTCGGAGACATATCCATTTTTTAAAGTAAGAAGACACCTCAAAATTTAAACATTCAAACAATTTGATAGCTTTTGAAAGCCGTGTATGACATGTCCAAGTATGGAATGATTCAACAAAACTGTCACTGTCATTCTCCATAGCCTATAGATGGACCATAGCAACCTTAGTTCTTCATACAGAAAAATATTGGAAATTGCAATGTTTTTTAAAAAAATCCATATTTTCCACAAAAATAAATATATCGAGTTAAACCAAAACCAAAACTGTTAAGAATAGATGTGACTTGATAAATAAAACTTAATTAAGAACAATATACGGTTTTGCCACTCTACAGAGTGTCTTAAACTTATGGTAAAAAACATCTTTTTGTTTAAACCTGTATATTATAAACGTACATCTAATTTTTAGTAATTTTTTAAAATGTGAGCGATTGTCCATAAATTTATCTACAATATTCTTTAATATTTGTTTAAATAAAAAAGTTACTTCCGATTGAAATTCATAGAAAATTTGTGTGGGTCGATTATTTTGCCTGTGAGTGTAGGTCTAGAATGAAAAGGTAATGGGACTTTAGTTTATCTGCGATTCTATAGGGGGAAAAAGAAGAAGATCCTGTAGGAATATAATGACTCCTTGGAATTGAGACTAAAACAACCACGAATGGGAAATGTGTGCACATGGGCTTTCATTAAACCTAATATACCTCAAAATACGTATTTGTCAAATTACCTGGTTCGTAAAAATCATAGTTGGGCTCCACCTGGATAACTCTATCATCGTCCGGAGGGTCTGCGTTATCTATTTTTTCCCACCACCACACCTTTATGTGCCCATCCATCGAAACAGTGAACAACTCTTCCCCGTTGTAATACATTTGCACTATGGGTGCATCGTGACATCTCTTCCTTTGCGATCTCATGATTTCCAGGGTTATAAGACCATCATCCCACAACAGAATATTACCCCATGAACAACCCGATAGAATCTAGAAATTGTTTAAAAAAAAATTGTATGACATTAATAAAACAAACACCTTTCCGTCGGGCATCGCAAAAAGCCCCACAATATCAGTGTACTCAGTCTTTCCAAACCTGCCCACTTCCCCTTTGAGCTTCAACCCAGTAAATGTGTCCGCCATCTTCCAAAACTTGATGTGAGCCACCCCGCAGGTTATCAACTGTCCAGGAACGAACAGAGAGAAATTAACCCTGTAAACATCGTTGACGTACGATTTGGTTCTCAGTAAAATTTTCTTCTTGGGCCAGTCCCACACCGTAATGTTGTAGTCTGGTTCGCCGCCCTGCGAGGCCAATAAAAGTCCGTCAGGGCTGTAATCCATATGGGTGTAACTTCTCGTGGTGCCTTCGCGTAAAACAGCGAAAATTTCCATTGTGGGCCACTCATAGATGATTATTATGGGCTTGTTCCCACACTCTGCTACTGCTAGGTGCTGGTATGCTTTTTTAGGGTTTTTCTACAATTTTATTGTATTTTCAAATCTTATTGTATTTTAATGAACTATACAGGGTGTCCCATAACTCGCGCCACAGAGAAAAAGGGGGCGTGCTCATAGCAATGGAGATGCCAATTTAAATTTAACAATTTAAGAATTTGTCAACAATACATTTAAAGTACAGATTATACAAAAAACAAAGGAAGACAGAAGTCTTACTCGACAAATTTTGTCCAATTGCACAACTAAATCGCGCACGTTATTTGTGTTTTACGTTGCAAGGAAAAAATTAAAAAACTTGTTTAGTACTCGATTTCGATTGATTATTTCTTATATCATTGATTAAGAAACTTAAATGCTTATATAGTTACGTTAGTGTGTGTATTTTATCTAAGGATCATGGTGAATTATTGTGTTTTTAATTGTAAATAAAATTCAAGAACAAAATCGTTGCATTTTCATGTTTTACCAAAGGATCCAATTGGGTAAGTACATTTGTTGGTGCAGAATTAACTAATGATAACTTTACCTAATATAATTTATATTTAAGTTTGGAAATTTTTAAGAAATTAGTAACAAATATTTGTTGCACAAACATAACCTTAAAATCAACCATTTTTATATTTAAGTTCTCTAAAAATCGGCGACAACTGCATTTTAAACAACAAAATATACCTACGAATTCATGGCAACATAATATTATATTAATACATAATATAATGGTATTTTACCGTTGAGTGGAGACTTTCTTAATCAACGCTTTTAATAATGCTAAATGCTGTTTAAATTTATACGACTTATTTGTTTGACGATTTTTGCTGAATTGAAATGTTTACACTTTTCACGTTAATCAATACTAAAATGTGTATTTATTGTATCTACACAGAAAAAACGCTAGCATAGCATGAATGGGTGAGCCATTAAACCAATGGGGTCTTGTAATCCGTATTCCTGAATAACAGTTCCTATAATACCAATAGGTAGTTAGCACTTGGTTTATAATCGTTTACTGTTTTTAAATTAACAACAAAAGTTATCGCTCCTAAATCTATTGATATTCATATTGATATTTATTTGTTAGAATGTTAGAATGTTATTGCATTAAATACTAATTTGATTTATTTAATAACGCTACTATTGTTTATTTGTTTTATTTTTGGAAAAAAAATAAACATTTTGGTAACAATTTTTATTTTTTTTTTAAGTTGCTTGGGGACAAGGCGCCTATTTCTACGTGGCGCCTATTAGGCAATTGCCTTAGGCGCCGCCTAAGGCAATTGCCTTTCCTGCCTAATGGGTAATATGGCCCTTACAATAATTGTATGTATACTATGTATACATTTTACGCAATAAATTCTTTGACATTTATGCAAAATATTTCCCTATTTTAATTTAATAGTAATTAATTAAACAAATTACAATTTAGATTGCTTCAATTTTAATGCATTCAATAGCAGCGCTGTTCTTGGTACTATGTTAGATTTTTTTATGTGTAATAGGTACAATTTATATTTACAGAGACTGTTTGCAATTTATTTCTTCATTCAGATTAACACTGTTTATTGGAAAACCGGTAAAAACTCTCGAAATACACCCAACAACACAACAAATCGAGCCACGATTTTTTTCCGATAGTTTTTAACATTTTCCAGCTTTATTCTCACAACACTCGTTGTAACATAAGCGTCTGACAGCTGATTTATTAAAAGTTTTACTTTTGTTACGATGATAACAGCCGAGTGGTGGCGCTACTAGCGATACTTCTTTAGCGTATAGTCCCAAAGAACATTAGATATTCCTAGAATATTTCCACAATAAACATTTTTAAACATTGGAATTGCTTTTCAGAATATATACATGAATTTTGAAATATTCTTAGAAAAGTCCAATGGGAATTCGTCAGATATTCTTCCTTTGTGAATATTCCAAGAATATTCGGAATATTCCAGGAATATTTAACCACCAACATTTCCTTGAAAATATTCTTGGCACATTCAGGATATACCAGGAATATTCAAGCGATAATTAAATACACAGAAAAGGCGCTAGCATATATGCTATAGCATGAATGTGTGAGCCATTAAACCAATGGGATCTTGTAATCCGTATTCCTGAATAACAGTTCCTATAATACCAATAGGTAGTTAGCACTTGGTTTATAATCGTTTACTGTTTTTAAATTAACTACAAAAGTTATCGCTCCTAAATCTATTGATATTCATATTCATATTTATTTGTTAGAATATTAGAATGTTATTGCATTAAATACTAATTTGATTTATTTAATAACGTTACTATTGTATGTATACTATGTATGTATACTATGCATGTATACATGTATACATTTAACGCAATAAACTCTTTGACATTTAGGCAAAATATTTCCCTATTTTGGTTTAATAGTAATTAATTGAGCAAATAACAATTTAGATTGCTTCAATTGTAATGCATTCAATGACAGCGCTGTTCTTGGTACTATGTTAGATTTTTTCTGTGTATCAAATAGCTGGAACATTTTCTTGAGAATATGCATAGCATTTTTTAGAAGTTCTGAATATTTTTAGAATATTCTTGGAATATTCATTGGAATATAACCAAACGAATGTTTTTTGGTTATTTCTGGCCAGGAAAGACATATGTATATGTTTCGCATATCTTTCTCTTTTTCTCTGTGGCGCGAGTTCTGGGACACCCTGTACATCTACCCTTATATGGCCTATTCCACCTCCCAAGGCACTTCTACGGAACCATATTTCTTTGGTCTCGACATTAAAAAAGTGCAGGTAATTCCCCGACTCGAAAACTAAATTGTCATCGTCCAACACGCACATGTTAAAGTATTTTCTGCAGTTATACCCATAGGAAAAGCTATAAAAACGATGTCCGTATCAAAATGAAATTAGCAAAGGAATCTTACTCAAATTGTAGTATATCCAATGATATAGTTCCACCCTCAGAAAGTATAGGTTTGGAAATAAAATCAGCTGAATTATAAACACTTTCCACGCTCCCGACGTCATCTTTACGAGGCTCGAAACCCTCCTCCCCCCAATCAGCTTTCACCCACTGTAATCCGTCGTAATCCACGTAATCTCCCTCCCCTCCATCGTCGATTCTGTAATCCTGAACTTCCGTGGCTTGCGAGTTTTCCTCCTGCCATTCTTCCGTTTCTTCGCCACTTTCTGTTCGTTGTTCTTCGTTGTCTTCCGAGATTTCTTCCGCTTCGTCTTCTGTTTGCGACATTTTATTTGTTTGGGTTTGTTTGTGTGTTTGTCAGAGATTTGACGCGTGTTTGATCGATAAGTTGCTATCCTAGGGGTGCTATGTAAATACCAATAAATTAAGTTTAGCTACCTTGACTGAAGTTGTTGAAATTATTTTAATAGATGAAAGCAAAGATAAGATATTATCTTTGGATGAAAGATCTAAGCAATTAAATACAAAAACCCAAATGAGTTAGTGATTTTTATTTTCTTTTTGATAAATCTGGTATTATTATTAATTATATGATATATCTGGAAATTATGACTTGTAAATAAATAATATATTATAATGAGGTAACCACATCCGAAACCAAAGTATAATAAAGTTTATGTTTATTGGGTATTCATACTAAATAATATCGTAACAAAATATTGTTTGGTCATTATCTATCACGTGCCTATATGCACCAGTGGCGGCTCGTGGGTGTATAGGAGGGTGAGGCTGTGGTTTAGTGGGGCTAATTATTTAATAATGGTTTAATGGACCTTTTTTAAAATGGACGATATCCCCACTAAAAAAATAAACAATAAAAAACAAATAAAGAAAAACTCAAAGCAATCTTAACCCAAATTGCGAAACATAAATTCGTTTTTTAAAACTTTAAAATATTATATTATGTATCAAGTTTGATAAACGCCATTTTATACACGAATTTAATTTAGGCACGAGCGAGCTTGCGAGCGAGTGCTTAAGTTAATGAGTGTATAGAAAAGTTTATAAACGAGGTGCATACTATACTTTTTCTACGACAAATACTTATTATTATATTAAAATGATTTAAATCAAAAATTTGTATAGAGCGTCATCTATGAAACAACAGGGGAAACTGTCAAATGTCACATTTTTAAATTTTTTTTATAAACACAATTATAAAGGTTATAAATCGAAATGTATCTTGAAAATTGACAGTTTTTCATAGTGAAAGTAAAGGAAATGTTTTATGAGGACTTTACAGTAGAGTCCGAATTTAAGTTATAATTTACTGCCGGTGAAATTAAAAGGTCAGTACAATGTTCATATAAACTTTTCAAATATTGGCGTTGAGAAACTATTTAATATTTTTGTATTTTTGTATTGAGATAATAAAATAATTTTCACATTTAGTATTATTTTACAAGAAAGGCACTTTATTCAGCACGTGACTAAAAACCTGTTGCTAACTTCAGCCCGTGACTAAAGCGCCGTAAAGCCACAACTTGTCAATGTGTACCTATTTAAAAGGTCACTTAGTGTCATGGAAACATGTACGATAAAGGGCGTTTTAAAGGTGGGTGTAGAAAAATATATTTATATGGATGGATAAAAATATATATATATAAATTTTTTTAATAAATAAAACAAAAAAAGCAGTTTGTCTTAATTCGTCCAACAATTGCTTTTGTTATGGCAAAAAGATCATTTTTTTTTAATTATTAATCTACAAACGCTGTTTTCAGTAATAGCATTTGCATTAATTATAAAGTAAATTTACGTTATGTTTATTAAAATAACAACCTCCCAGATGAAGAAACGCACTGATAAATATAGTCATTATTATTTGTCCAAAAAACAGCTCTACACCGTTTACAAAAACGGTTTGTAGTATTAATGAAACCCTAATGGGTTTTTTAGAAATTTTGTAAATTTTACAAATCCCTTTTAGTTTAAAATAAAACTTTTTTTATAATATTAATAAAATTTATGTAAATTTAACAACAAATTAATTGTTAATTCAATAAACTATTTTTATTGTAACAATGGTCACATTTTCAACCTACTGTTGGGTGTTGGGTAGTTTTTTTTAAATAATTGCAATGCATTAAAACAAATTAGTTATATATTATTATAACAAAAAAATTGACTCATATTATATGATGTACTTACAAAAAATATGAACTCACTTTTTAAACAACAAGTCTGCTTCGTTTATAGAATAGACCTTAAATATTTCTTTTACAAAACGTCGAAATTTTAATTTTTTTAGTGATCTTTTTGAAATTTTTATCATGCTAGATTTTACCACACTTCACTAGCACAAGTGAAATCAATAACATTATAATTATAGTGTTAACACAGACAGTGGATTATAAAGTTATGTTCACCAAGGAGAGCGCTGGCCCTTTCCCCCTCTTTTTAAGGGAAATAACAAAAATTTTCTTACAATTGCAAAACAATAGTAAATATTAAAAAAGTCTTTTTATGGCAATAAAATATTTTTGTTATTGTTCTTAAGGTAAGCTATTAACAAAGATTTTTTAAGTGAAATAAAATTAATTTGAATAACAACGATAGTAATTTAAAAAAGACAAATATGCCATAGTAAAATTAACAAATTTTACTATAACAACTGCGCATTACTTTATTCACACACACTATAGATTTAATAAAAACATTTTAAGTTCGACAAAGATTTAATATAAACATAAAGTATTTCTTCTTGCCATGACAATATGATAAGAACTATTACTTTGTTGGATGAACATTTTTTTTATATAAGCTCAACATTGCTGCTTCATTATGGTAAATGTGAATTTTATTAACAGTAAAAAAAATTTATTCTGTAAATAAAAATAATCTCATTACTTTCACAAATCGTAGGTTTTTCTACCAATAAGACACTAAAAATTTAATAAAAATCGAGCCAATAACTATAAAAGATCAGACATTGCTGCTTCATTATGGTAAATGTGAATTTTATTAACAGTAAAAAAAGTTTATTCTGTAAATAAAAATAATCTCATTACTTTCACAAATCGTAGGTTTTTCTCCCAATAAGACACTAAAAATTTAATAAAAATCTAGCCAACTATAAAAGATCAGACAACAGTTTTAAATAATTTAATCTTAATCGAAACCAAAACACGCTCTACACTTTACTATTTATTGTGTAGAACTGTAGTAAAAGTACACTTGTAAAAGGTAAAAAGCTTAAAACAAAAGGCCGTTCGTTCCTTCATTCAGGTGCCTACCCTGACGAGCCGCCACTGCCTAGATCTACCCTTTGTGCATGAGGCCATTAAATACATAGAACATGTGCGCATAGAATAAACAAAATTAAAATATTATCTGAATTGTTGACATAGGTCCACCTAAGACAATATTTAAAATATTAGACATAATACCATCTCTAAAAAGCCAAATATTAACTTAAAACTTTTAAGATGAAGGAACTACTTAAAATAAAACCCCAAACCAAGTAAAGTTTGAAGCGTCAGCATGCTTACTAAACACTGATTACTACAATGACTAATATCTGCCTGCAGAACACAAAATACCAGTTTATTTTCTATTAGAACTATTAATCTATGCAGTCATAAGGTTTGACCTTAACAACAACAGTTCTCGACAATATAGGAAAGGAATCACCGTTCGCTTAACAAATGCACACGTATTTACCATATGAATGTTGTTAGTGTGATTCTCTTTAAATTGTGACTAATCCATTAAGATTTATTGAAATTTTTGTAAAAGCTTTCTTATGCTTATATTAGTCAGGATTGTTACCGGGTTGTTATTTACGATTCGTTGCAATTAATTGCTTACATATTTTGTTAGGTTTGCTGCGTTATAATTTTTGTTCAATATTTGTTTTTCTCTACCAGTTTTGGCATAGTAATTGAGCATTAAAAAGTGGCAACTTTATTAATAATTTTAAGTAAATTTATTTTGAATTTTTACTTATATCGGTCATTATACTTTTTAGCCCCATCTACGATAGATGACCTACCTCTAAAAAATAAATATTTCACATTTTCATATCCATTGTTACTATTAATTCAATAATAGGTTTTATTTTGTTCTGAAATTAATAAAGGATATTTTTATTAAATTAAAATAATGTTAACCTCTGTAAATGTGTTCAGTTGTTGACGGCTTTTTTTTCACATGTGGGTGAATCTCACGAAATGTCCCCCGATGGTGTTACCCCGTGATATTTAATAAAACTAAATGCGTTTGACTACACTTTTATTGTGTTTTGATCTTTCATAATTAAGTAGATATTATAGCTCAGGTTCCAGATTTTTAACCGCAATTAATTATTTTTTACAATGTTTTAAAACTCTAAAACCTATCCTCCGTGACTGTTACTCTTTCTAGGTTAGCCTATATGTTTTCAAATATCTGAGGTAGTAAAAGCATACTAAAAATATCAGCTCAGTAAATTAAACACATCCAAAGCAATCGAATCAAATATAAAATATTATTAAAAACTAAAAGAAATAATTTTTATAACCATTTATGTAGGTGTTGAAAAAATTGATTCTATCCTCCGTGAATCTATTTTTGCTTTAAATTTTATGCAACGGATGGCGCTTTAATGCATGTGATTCCTGAAGGTCAGTTAGAATTTATATGCAGATGAGAGTGTTGCTGTTTTATAATTCAAATTTTCTATTTAAAAACCTATCCACCGTGAAGTGTAATATATCAGAAAGTAGATTTTTTTTTAAAATATTTTATGTCTATATAATTGTATTTTTAAAATATATTAAGGTGTCAAAAGATACAATAACTTATTTCAAATATACAAAGGGATGTTACAAAAAACATACGAAATCCTAACCTCCGTGAAGCTATCTTCCGTGAAGCTCTAATATTCAAAATGCTTGATTTCTTAAAATTCTTGCATTAGTGCAGAACCACTTATGTTATGTTATTACTATACTTGGTGGCTTCCCAAAAACCCCATTCTAGACTAACAGTGAAACAACCAAAAATAAAAAAATAATCATTTTCACTTGGGGCACATCTCAATGTATTCACCCATGGGTTTATATGTATAGTTTTTAAAGTATAAAACTCGACCTATTGAGCACACGAAAAAAAAACGGAAAAATTGAAGAAAAAACTGTTTTTTCGTTTGTTTGGAATGAATATATTTTGCAAAAAAATTCCAATTTTTTGAAGACTTGGAGAAAAAACGGTTTTTTTTTCCGACACTTTAAAACCGTAGTCGCCAGCACCAAAAGTGTGTGCAAAATTTGAGCTCAATAGGTCGAGTATTATACTTTAAAAACTACACTGTTTTATCTTCAAGGTACCTATAGGTATAGTATACTATTTTATTTTATAAAACGTAGAAAGTAAGGTAAGCAGTCAATTTTTTTATTGTTTAAACCAGGGTGGTAACCTTAATTAAGGTAGTATAAATAACAGTAGGCCGTGGCAGCAAATTCGGCAGTGCCAATGTAGTAAAATTAAAACGTACATTTTAATTTAAAAATTACAAAATAAAGTAATATTCTTAAAATTTGATAAAAACTGTTTATTTTGTAAAACTCGCGTGTGCAATGAATCTTCCAAGTAAACCGATAATTTCCGTTAATGCTCAAAGATTTCACAATCATCCGGATGATTTGCCTGCGCGATAAGGAACCTAGATGTTGTGTTATCTTCAAGTTTACGGAAAGCATTAGGGGGACACGATTATGTTCTAAAACATCGACTGCAAAATCCCAACTTAATTTGTTAGTCACATCCCGGCATCTCAACGCAATTCAAGAATCGTTCACTCGTGTGATTAATATCGAAATGAGTAATAGCACACAAAATGCGGGCGAACAATTATTTGATCCGCAGTAGTACGGTTGTAGTTGTAGTAAATGGATCCAATTAAAACTGTCATCAAAATAAATTTCAACCATCCTGTTTTATTGCGAGGGGTCCCTATTGTAGTTCTAACAGTGCCTTATTCAGTGCCCAAGTGTTGACAAGTGCAAAAAATAGTTTTTGTTTGTTTGTTTTTTTTTAATTATGGCCGATGTGCGGGGATCAGACTTTTCGGAACTAGTCCGGTATGTGAGAATTTTAATGATATTATTTGTGCGATGATTTCTTATTACAGTGACATATGCAAAGCAGATGTATTGTTTTTGTATTTTTATTTATTTTGTCTGTAACCCGCTGACGGATACACGCTCCCCGTTTCATTTATTTAATAGTTCATTTGGGTTAATTCTTTAATTGATATTAATTTACAAGTGCATTCAACTGCTAAATTTTTTAACGTATTAAACAATTGAACTAAGAAAATAATAACAACATATTTTTAAAATATGTTAATATTTTAAACAATTTAAAACATAAAAATTCAAATAAAAATGTATAACTTTTTAGTATATTTTTCACCGCAATTTTAAAAATGGTTTGTGATTAAGCAAAACTTATCATTTATGCTTACTAATCAAGCATTTTTACCATTCTTTGATATATACCATGTTTTTATATCATTAAAGTACATACTAATGAATATCAGAGCCGTACTAAGCACCTGCAGGTGGGCATCAAAATCATAGTTGAATGTTCCATGTTTGTTAATATATCAGAGAAAAATAAAAAACGAGTAAAACAATTTATTTATTTTGTAAAATAGTGACATTCACTATCTGCCGCCCGGGATAAGGGCCTCCGCGCCCCTAGATCCAGGTCTGCACTGCTGCTTGATGCAGCCCTGATAAATATCCAGAAGAAATTATAAATTGTTGGTTACATAATGTATTATTTGAGGACCCTATAAAAGCCAAGGAATACAAGTGACATTAAAAAAAATGTAGCTATGATCAGAAAAAGATTGTAAATGGTACATTTTACTTGGTATCTAAAAAACAAAGTCATAAAACAACAAACAATTTTGACTCCAAATAACAAGTATTTTTTACTTTAAACATAAACCAAACAAAATGTACTTATAGGTACCTACCCCTTGCCTTAAGAATTCTAGGGTCCTCATTTATGCCTTAAGAATTCTAGGGTCCTCATTTATGATTTTTTTAAACCATATATAAATATTCTAAACATTTAAAGCCACATAAGGAAAGTTATCAAATTTCTTACTTATCTTTCTTATGTATATTTTGATATGTCTGTATTATAGATAATAATAATTTAGAGAAATATTGTGTTTACAAACAAAATAAATATTTAACGTGACTAAAATGTTTTAATATTTGTGAATACATTTAAATTATTATAAAATCCACAAAATAAAAAATTGCATAGGTTTTACATAATATTATTTTATTAGGTACCTTAAATTAAAATTTCTACAAAATTGTGGACACCAACTTTTTTATGTTAATTTTTTGGTTTTAAATAATTTGTAATAATAATAATAATTAAAAATATTCGTAAACTGTTTTTAATACCTTTTCCTTAATATATTAATATTAATAATACATATATAAAACCACATTTAAACTGAATAATTTAAATTCATTTAGAATTTAAAGAATTGCACAATAATTATAATTATAATAATAATTATATAAATTATTCAGTTTAAATGTGGTTTTATATATTATTAATATTAATAACAATAGGTATTTTTTTTATTTTAATATTTTTAATTTATTTTATTTAAAATATAAACTTTTTGACAAAAACTGTCAAAAAATACATCTGTCAACCATTTAAGATATCAACCAGAGTCAGCATATTAAACATGCAACGATTTCAAATAATTTAAACGTAAATGCTTTATAACTACCTAAGTTCATTTTTTTAATCTTGTCTGCGGCAACGTTGCAAATTTAGGGTTTTGGTTGGTAAATACAGTTGTCAAGTTGGTCGCATTGATTAAAACAAACTAAGCTAGTTATAAATCTTATTGTGGTTATGTATAAATTATTGTAGGTTACATTGTTGAGTTGTCGAAATTCGTAGTTAAAAATGCAATTAATTTGGCTTTGGTGGTGCTTGGATGAGTAAAATCATATAAAAAAAGTAGTTAAATATAGGTTGCTTTACGGCCCAGAAGAGAAAGTATTCCTAGCGGATAATAATCTTCGCTTTGAAAAGAATTTATATAAAAGAAATTAAAATTTTTTGTGAAAGTAAATGTTGTCCAATGGTGAATAATGTGAAAATAATGTGTGATGTCATATTTATAAAACCAAGTTCGGTACTTTTTTACTCCAAAAATGTCCATAAGGCGATGTACTTTTTCTTCCATTGTGACATTTGGCATAATTTCATCAAAATGAAGTTTTGCCCTCAAAAGGGCTTTTACATTCGAATTCGTTGCTATTATTTTTGGCATAATTATCTTTTTATTTATAATTGACAAGTAAATTATCAATAATAAATATTATTGTCAATTTGACAGTGTCAAAGTATTTAATTAAATTCTTTAGCAGAAGTACCATTTTTAAATACTAAAAATACTAAGTCAAACTAGCATAAGCCACCAACCTAACAAAAAAACCCGAGTCCGGATAAAAAAAATGAACTGTACTGATCAGAAAATCGCGTTGGTTTGTTATTTTCGGGGCTCCCTGTATAAAAATAATTTTAACAAAATCATTATTGTTAATTTAATGTAAAAAAATAAGTTTTTATTTTATTTCAGGTATTCTCCAAAAATGATGACGACAGCCGGTGTTTTAACAATTATAATGATGGTCATCGGAGTAGTTGGCAACATGTTAACAGTGGCAGCCCTGTTAAGACACTCAAAAATAAGAACAGTGGCGGCGGCATTTATTGCATGGTAAGAACAAAATACAACCATACCAGGAAGAAATTTTAAATTATTTTTAAAAAATTACGAATAATTGTTTGATAAATAGTTTTTTAATTAAAAGGTTATTCACAAAATACATAAACCTCGTCTGCCTTATTAATTTTTTACTTCCTAAAAAAATTAAATACATGATTTCGGAAAAAAAAAACCTCAAAAGAAATAGTAGTAAAACGTAGTAAAACACCCGTGCATAGCGTATGCCCATGCTAAACTGTTACGTCACATGCGACAAGTCGACGAGTTTTCATTTCATAACCAGCATGCCGGTGTATCGTGTCTCGTGGCGCTGTAAGCAATTTTAAAACTTGTTTAGAAAATTTTATTTTATTTCTGCATTGGTCATTGATAATTGTATTATCCATTGGTCAATTTACATTTGAACTTTTAAAAGAATGATGTACAGGTTTATACAGGGCCGAGCCGTGCCGGGGGTGCAAGGGGTGCATGGCACCCGGGCGGCACTAACACAGGGCGGCAAAATATCATCAAAAAATTTGTATCATATTATCAAGAATAAAAAAGCCACCTTGCAATATGCAAAAAACTTTCTAAAAATCATTTGCGTTTTATTGATGTCGGCGTTTCAAGGAATCATCGTTTTTATTCTACACATAAAAACAATGCCAAAATTGTGCTGTCAGGCGGCAATGATAAAAAAGACATAACCGAACGCGCGATAGCCCCAAAAAATAATGATGACAATTTTCTTAAAGCCCGGTTTATAGATTGCCGCCCGCCCGCTTCGCTTTCCGTCCGTCCGCTTCGAGTTCGTCAAGTTTCATGTTTTACGGAAGCGGGCTTACGGGAAACCAATCAAATCGCGCGCTGTGTACCACGTGATATTGTTTACAAGCTGAAGCTAAGTTAAAGCATAATTTCTTCCGATTTGACGGCTGCGTATTTCAGCAATTTTTAGTTTTTCTATTAACGTGAGGCAAATAGGATGCAAACATAGTAGTTTATTTTGTCTTTTAATGCGTTTAAGTTAAAAACTAGTTAATGATTTAAAAGGCATCTTTCCGAATTTATTTGTAGCTTTAAGACGATACCAGTTACTGTTGCCCATGGAGAGCGGTCATTTTCGAAATTAAAACTAATTAAGACCTATTTAAGATCCAATATGAGTCAATTCAGGCTTTCAAATTTAGCAATTATAAGTATTGAAGAAGATATTTCTAACAACTTGGATGTAGGCGACTTGATTAGGGAATTTGCTATTAAAAAAGCGAGAAAAGTAGATTTTAGTTTTTTAGTTTAGTTTAATTATTTTTGTTTTTTTTCTGAATGGATTTTTATTTTATTCTTTTATGTATTTGTTAATAAATACTTTGTTATTTTACTATAAAATTTGTTATATGTTTATTGAGAATGAACTCCTTCCCTACCGACAACCTAATTTTTTACATTAATGGGGGCGGCAAATTTAATTCTTGCACCCGGGCGGCAGATACCCTAGGCTCGGCCCTGGGTTTATAAACGTTGAGGATGCAGCGATAGCGGTGAGATTTTAACTAACATTGCTTACAGGCTGTTAAAGTTACAGCACCACCAGCAAAGTTCGCTAACTAAATCTGAGGATTTCCGAATAAAGTGCTCAAAGCGTTGACAAGTTTCTAAACTTATGAATGCCTTGGACTAAGTTTATGATTTGCTTTTAGCGCTATCTACATTGTTCAAAATTTCATGACCATTTTAACACCAAATTAACACCATACATGGTCTATATCGATCAGAGATCGATATCTCTGATATTGATCAGAGATATCGATACAAACCAAAATGGTGTTAAATATGGTTCGTTGGTCCGGTGTAAATTCAAATACTAAAATAGTGTTAATTTAACTTTCACACAGTATTAAAATAAATTTTACCTGGTGTAAATTGAACTCCTTTTCAGTGTTAAATATTATGTGTTTGTGAACAAATTAAATCATACTACACAGAAAAAGAAAAAAAAAAAGAAACAGGAAGTTCCTTGACGCATTACTAGTATACCTATTACCAGTGGTATTATTCCAGAAAATGGAACCTTCAACTCGCTAGAGATAATGTTTTTAGTGCGTTCCACTAACTTAAAATACTTCAAGTATTGACAGCTGTTTCCACCTATGTATTTAAGGTCTCTTTAGTATCGAACAACTTGTAGTGTTACACCAAAGCAAAGGACTACCTGAGCTTATATATTCTTCATGTAAGTCAACAGAGGCGAGATTTAAGAACATCACGTGATCCACACCGCCTTTGCCGCGATCGGTACACACTATGCAACCGGGAATGCACGGCAAATTGTTTTAACTACGGTTTCGCGAAAGGATCGAACGGTCGATTTGCAAGGGTTCAAGAAATCGATTGAAACTTTTTTACCTTATTTCTACATCTTAATGCAGTACTTTTTTCAAAAAAAAAATCTCGTCCATTGACAACTTTGTTTTTATTTTAATTTTTTTCTTCGCTGTGTTAAAAATGAAGAAATTTCATTTTTTTTAAATAACTTTTTTATTTCAAAACGTATCGATTTGAAATTTGGACAAAATGTAGATCTTACTAATGACAATTAATCCATGAAAAAATTTTGTTTAGATTATAACGTACAGGGGGCGCTGGTAATAATTTAGTTTAAAATTTAACAATTTTTAAAGGGTAAATAATCGAAGAAGCAACTTTGTTTTATAAATTTGAGTATAGCACGTGAAAGTATTGATATTTGACTATTATTTGATATATTAACTTTTTTATGCAAATGATGTTTCTGTGGCCAGGATCAGTTTTGAATTAGCAGTAGCAGTATTCATAAATGCTTAGTTTAGTACATTTTGTCATTTTTATACAAATATTGTATGTCTTTTATTAATAATTAAGTAAAGCATAACACATAAATGACGTTTAATATACAGGGTGTTTCACGTACTTAGTCCGTTGGAAGTTTCTAGGGAATCGCGAGACATCGATTTAAAATTTTAATAGCGTAAAGTATTCGCTTTCCTAAATTATTTTAAACAAAATAATACTTCCTGTTTTACCGGAATACCTCATATATTTTTACATTATTTAATTCTACATAAAATTCTGAGTAAAATGGCTATACCATATCCTATACCTAAAGTCAATATTTTTTGAGTTATTATTTTTTCAATCAAATATTTTAATTAATTTTAAACAATGACAGATTTGGTGGTAACCATGGATACTGTTACATTAAACCACATGTAGAATTTCAGAGGTTTGTTGATACAAAATAGTATTGAATATTAGAAATTGTTAAATGTCTCTGAAATTTTAACTTTAGGAAAGAGTTACTATAATACCAATCAAAAGATTCTTTAATGTTTTATTTGATTATGTTAAAACATACAGGGTTTTACATTTATAATAAAAACGTTGTTATTGTTTGAAGTTTGCCTAATTTCAAGTGGTTTTTCTCAAGGTATTTGTTGAAAAACCTTTAAAAAACTAAACAATGTTTTAATATTCCAAAAATTCCAACCCCATGTCAACAAACATAATAACAAACAAATTAGAGGCTATTTTGATTAACGTGCATTTTAACGAAAAAAATTAATATCTTGAAAACTATTGACTTTATGTATAAAGTCTAAATCAAATTGTATATTCTATTAAAATTTCAAATCCATACCGTTTGCGTTTCTCCAGAAACACCCTGTATAGCATTATATTAAATATAAAAAAATGCAAAATAACTAATTACAAAAAATCGAAAAACAAATGAATAAAAATATAGGTATATCTAAATAGCCGATTGCAACATAAAAAGTCTTTATTCTAATTTATTTATTGGGTAAATATTACTTTCCTTAGTTAGGAATTAAAATTGAAGCTTGTTTATCGAGTAAAACATAAATTGAAGCTTGGTTGTGGAGCAAAAAATAAAATTAAAGTAGGTTATAATTTCTAACTTGCTGATACTGTCTATAATTATTATTTAGTGTATTCATTTTAATAAATTAATATTTTAAGTTTATAGTACACTTATAAATTGAAACGCAATCAGTCATTTGCAACTTATAAACTGAACTGTTAAATTATTTTTCATGCTTCCAATGGTAGGTTACCATAGAGATAAGTCTGTGATGCCTACTATGATCAAAATTAGTAAACTTAAAAAAATTTAAAATTTATAAATAAAACTAATTTTAGCTCCATCTATGGCGATTTTTTTAAATAAATATGTAAGAATTGTATGTTATATATAAAATATTGTATGTAATATATAATACATTATCTTATAAAACTAGTTAAAACAATTTATAATTTGTAAAACACGTTAGTATTACGCTCTTTGAAGGCTTAACTTAAAAATGGTGTCTCTCGTAGAAACATAATTTGCATTTAGAAGTTTATATATCAAATAATAGTTAATTACCAGTACTTTAACGTGATATACTCAAAATTATAAAACAACGTTGCTTCTTCGACTTTTTAACCCTTAAAAAATGGTAAAATTTTAAATTAAATTGTCCACCGTGCCCCCTGTATATTAAAATCTAAAAAAAATAATACGTGGATTTATTGCCACTAATAAGGTCTACATTTTATCTTAATTTCAAATCGATACGTTTTTAAATAAAAATGTTATTACAAAATATCGAAATTTATCTATTTTTAACACAGTAGAGTGACTTAAGGCCTGAAAACCACAGGGGTCAATAGATGAAATTTTTTTTTTGAAAAAAAAGTACCATTTAGATGTACAAACAAGTTAACAAAAATATATTCAATTCTGGCATCACTTGCAAACAAATGTCCAAAATTTGTTCGATTTTTACGCGAAACCATAGTTAATCGTTTTAACAGAGTGCTTTAGGTTGAAGTAACTCTTATTTTACAAACAACATATTTAGTAAAGTGAACCACACAGCGGGTTGGTTTCAGTAAAGTTTTTTGGGTTAATTTAACCAATTAAAAAAAAAATAACTATCTGGTTTAGTACCGTCAGACTAATCTTTGTTTATATTAATCTTCCCACAGTTGATAAAAATTAAAAAAATACAAAAATAAATACTTATGGGTCAACTAAATTAATATAGTTAAATTAACTATTCCTTTTTTTCTGTGTAGGTGCACTTCTCAAAAATTTTTAGATAAACACCTTTTTGGTGTTTGCTGTATATAACATTTTCAACCATAATTCATGGTGTTATATTAACACCACTTGGTGTTGGATTTTGACACCATTTTAAGATTACTCTTTACACCACAGATATTTTAAACCGTTTTAAACAGTGTATAGACTTTTTTTATTTTTTTTTTTAATTAATCATTATTAAATTCTATATATTTTAACATTTTTTTTTAGCTTGTGTATTTCGGATCTGTGCTTCTGCTTCCTGGTGCTACCCTTCTCCGCCAGTCAGTTCTTCCACGGTACCTGGATCCACGGCGAGATACTTTGCACCTTGATACCATTGGTGCGTTATGGCAGCGTTGCCATATCGCTGTTCAGCGTGGCTATGATATCGGTGAACCGATACTTCTTGATAGCGTTTCCGCACCTCTACTCGAAAATCTACACCAAATTCAAGGTATCGCTGTACATAGGCGGGATCTGGCTGTTCAGCTACGGCGTGCAGATCCCGATCTTGCTGGAGAAATGGGGCAGGTTCGGATTCGACGACAAGTTGGGCACCTGCTCCATAAACCCCGACGAAAACGGGCACAGCGCCAAAACGTCTCTGTTCGTGATGGGCTTCGCGATACCCTGCACCATAATCGTCCTATCGTACGCGAACATTTTCTACGTGGTGCGAAAGTCCCACAAACGCCTGCAAGCGCACAGCACCAGCATGCGCTACAAACGCAGCGAAATGAAGATCACCAAAATGGTATCGGTGATCTTCGTTTGTTTCGTCATCTGCTATCTACCGCTGACGATCGTCAAAATCTTCGACACCGAGGTTAGACACGCCCCCTTGCACGTGGTAGGCTACTTGTTGATTTACATGTCGTCCTGCATCAACCCTGTAGTGTACGTCACCATGAACAAGCAGTACCGACAGGCCTACTTGGACACGTTGATGTGCAAAATGAACAGCAAGCTGGAGTCGCAGAACACGCCCCAGCAACACAGCAAAACTCACATGTCCGTTTCGTATTTAAAAAACATCGTTGTTAACACTTCTCCGAAAGTTTGAAAGTACTGGGATTTTTTATAAATCCGCCAAGGGCATTCCAAAGAATTGAAACTTGTGATATAATTGTAAATAAACCATGATATTTACTGCCAAAGGCCATTTTTGCACATATTATTAGAGGAGAGTCACCAAATATGGAATACCAGTCACCAATGAGTCACTACTGTTCTAGGTATACCTACTGTGGTGATACTAAAGTGAGTGAATGAGATAAGATAACCTTGTTTTGCTTCTTTAACTATTTGTTTTATAGTAATGCTGGTATTCCATATTTGGCCACTTTCCTCTACTGTTATTATTAATGATTATTATATACATAGATTGTTAAATATTTATTCAAGTGGCCAAAAATAATAAACCCTCGATGGTATTGTTGACAGTATTGATTTTTCGTGAACTGAGTCGCCAAAATTATCGACATAAACTGAATAGTACAAAAATCAGCAATTATTTTTAGGATAGGGCAACTTTTGTATATACTCTTATTTTTATGAAATAAAACGTTTTATAAAAAATTGTTTTATTTTTAAAAATCCTTTCAAAAAATTAAGCAACATTAAAAAATATAATGTGCGCTTGGACTACACAACCCTAGGCGTATCCACGGGGGTCAATTTTTTTAACAAGAAAAAATGTAAAAACTATTTTTTAACCCCAAATAAAATAAAATTTAAAAAAATACATAAGGATGAATTTTTATTATACATATTATGTTTATTTGGCCCCCTCAAAATGTTTCTATGGAACCGCCATTATGTATGTTACATTATTTTATTTTTTTTAATTTAATGTGCAGTTTTCAATTATTCAATTGTTTGAATTCGGGCAGTTTTCAATTACCCGAAACATCTGTCATTTTTACATCAACCATTAACGATGTCAGCAATTTTTGACATTGTTATTCTTTACTTCTTTGTGACAGATGTCAAAAATGACAGGTGTAAAAAATAAGCCATGACAGATGTCAAAAATGAGAGTTAAAAGATGTTAAATTACTATTTTTATCTCTCTCTTACTTATGCACAGCCACTCATTCTTTACGCCACGAAAACTAACATTTTGTTGGTCAATTTAACTAAATTCGTGTTTTGTTTGTATTTAATCGTTAATAATTATGTATGTATGTTGCATTATTTCATTTTTTGAATTTAATGTGTAAATTTCAATTATTTAATTTTGAGCAGTTTTCAATTACCTGTAGCATCTGACATTTTGACATCTACCATTTTTTATGTCTGCAATTTTTGACATTGTTATTTTTTTACTTCTTTGTGACAGGTGTCAAAAATGAGAGGTGTCTAAATGGGCTCTGCTCTGACAGATGTAAAAAATGAACCATGACAGATGTCAAAAATGAGAGTTAAAAGACGTTAAATTAATTTAATTTATTTTTATCTCTCTTACTTATGCACAGCCACTCATTCTTTACGCCACGAAAACTAACATTTTGTTGGTCAATTTAATTAAATTCGTGCTTTGTTTGTATTTAATCAATAATCATTATGTATATTGCATTATTTTATTTTTTTATTAATGTGCAGTTTTCAATTATTCAATTTTGTTTAACTTTGTGCAGTTTTCAATTACCCAAAACGTGTTATTTTGACATCTACCATTTTTGATGTCTGCAATTTTTGATATTTTTATTTTTTTTACTTCTTCGTGACAGGTGTCAAAAATGTCTAAATGGGCTCTATTATTATTATTATTATTATTAAATGAGCTATGGCAGATGTCAAAAATGAAAGTTAAAAGATGTCAAATCACTATTTTTAACTCTCTCTTACTTACGCACAGCCACGGAAACACAAGTATGTAATTTACCACTCTCTTCATATCGATTTTCTGACGTCACTCATCTTTCATAACGCGTTTCCGCTTCCTTAACGCCAATTTGTGGTTTACCCAGTACGCAAAGAATTTTTACTTAAAAATACTGGACTGTTTCTGGTCCCGAATAAAACAATTTTTTGTTGGATACGCATATATTAAACATTTCACTTATAATATAAAAAGGCACATATTAATATCACAATGCGATTTATTGGTCTTTTTCGAGAAGAGACAAATATTGCTTCAAGAAAGTTTCCTCTCTGACTAGAGTCAAGTCCAAGTGATCGTCATCCACCATCTCGATATCTTCTTTGAGCCTTTTGAAGGCCTCCTTTTTTTCGGCCTGCTTTCTCTGTATTTCTTCGATGCTGGCCACCGCCATGTTCAAAGCGGAAATGTCACCCGGCACGACGCCATTGTTTGATATGAGTTCTTCGGCGGCTTTCATTATGTCGCCGCAGTGGTTCTGGAGGGATAATCTGGCCATTCTTGGGTCGAAACCGGCCTCTACCAGCTGCAAAGAATTTACTATGTGGTTGAAGAAAAATAAGCAATTTTTTAAGCGCTCTACTGAAACAATTGTTTTTAAGTAAAAAATCAAACACGATCACACAGAAAACGGAAAAATATAGAACTGTATAGGATGACTCCCCGTTTGAATACTATATCTTATCAGAACTGTATTGAATCGTGCTTTGTTTTTATATATTTCGGCTCTATACCTATGCACGACTATATTTAAAGTCAAACTCAATGGTGTCTTACAAGTTACATTATTTTGATTTTCTATATTCAACAGAGAGGTAGAAACTCGACCCTGTCGAATGGTGCAGTTATTTAGTCTCTAGAAATTATTGAAAAAGGGTTCAGTCCAATGGTGCAGCAACTTCGGATTCTCATTCTATTCAGAGACATAGAAACTCAAGCTTTTCTAATTTTACTGGCAATGATTTTCGTTAATGACCCCGAGAATTATACAAAAACAGCGCAATGCAATATCGCAACGGTTTCGACTTATCTTTACTCTACCAAGTTATAGAAACTGGAGTCTCTCTAATACTGTTCTAGTCAATATTTCTGAGAGTATAAAAAGAGGGTGTAATTCAATATTGCAAGAAGTTTTGATCTTTTGATGGATGCAAGTAGTTTGTTGAAATTTGTTGTCTGATTTTATTTACCGGTACAACTCAGGTATGTAAAGCACAGAGAATATGATGTAAAGTATATTTATGTATTATATAAAGTACCTGTATTTGTATTAAAAATTTCAGAGGTTATGTTGAAAAAATGATCGATATGCTATTAAACTTTAATAATTTAGTAATGAGGTCTGTTGGTAGACCCTGCACATCTCCACTGGTAGTTTTATGTTAGTTCAGCAATATTTAAATCTGGTTGATCAAAAAATGCAGGTTATTGTAGCATCTACGAACAAATGAATTAATGGCCCATTGGCAATTATTCCTTTAGGAAAAATATTCAACACAGCTTAATTAATTAATAAAATGAAAAAAATCACAATCATGTCGTATATATAAAAAAAAACTATAGTTTTTTTTTCAAGCATAAAATAATTTTTATATTAATACTAGTTCAAAAGTCAAATTACGACCTGGAGATCTCCAATACTTGAGTATTGAAATCATATACCTATAACTATAGTTATATACCCTAGTAGCTATTCCGGAAAAGTCTTGGCCCAGCATGGACAGATTTTTGCTCAAGAATTGTACAAGAATTGTTCCAGATTCTTGGCCAAGATTATTGGGCAAGACTTGAGCCAGACTGTGGCCAGAATTTGACAAGAATTTGACCAGAAATCTGAGGCCATCTATTGCTAAACTTTGGGACTATCCTATAGACTCTATATATGAGAACCTCTACTCTATAGTATAGAGAAGAGGTTCTCATTCTACAGTAGTATCATTCACAATAATGTATACTAGTCGAGAAGTGAGTTCTCTGTAGGAAATGAGTATAGTTTTTTTGTTTATGTGAAAATACGAATAAGAGCTTATTGGATTCGTCTTCTAGCTGAGAAAAAAAATGATTTTTTGAAAAATAAAAATTGTTATTTCTAAAAATCAAAAATTAAAAAAAAAAGTGTGTGTCAGCTCTGACGCATAACTAGAGTTTACTCTTTATGAACATGAAAGATTATAAAATACATGTTTATTTTTACGGGCACCGTAAACTCTTTCAAAATTTGTTTCGTTTTTAATTCTATTGTTTACCAGATTTATGGATAAAAACCGAATTTACTGGAAAGAAATCGTGGAAAATTAATGTTTTTAGTAACATTCTTAACTTTTGAAGTTCAACAAAATTTTGTATTGACCAAAAATCTTGAATTGAAAGTTCCTATTTAACGTGTAATCGTGTAAAATTTCTTGGCCAAGAATCTGGTCAAATTCTGGTCACAGACTTGTCCAAGTCTGCCACCAGTCTGGATAAAGAATTTTGATCAAGAGTCTTGGTCAAGAATTGTCCAATTCTTTACAAAGTGCTTCTCCAAGTATCTTGACAAAGAATCTTGTCCAATTCCATTGCTACTAGGGTAGTTATAGGTATATGATTTAAACGCTCGACTGACGAATACGACTCAATACCGTGGTTTAGAAAACTGTATTCAAACTTCGCGTCATCCAATACACTTCTATATTTTTCCGTTTGCTGGGCAATGTTATTTTAACTCTTTTTATAAATCCATGACAAAGTATGACGTACTTACTTCAGGCATTAACTCTTCAATGTACGCCAAAAACTCCTGGCTTTTGGTCTCGCTGGGCCCCGGTAGAGGGTTCTCCTGTATATACTGAACGCTGTCCGATATGATGTTGTTGCACCTCTGCAGCGCCCTCCTGGCGATCTCGCGATTGTACCCCATGTTGACCAGAACGCGCAAGAAATTCGGATCGACGTACTGCTTGCCGTCCGCGCACTTCCCCAGCTTCTTCTTCTCCTTCTCCATGATCTCATCGGCCATGGCCTTCTGCCTCGCCTCCTTCCTCTTCTCGCGGTTCTCGTTTACGAAGTTGGCGGCGCGATTCACGTCGCCCCGCGACACCCGCAAACCCAACCTCGCTTCCGCCGGGGAAAAACCGAGCTCCACCAGGCTCATCAGGCCGGTCTCGTCCACTTGCAGGCATTGCAGCTCGTTCTCGGCCTGCCTGAACAGTCTGAGCGCTTCGCCGCGGCTGTTTTGGTGGTACAAAACGATGGCTTGCAGCAGGTGCAAACGCATGAACAGAGCGGCCTCGTTACCTAAATTTTACGGGTCAATATGTTTCGAAATGCGGTCAGAAAACATGCGTCAACTGCTGTAAAACCTATACAACTTTACTGTATAGAAAAATGGTGGATATAGATTTAGTAAATTTGAAAGTAAACGACGTGCACGTCATCAATCAGCTGATCGGGCACGGTTGTCAATGTGATGCTAAAATCTATTAATCTATGGCTAAAATCAGTGCATCAAGTGAAAGTGGTAGTGCAACTACAGGGCGATAGATAGCGTTTACATGAATAATACCATAGGGTCCCTAGATTTTGGACCTTATAATACCAAAATGTCAAGTCTTATAACCTATATGATGCACCGCCAAAAGTATGTTTTTAGCCATTTTTAAAGACATTTTTAGCTATAAAAACCAGAAATTTAGCCATCTAAAGTCAGTCTCTGGTATATATGTAACGGATAATGTGCAAACTTGGATAGTTTATAATAAGGTGACCAACCGTTCTGATTTAACCAGAACTATACTGTTTTTGAGAACCATGTTCTGGTTGTAAATTAAGTAAAGTAAAAGTTCTGTTTTTCAAAAGCTTTTCTGTTTTTTTCTGTTTTGATACCTACATATACCTACAATACTAATTAAGCCATAAACAAAAAATTATATTTTCCACTTTGCCAGATTTTCCGCCCAATTGTGCAACCCTGCTCGCCCCACTAAATACAAACTCTAAATGATATGCATCTGCAAAGAGGAAAATGCATCTTTAATGCAGAAATGCAAAAGAATTACCCATATTCTTGTGTTTATCTTGAACAAATAGTCCTGTAGAGAAAGTTTTTTCCAATATGAACAACTTTTGGACAAAAGACAAATCACAATTGCATATTGAAACACTAAAATCATTATTAGGTTTGTTAAAACTAATTTCGACCAAACATGCTTATTAAGCTGCTTAAAAAAATAAAGTACTAATAAAAAAAAATCACTCCCAAGAAAAATAGAAATACATATACACATTTTAATAAAAAATACAGATTTTTTATTAGAGTTCTGGTTTTTCTTTCAGGAGAGTTGGTCACCTTATTTATAAACTAGCTAGATAGTTTATAAAACTAGCCAAACTGTCAGCTATTTTAATTGAAAATGTATTTTCAACTAAATTAGCGGCTAGTTTACAAAATAACCAAGGATCTTGGCTAATTTACTTGAAATTATTAGCGAAACTAAAATAGCTGGATAGATTGTATACTACCCAAATAGCATTTTCATTAGAGCTTCGCGACTCCCGACCAAATTTGTACCAGAACCAACGTCGGTCATTGTGCAAATCAAAGTTGTTTTCGAACTTCTAACATAAAGTTGCAAAAAGTCGTCCAGACGACGACTGCACAACGTCTGCGACTATAACACCTATAGAGTATTATAATCTGTCCACTGATGACGTCCGCGCAACGTTTAAATATATGTAGGAAATATTACTGGAGTACGGCAACGATGGTCCGACGTTGGCTTCTTTCCCTCGAAGGCAACGTTGCGAAGTAGTGCAAATGGGACGTCGGACTGTAGGTCAAAAATGTGTTGTTTTGTTTATTTTTCTATGGTTGAAAGTGAGGTTATAGTTGCGTTGCGTTTTTCTATCTTGCGTTTGTTGCAGAGACAAGTTGTCTATATATGGGTCTATGGGCCAATATAAAACCCCATTTTCCTCCCATTGATGGGGTACCGGCTCGACTTCCCCTAGATCTTTTATTTGAACAACTTTAAAATGATGTTCGCCCATTTTTTGTGCAAAACAGACACAGACCAACAAAGAATTAATCAACAAACAAGTCACCATCCAAAATAAGTGATAGTTGTGTCTACAGACCCGAAACGACGTTGGGGCAAATAGTCGGACCGACGTAGTAATGTAATACGAAGGGTGCACCGCGGTCGGAAATGGTGCGCGCTTTAAGACTTGGTTGTCCTCTTGGTCCAAATAAGTAATGAAACAGTAAAAATTTATAGACACTTCGTCGGAGTACGGTTAAATATCTGGAGTTTCCCAACTACGCCATTTTTATATCATCCATATTTGCAACTCGAGTAATGATCATCACGAATATTCACTTTTACCCATTGAATGTTTAAAATAAAGTTAAAAATTATGTCTCGTAGTTTTTAGTTAATTCTTAAAGATGTTTTGGTGCATTTTCACATTGATATCTGCACAAAAAAAAATATGTTTATTTTTTTTCTTCCGAAAAATATTGTTAATTTAAATATTTCTTAGGGCGCATTAATTTTTTTCGATCCACCTCGGTCACATTCATCAGTAAAGTGACCTGTGTTTGTATTTTTCAAGAATCTCTCAGCGATACAATTCCATTCTTAACGAAAATAATATCTATAAATTAGTTAGTGTAAGCGACATGATTGTTTCGTTTGTATGGATGATTGTGTTTGATGCCACGATGCCATCTGTTGGTTAAAATATATTCGTACTCTATGATTACACAATGTTAATCAAGAGGGCGCTAATCACTAGCGGCCAGTGTTAGAAAGGTCGTCCCGAGTATATTGTTTTGGAACAAGACGACGTCGGGAGAGTCGTCCAAACCGACGTTGAATTTAGTAAGGAATTCTTTCTTAATCCGACGTCGCGTCCGACGTCGTACCGACCAGGATTTTTATTCCCCATTTTGGTGCAGATTCAAGTAAATACGTAGTCGCGCAGACGTTGTGTACCGACGTCGGGTTGTTATAAGCGACGTTGGCCGGACGTCCAAATGCTATTTGGGTATCCAATTCAATTTGGCTAATATGAAAACCAAAATTTCTAGTAACACAAAATAGCCAAGCTTTAGCTAGTTTTTAAACTAACCAACTTATTCTCTGGCTATTGCCCATTTTAGTTGGTTTTTTTGCTCAATGAGGGTGGGTCGGTTGGGTTGTGTTGTTGAGTTTTCTAACAAGGAAGCGTTAAAATTTTGCCTATGATTCATTTTAAAAGCGTTAAAATGCACAAAACAAGTCCGGTTAAGCCGGCAAAACGAAAAACAGTAATAAAAAAATTCGATTTTTTTGGCTTTCTGGTCCACGGAATGTTCTGACCTAACCACCAATGAAGAATTTGCTATTGTTTAAAAAAAAATGCCATACTCTACATGAATTTGAAAAATCATAAAAAAAGTGCTATTGCAATAGCTACCATGGTAGCTTTTTAAAAAATCAAGCGCTGAATCAAAAATATTATAGGTAGTTACTTTTTTTAGGACCATATCAAAACAACCGCGGCCCTTATTGGTCAATTCGGTGGTGATGGCGCGTGCATAGCGCGAGACTGTATTTACATTTACTTATTGTCATTTAGTGGCTAATTTTAGTCCATGAACTGGATTGGAAACATAAAAAATTAGACAAATGGGACTAATCTTGTTTTTTTTCAAGTCTCATTTCTAGATAGTATACAAACTATCCAGCTATTTTAGTTTCCCTAATAATTTCAAGTAAATTAGCCAAGATCCTTGGTTATTTTGTAAACTAGCCGCTAATTTAGTTGAAAATATGTTTTCAATTAAAATAGCTGACAGTTTGGCTAGTTTATAAACTATCCAAGTTTGCACATTAGCCATAAAATATATATTCTTATTTTATTGTATATTACATATGACACAGTTGGTGCATGTTTCCTTAAATCCTAAATAACTGGGGTTTGCACATTTTTAACTATTAAACTGTTATTGCAATTTTGTTATTTTTAACGTAAAACTCAGGTTTTTAATAAACTGCAAACCACCTGTTTACCTGCTGATCCCTTAATAGCGATCAACCGTTCCATGTTGTTGCCGTACGTGCTGTGAAACTTTTCCTCGCATCTTTTTAACCTCACATATGCCTCCGGAAGCTGCGTAAAACTTTGCAAGCACAAGTAGCACCATGCGATGTCAAGGTCGAGAAGTGCGAAATTATCGACGGAATTTAAAATTTTCGAGGTGCAGACTCTAATAAATAATAAATGTTGCATGGTGTTAGTTTTTTTATTTGCAACCAATCTTTATTCTATTTGCATTTACAATACTTAAAAACTTACTTAAGTACTACTTCTGATAGTACTGAACAAAAATATACACTATAGTGTTATAATTACCCAATATAAAAAAATACTTACTTGAACTCATGTTCAGCCTCCAAAAAATATATTAAAGCCTTTGAATAATCCTCCTTCTTCAATGCAGCCTTACCCTTTTCATTTAAAGCCATTGCAACAGTTAAAGCCTTTCTTTCCGCTTTTGGAATTTTTATGGCATTACCAAATTGATCTTCAATCTAAAGTTATACAAAAATATACAGTTTGTTTGGATTTGTATTTATTATAAATAACCTGCATATAGTTATCATCTAAAGCCAATAATCTTGAGTCAGTTTTAACATCTTCAATCTGTTTGATTTCTTTCTCTTTCTGTAATACTTCGTTTGGAGTTTCAGAGACTATTATGGCTAGCAAATTTTGGCCGTTTTTGACGCTTTGGGAGCCCAGAGATTCGCCATCTATTAGTACTTTACCGCTACTTATTAATTTTAATCTAGAATCAACAATTTTTAATTGTTGCTTCAGTAAAATCATTTTCCCAATGAACTTACCTATCCATAGATATATTGGTATCATTACTCAATATATCCTTTAGGTCTATAGCCCTCATACTGAGCAATATTTCCTTAGTTATGATTCTAGCAGGGCTTTGTGCTTGCAAAATCTTAATTTTAATTGTTGCCTTACCAGACTTCTCAAACTCATTTTTCTGCTTTAAATTTTCAATAGCAACAACTTGCAGCTGCCCTATAATCTCTTTACATACCCCACTTGGTATATTTAGACCCTCACTGTAATTTTGTGATATACGCTACAAGATAAGGAAAAAATCAAATGCTAGATAGTTTTTAAAAACAATAACTGTCCAAGAGATTTATCTTAAGTTAGATATAACTATCTTAAAAATGTCAACTAAAGCTTGTAATAACTGTTTAAGAATGTCCAATTAATCTATAGGAATGTAAACGTAGGTCTATAATAAATAGTCCATTTTGTCAGTTTCCAAAATTGTCAGCAGTTATTGCTAAAAAAAATTGTTGGACGTTCTAACGAAAAACAATATTATTAATATATTATATACTTAAATAGTTTTTATGATTGTGATAATAATTAATTTCACAAATAATTACTTTTGGCAAAACAAAGAAATGTACAAAACTTACCTCAATGTCTGCTGAACTTGACGCGCACGTTGTGTCATTGTAATATGGGGCCAGCCATAATTTTACGCCGTCTTTACGTAATTTATCCCGAATTTGAATGGTAAAATCTTCTTTTTCAATAGAATTCATGTTGCACAAGTTTTTGAAATGTCATGTAGGAAAACAAACACCAGTGCCAACTTAAACACAAAAATAAACAAACTTAAAACCGACTGTTTTAAATAAATTAACACGAGTTTTAAACATTTTTAAATAAATAAACCATATTATTTTATTATTTGGTTGTTTTATGTATTAAAACGTCTGCAAAATAGCAAAATAAAACATTTTTAGTTTTATGTTGGGCAGTGTATCCGTGTATTTGAACTACCTCAGGTGTTTTTTGAACTATTGTGAACTTAACCTGAAAAAGTGCAGTTTTTTTCAAAATTCTCAGTAAAACACCCTAATTATCAAAGAAAAATGATATTTTCAGACTCGTTTTTGTTTGTGCTGTGCCTAACGGACACCGGAGCTATCTTATTCTTATTTGTATACTTTGTATCCTTTAAAATAATAGATATTTACAACAATATTATTGGTTTTCTTAACATTAATTTAGGTGATAACAATATCGGACTTGGAATGCGATTATTTGAATGCACAGCAATGCTGTTCAAGACTAAATAAATGGGTGATGCCGAAATTAATAGCGCATACTTTTCTAACAGTGATTTTACTGTTTCACGGGCATTGGGCGTTGTTTTTGTGCAACGTGCCGATGTCTTGTTGGATGGTTTACGAGTTGTTGAAAGTACCAACTGGAAATATGGGTGTGTATGACCCCACAGAGATTCACAATCGGGGTTTGTTGAAAAGGCATATGAGGGATTGCATGATCTACTTGGGGTACTATTTGCTGTTTTTCTTCATTTATTTGTATTGGTAAGTACCTTTTATTATTACAAAAAAAAAATAGTTTTATTTGGCTTAAAATATTTGCCATAAGGCATTATTAGGCATTATTAAAATTTAAAAATATAATTAGTAAGTTTGGTGTCTTTTTTAGTATGATTTTGTCATTATTGAAAGGTGATCCAATCAAAAGACACCAGGAGGGGGAGATAGATTTCTGATTGATGAAGGAACTTTCAGCTAAATATAATAAACATCAATTTTAGTATTTATTTTAAATCTCACAAGATTTCGCTCACGATTTTATTTAATCATCTGTACGAATTTGTATAATATTTGTATAAATTAAGACTAGTCATTATAATGATATATAATATATTACGTAATTAATTATTAAAAAGTATTGATAATATGTATAAATCTATAGATATATCATGTAGGTATGTCAAAAAACTTTTTAAAAAGTATTAAAGTAAAACAATAATTGTAATAATAATTAAATAAAAACTTTAAAAAGTATTAAAGTAAAACAATAATTGTAAGAATAATTAAATATCGTTTTGGGAATTATAATTAATTAATATTGTGAAGATGTAGATGTCAAGTGATTATTAGAAGTAATTTATCTATTTATTATAAAAAAAATATTTCTCTTTAAAACAACATTATAAAAATATTAGAATAGAGGTAAATTTGAAATTATGTAAGTGTAATGTAAGTGTTATACATGTATGTAAGTGTTTGAAGTTTTTCCAAACAAAAAATTGTGAAACAAAAAATATACAACTTTATATATAAAAAAAAATATTTTAATCTATTGCAAGTAGGGTATTACTTAAGGTTTTTTAGGATGATATGTTCTATACAGTTTATCTGTATTTTGACATTGCGGGCTTTTCACACTTTTTTTGTTTGAAAAATTACAATGGGAAACAAGGTAAACGATTTAAAACTAAAAAAAGGGAATTTTTCAACAGATTGACAGTACTATACAGAGACTTTCTGAACCAGCCCTGTATAGTATAGTCTATTGTCAGTTGACACTTAAAAATATTTACCTATTTATATTTTATACACATCAATTTACAATGAACCGAAACCTTGATAATGTAACTAATAGAGGAGTTACAACCAACATAGAAACAGGTGTGACAAAAACATATAAAATATTTTATAAATTAAATAATAATTTTCCAGATACTTCTTTAAGTGAAAGCTACGACAAAAAAGAAAATAAACACCCTAAACGAACATTTAGTTGGGTGAAAAAGGATTTAGAAGCAGTCATAGACCTGATGGGACCTGATACCCCTCAATTTAGCCAATCAGTTAATATAAATAATGATCATAAAACCACTGATTGTTCAGTTATGCAAAAAGAAGAAAATTCATTGGTAAATTAAAAATGTAGGTCCAAAATATTGCTTGTTTTGTACTTAAAATAAAAAAATTAGATTTCTACCCATGATGATTCTCAGAACCAGACCACCTGCACTGAAACCTTACCAAGAGATGACCAGTCATCATGGCAAGCAGAGCCAGCCACCACTGATTATTCAGTTATGTTACCCCCTTGCCCACCCCCAATTTACGCAAATCAACGTGAACATGCTTGTTTTTGTCCTGAAGAAACTCGGTATGAGATTTTAAGGTTATATTCGATATTTTAGGTTAGAACTTTGACAGAAAACGTCAACTGTCAAATTGATTATTTTTTACATGAAATGTTGCCAAATCAATAACAATTGGTATGTTTTTATAGAATTGGCAATAGACCAGTGAAATTAGCTTACCCAAGAGCGCACTCTCCCATACCGCAACGTATGTATTACTCATAAATGTATAAAACATAAAAATAATTAATTAAAGGTAATAAAAATGCAAAAAATAGAAAAAACAAAAGGCGTAAAATTTTTACGTGGCTGCAATCAGTTATGGGTGGAAATATCCAGGAGGAAATTGAATCTCAACAGAGCGATCATTACAAAATTAACGCTGAAAAGTCGACAATGGATAAAGTACCACCAAAAGTAAGACCATTTTTAGGTTATGCCAAAATAAAAATTCTGAGGGAAATAGGTAATTCCCTTAATTAATAGTATATTATGTATCAAGTTTTATAAACGCCATTTTAGTTGCGAGTTTAATTAAGCACGATCGAAGCTTGCGAGCGAGTGTTTAATAAAAACGAGTGTCTAGAAAAGTTTATAAACGAGTTTCATACTATACGTATATATATACTTTATCTACGACGAACACAAAACAGAATTTAAAGCCAATTTTATTTGTTAAAATTTTGAAATCTGTCAAGTGTCACCCGAATTTAACCTCACTTTTTCCCAATTTATAATAAAGCACGAAATTTAAAAAGCTCCAGTATTTTCTACTAAAAAAGTGTTTTTAGAGATTAGTATTTGAACTTGTGGACAAATCGCAAAAGAAAAAGAAACCCATAATAATACAGTGCAATAACCCTGCGTGTAAAAGAATGGCCCCTGAAAAATACAAGGATTTCAAAAACAGTCAAAACAACGAAAAAATGATGATACGAGAAGTTTATCAAAATGACGACATAGATATTGAACCTTTTTTCGAGAATAATACTTTTGGGCAATCGCCCAAAAAAGCGACTTTGTTGGACAACAACGGAACCACCAGAGTGGATGTGTATTATTTTGACCATGGAGACTCGAAGTAACCACTTTCTCCTCTATATTAATCCACAAAATAATTTTAACTTTCAAGATTCTTGCAAACAGTTGATAGAACCCCGCTGGCTGTATCCGAATTATTGGCCGAAAAAACGGAAAATTACACAACAAAATTTTGGGCCGAAGTATTCGGCACTGTACACATCGGTTTTTCATTTTGCACGTCGTTTATACTGCAATTTTTCAGGTTTTTATTGTTACATTGTAAAATACCTGAGAACAACACTTTAATGGTTTGAGGTTATGCAACTGTCAAAATCTTAATAAAAAGGTCTTTTATTCAGTCAAAATGAGTGTAAAATGTTTAAATTATTGCAATAAAACAGCATAAATTAATAAATTGCAACATTTCTATGCTTCTACCAAGAAATTAAAATAATTTTGTCAAATTTTATTATTAATTCTACTAAAAGTGTTGTTCTTAGGTATTAAATAGCCACCTTATAACATTTTATTTTAGATTTCTTACCGTGAGCCTTTTGAGGCCTTTAACTGTGGGTCTGCTGCAATTGAGTTCGGATTATTTTTTGAAACCGTTTTTGGCGACTTTTTTTAACGCTCTTATACAACCACCGCTGGTTTTTCTATTTAACATAGCAACTTCCATAAGGGACGTATTAAAACCTTTGGCGGAAGGAATGGGTTTCTTTATAAGGGAGTTTTCCGTATTTGTGGGATCCTTAAGGTTTGTGGAAGTCAAGAAAAACGATATATGCGAAATTGAGGAGTCTGTGCGGGGTTGTAAGCATCAAAAGTGTGATCCTAGAGTGTAACTTTAAGATAACAATGTATTTTAAGCTCAATATATTATGTCAAATACGTCATTTTGTTGATTGATTGGAAATTTTAGTTTTTTTGTAAATTATGCCGGAAAAACAGAAAAAAAACAAGAAAAACAAACAGGACAATGAGGACGAAGAGGGTGAAGAAAAAAAAAAATTACCATGAGTTTTGCATACCACATTGGGAATACGTCGAAGCCCCAAAACCAGCATGTTTCACTCGATTGGAAATATTGGCCAGGCCAAACAAAAATTTATTAATGAACACTTTTATGCAGTATAGGGATAGGTTTCCGCAATGCAGGGTGGAAAAGATGAAAATTATGCTTCAAGAACTATGTGCCATGACTCCAGAGTAAGTTAGTTTGTGCACAATGCGCATGAATGAATATTTAATTTTTATTTTTCTTTAAAATTAAAAAAAAATATTTTCATTAGAAGTTTTCATACATTTTATTCAATGATATTATCATATGAAAATCGTGTTTTTCATATATTTACTTATTTTCGGGCAAAAATGTTGCGGGAGAACATAAAAAAATCGCGCACGACAGCAATTTACGAATGCGCGTAACATATCTTGATTTTGACGTTCTTAGAGATGCAGAGAAATATTTTGCGGAAATGCGAAGCAAAGCTGACGCGGCGGCTTTGAAGAGAAAAATTCAGAACATGCTGAAGATGGCGTGCAGCAAACAGAAAAGGAAACAAAAGGAAGAAAAAGCGTATAGGAAGGCTAGAAAAATAATCACAAAGGGTTTAATGTTTGCTGCTTTAAACGAAACACCCCCCATACATTCTATACGGTTGAGGCATTTGTCAAACATTATTTTGGAGCAACTTTGCGACTTATTGGATATCCCGCAACCTGAACGATCCGCTAAAGGTAAATATACAGGGTATCTCCTGATTTTATCCAAACATTAGTTCCATTTTATGAGTTTTCATCTAATTTTACAAGGTCTACATTGTAGACTCTACAACCACCGTTTTTAAGAAAAATCACTTTTAAAATTTTTGGTCCTACATTATTGCACAGCTATATCGCGCACGGAAAAAATTAAAAAACTTTTTTAGTACCTACTCGATTTCGATTGATTATTCCTTATATCATTGATTAAGAAACTCAACGCTTAAATGCTTATATAGTTACGTTAGTGTGTGTATTTTATCTAAGGGATCATGGTGAAATATTGTGTTTTTAATTGTAAATAAAATTCAAGAACAAAATCGTTGCATTTTCATGTTTTGCCAAAGGATCCAATTCGGGAAGTACATTTGTTGGTGCAGAATTAACTAAAGATAACTTTACCTAATACAATAATATAATTTATATTTAAGTTTGGACATTTTTAAGAAATTAGAAAAAAAATAATTTTTGCACAAACATAACCTTAAAATCAACCATTTTTATGTTTGAGTTCTCTAAAAAACGCCAACAACTGCATTTTAAACAACAAAATCCCTACGAATTCATGGCAACATATTATATATAATACATAATATAATGGTATTGTACCGTTGAGTGGAGACTTTCTTAATCAACGCTTTTCATAATGCTAAATGCTGTTTAAATTTAGACGACTCATTTGTTTGACGACTTTTACTGAATTGAAATGTTTACACTTTTCACGTTAATCACTACTAAAATGTGTATTTATTGTATCTAATAGGTACAATTTATATTTACAGAGATTGTATGCAATTTATTTCTTCATTCAGATTAACACTGTTTATTGAAAAACCGGTAAAAACTCAACCAAGGATTTCCTCTCGAAATACACCCAACAACACAACAAATCGAGCCACGGTTTTTTTTTCGATATTTTCTGGCTTTATTCTCAAAAACACTCGTTTGTAACATAAGCGTTTGACAGTTGATTATTAAAAGTTATACTTTTGTTACGATGATAACAACCGAGTGGTGGCGCTACTAGCGATACTTCTTTAGCGTATAGAAGTATGTTGCTTCTACTACGTTACAACGCCACCTATATCCTAGAGTGCGAAACACGCTTAACCAACTGACATATACAAAACTGTAGATCAATTGACTTGCAACTTATTTTCAGATAAATATTCCCTGCTGCTAATCTCGTTATCCGATTGGATGGCAATAGCGATAGAAAAAATATATTTCCCAATAAGAATGGCGAATACAAAAATGCTTAACCAAATCGATTGGAGACATCGGGAGATTACATTAAACGAACCCATAGACTTTGGGGAACCGTTGGCTGCATCTTCCGGTATAGATATGGGGGATGATGAGCCAAAAGATATACATCTTAACTTGGATAATTTTGAATAAAATTGTGAATGTTTAAATGTTGTTTTATTTCTCAAATCTACTGTTTTCATATATTTAACACCCTGTATATTAAATTTTAAAAAAATTCCTTAATATACTTACAATATCATATATTAGTAAGTAGGTACAGCAAGACCAAAAGTACAAATGTACTGTATATATAGAATTAATTTAGAATAATGTTTTTGACATGTTGTGTACATTCCATAACTTATTTTTGCTTATATCATACCTATATTGATTTTCAGTTGTGAACCTACTTAATTAAATTAAAATGTTTTTCCTGGGTTTCTTAACTAGATTAAAATAATACAGGTCATAATCAAAGAATGATTGCAAGCGGTAAGTAGACTTTTTTCATACAAAAATATCTAGTTTTGTTTGTTATGATATTGTGTTATCTATTTAAAAATGGCTTGTTAATATTTAATGGTGTTTTTTATTGTAAGTAGACTTTATTTTTAATCGCTTAAAATTGCATTTTTTGGTTATAAAAATTCAATTTAATAGGACCTATGGACCATTTTCATCATTATTTTCATTAGACAAGGTTTTTAATAATAATTTTTAATTGATATTGATATACAGGGTGTGCCAACATGTTAAGGTACATTCCTCCTGAAATTACACGGCGAATTTTTATTTACCTTTTTTTCAAATTCACATAATTTCAGAAATTATCATAAATAACAAATTTAACTTTTAAAACCGTCAATGAGCGCAGTATTATAAACTTGTAATCTGGGTTGCCTATCTACATCCGAACATACAGAGCCCATAGACATTAGAGATCATGTCGATCATGTGGTATATACCCTAGATAAATTCTATATACTGAGTGAAAGTCACATATTTATGTGGTATGTACCCAGAGCTTCTCCGAAAGAAGCAGAATACTGCGTTCTCATTGGCGGCTTTAAAAGTTAAATAATCTTTTGGTTTTTAAATCGACCATGTTGGCAACACTGATGATAATTCGATCGTTATTTGCCGACCTGACAGATGAATGACGTCACAATGGACGTCAGACATAAATAAAGACGAGAATTGTGAAAATTTGTAAATAAACAAAACTTGAACGATGTCCGAGTTGAAATAAAACGTGCAACATGAAATTCCAGAACTGCGCGTCAAAGTTCTAGGACACGATGACGAAGAAATTCGAGTTCGACTGGAAAATACCAGTGCCGGAGCCCCTTTTACAGGGCTGCACGTTCGATAGGTGGACCGAGGAGAAAGACAACGTCGAATTGGAGAAGAACGCCTTCTTCAAAGTCGACGAGTATGGCTTTTTTATTTACTGGAAAAGCGAGGGAAAGGTAAACCATTGAATGCTTTAAAGGTGGCTGTATATTCAGCCAACTTCTTGTTTTAGGAGGGAGACGTGATAGAGTTGTGCCAAGTGAGCGATGTGAGGGCGGGTGGGGTGCCCAAAGAACAAAAAAACAGCAGCTTTTTGGTCGGCAAACATGGGCCTGAACTCGAGAATAGATCCCTTACAATTTGCAGTGGCACTGACTACATTAACATCAACTACCAGCATATTGTGTGTCCCGATGTTGAAACTGCTAAAGTAAGTCACTCTTGATTTGTTTATGTGGGGTTTTATAAAACATAACCTAACTTTTTCATGTTTGAGTCAAATGTGACATATTTTTATTAATATTTTAGGATTGAATATTAACATTTATTTTTTGTATATTCGTTTATAAAAAAACAATTTTATTTAATATTTTCAAAGTGACTAGGTGCACGTTAGAGTGCCTGCAATTTATTTTTTACGGGCACGCTAGTGACGTAATAGATAAAAAACGTCAGTCTTTGTTATCTATGGTCATCACTGCCGTGCCGCTTAATTTAAAATTGGCGGCACGACTATAATATAATAATAAATTGTACCTGTATTCATGTTTATAGGGTGTCTCTCAGATTTTATTAGTGAAAATTTTGTAATCGAATCGAAAAAATAGGAAGAAAAATGTAGGTATAAGAACTTGTAAGCTCTGAAGCTTTGTTTTCAAGATACAGGGTATTTAGTTAGCAAAAAAATCACTGTATTGTAAGTTTAATATTATATTTAGATTTTTTCAGGGCAAATAAACAAATTTTTAATGATATCATCATCAGGGTTAACCCTGCCTAAAAGAGATTTGACTTATGTACTTTATAGTATTAAGTTCATACCAAAAGAACTGATCTTTAAAAAAGAAAAAGTTCCAACCTGACAAAAACCACATAAGTTCCATCTGAGCGATTCCACGCGTAACGGATAGGACATTTGCCGTGTTTTTATTTACAAAATAATATTGTTCTATTATATTACCAATGTCAAATTTTTATAAATAGTTCTAAACTAAAGCTGTTTAACAAGGTTTTTATTTGGCAAAATTAGGTATCGTGGTTGACTGTTTAATTCCTTAAAAACTAATATTTTAAAGCGTAACGGACGGGACTTTGTAATAGTCCCGTCCGTTACGCTTTAAATTATTATTTTTTAAGGAATTAAACAGTCAATCACGATACCTTATTTTGCCAAATAAAAACATTGTTAAACAGCTTTTGCCTAGAACTATTTATAAAAATTTGACATTGGTAATATAATAGAACAATATTATTTTGTAAATAAAAACACGGCAACTGTCCTATCCGTTAAGCGTGGAATGGCCCATCTACAACCTAAACAAGATTTGACCCGACGAAAACAATCTAAAAAACATAGAAAAGAGTGAGGGCCCTCCTCCTTTATCCGGGCTTGGGACCGGCAGGTTAAAAATACCTGGCGGAGTTACCCTCCACCCTCCTTATCATATTATATACCTAAAATTTCCTAAAACAGATAAAGTATTTAAATAAACAAAAACACACAAAAAACTAATTTACTGGTTGTATACATACTCGCATATAAGATTCACTCGCACCCTGAAGTTCCAAGAAGTCCAAGATGTCCATGTCAGGTCCAAATGAAGGAATTAGGATAATAGGAAGGGTATAAATGGAAAACGACAGATAATTAAGTTACAAATAGATTAGCGCCGGTGCGCAACAACATGCTCCACGTTAAAAACGGGTTAGCACGGATTACCGATGTTCCGAGACAAAATCCAAAAAGTACTTTCAAGATCCATCTACCATTTTAATTTAATTAAACAACCTGAAGATTGTGAAATTGAACTAAAATGGGTCTAAATGGAAGGAATAAAAAGGAAGGTTTTATAGGAAACTCCTGGGCGCCTGGTACCATAGGATAATCACTATCTAAAACAGACTACAACGACGAAAAGAATTTAAAAAATATGTGTCCTACCCAAAAGCGAACAAATAAAGAATTAGTTTCATCTCCAACTTGAAATTTGACCTGACGAAAAGAATTTAAAAAAAAGTTTGACCTATGATCCCTACAAAAACGAAGTAAAAGAACTGATCTTTATAAAAAGAATAAGTTCCATATCCAACTTAAAGAATCTAATAACAATTTGACTTATGACCCCTAACAAAAACAAACTAAAAGAACAAATCTTTAAAAAAAGAATAAGTATCATATCCAACTTAAAGAATCTAATAATAATATTACTAACGACCCCTAACAAAAACGAACTAAAAGAACTGATCTTTAAATAAAGAATTAGTTCCATATTTGCCCTAACAAAAAGAATCTAAACAAAATTTTGATCTACAATCCCTACAAAAACAAAGTATAAAACTAATCTTTAAAAAAAGAATAAGTTTCATATCCAACTTAAAAAAAAACTAATGACAATTTGACTTACGACCCCTAACAAAAACGAACTAAAAGAATTTAACTTTAAATAAAGAATAAGTTCCATCTCCAACTTAAACAAGATTTGCGCTGACAAAAAGAATCTAAAAAAATTTTGATTTACGACCCCTAAGAAAAAAAAAGAACAGATCTTTAAAAAAGAATAAGTTCCATATCCAACTTAAAAAGACTAATGACAATTTGATTTACGACCCCTAACAAAAACAAACCAAAAGAACTTATCTTTAAATAAAGAATTAGTTCCATCTCCAACTTAAACAAGATTTGCGCTGACAAATAGAATCTAAAAAAAATTTGATTTATGACCCCTAAGAAAAAAAAGAACTGATCTTTAAAAAAGAATATGTTCCATATTTAACTTAAAAAAAAATCTAATGACAATTTGACTTACGACCCTAACAAAAACAAACTAAAAGAACTTATCTTTAAATAAAGAATTAGTTCCATCTCCAACTTAAACAAGATTTGCGCTGACAAAAATAATCTAAAAAATTTTCTTTTACGACCCCTAAGAAAAAAAAGAACTGATCTTTAAAAAAGAATATTACACAATTTGACTTATGACCCTAACAAAAACAAACTAAAATAACTTACCTTTAAATAAAGAATCTCCAACTTAAACAAGATTTGCGCTGACAAAAATAATCTAAAAAAATTTTGATTTCCGACCCCTAAGAAAATAAAGAACTGATCTTTAAAAAATAAGTTCCATATCCAACTTAAAAAGACTAATGACAATTTGATTTACGACCCCTAACAAAAACAAACCAAAAGAACTTATCTTTAAATAAAGAATTAGTTCCATCTCCAACTTAAACAAGATTTGCGCTGACAAAAATAATCTAAAAAAATTTTGATTTACGACCCCTAAGAAAAAAAAGAACTGATCTTTAAAAAAGAATATTACACAATTTGACTTACGACCCTAACAAAAACAAACTAAAAGAACTTATCTTTAAATAAAGAATTAGTTCCATCTCCAACTTAAACAAGATTTGCGCTGACAAAAATAATCTAAAAAAATTTTGATTTCCGACCCCTAAGAAAATAAAGAACTGATCTTTAAAAAATAAGTTCCATATCCAACTTAAAAAGACTAATGACAATTTGATTTACGACCCCTAACAAAAACAAACCAAAAGAACTTATCTTTAAATAAAGAATTAGTTCCATCTCCAACTTAAACAAGATTTGCGCTAACAAAAATAATCTAAAAAAATTTTGATTTACGACCCCTAAGAAAAAAAAGAATTGATCTTTAAAAAAGAATAAGTTCCATATTTAATTAAAAAAAAAACTAATGACAATTTGACTTGGGACCCCTAACAAAAACGAACTAAAAGAACTTATCTTTAAATAAAGAATTAGTTCCATCTCCAACTTAAACAAGATTTCCCCAAACAAAAAGAATCTAAACAAGTTTTGACTTACGACTCCCAACAAAAAAAAAGAACTGATCTTTAAAAAAGAATACCCCTATCATAAACGAAGTAAAAGAACTAATCTAGTTCCATCTCCAACTTTAAACAAGATTTGACCTAAACAAATATTAGAAATATTCCCCAAAACAAAACACAAATTGCTTTCCAACGATGTTGGCATCTTCAGAAGCGAAGTGTAAATAAATCTAAATGCTAAATCTACCATATTTATACTAATTATAAGCTAAGGTTGACTGAACCGTAAACGGACACTGGACCGTAATCGCTTCAGTGAACATGTAAAGAGAAACTATCAAACTAATTTAAACAAACTAGACTAGGGTACCGGTCCGTTATCGCTATTCAAAGATTTATTCCTATTCTTATAGACGTATAAACCTTCATAACTATCTAGCAGACTTGGTTCTTAACTTCCTTAATAAGTGTAAGGTTGTCAAATTCTATTCTATGACCATCATCAAGAATATGTTGGGCAATACTCGATTTCTCTGTCCTACCAAATCTAGCATTGGCCAAGTGCTAGATTTTGTAGCACAGAGAAAACGAGCGGATGTTGAGCAACATTCGGTTTCTCTGTACTACCAAATCTAGCATGGGCCAAGTGCTAGATTTGATAGGACAGAGAAATCGAGTGTTGCCCAACACATACTTGATGATGGTCAAAGAATATGATTTGGCAACCTTAAACTTATGCCTACTAGATAGTTATAAAAGTTTATACATCTATAAGAATATAAATAAATGTTTAATTATCGATAACAGACCGGTACCCAACTAGAGTTTGTTAGTTTCTCTTTGCGTGTTCACTGAAGCGATGACGGTCCAGGGTTTAGTAAACTATAATAATTAGTATAAATTTGGTAGATTTAGTTACACTTCGCTTCTGAAGATGCCAACATTGTTGACGAAAAGTACTTTAAGTACTTTGTGTTTTGTTTCGGTAACATATCACCAAGGAACAAGATTTGACAAAAAGAATCTAATAAAAATTTGACTTACGACCCCTAACATAAACGAACAAAAAGAACTTATCTTTAAATAAAGAATTGGGTCCATATCCAACTTAAACAAGATTTGCCCTAACAAAAATAATCTAAAAAAGTTTTTATTTACGACCTCTAACAAAAAAAAAAGAACTGATCTTTAAAAAAAGAATCCAACTTATGACAATTTGACTTACAACCCCTAACAAAAACGAACTAAAAGAACGGATCTTTAAATAAAGAATTAGTTCCATCTCCAACTTAAACAAGATTTGCCCTAACAAAAAGAATCTAAAAAAGTTTTGACTTACGACCCCTAACAAAAAAAAAAGAATAAGAACTGATCTTTAAAAAAAGAATAAGTTTCATATCCAACTTAAAGAAACTAATGACAATTTGACTTACCACCCTAAACAAAAACGAACTAAAAGAAACTATCTTTAAATAAAGAATTTTTTGCCCTGACAAAAAAAATCTAAAAAAGTTTTGACAATTTGACTTACAACCCCTAACAAAAACGAACTAAAAGAACGGATCTTTAAATAAAGAATTAGTTCCATCTCCAACTTAAACAAGATTTGCCCTAACAAAAAGAATCTAAAAAAGTTTTGACTTACGACCCCTAACAAAAAAAAAAGAAAAAGAACTGATCTTTAAAAAAAGACTAAGTTTCATATCCAACTTAAAAAAATTAATGAGAATTTGACTTACAACCTAACAAAAACAAACTAAAAGAACTTATCTTTAAATAAAGAATTAGTTCCATCTCCAACTTAAACAAGATTTGCCATAACAAAAAGAATCTAAAAAAGTTTTGACTTACGACCCCTAACAAAAGAATAAGAACTGATCTTTAAAAAAAGAATAAGTTTCATATCCAACTTAAAGAAACTAATGACAATTTGACTTACCACCCTAAACAAAAACGAACTAAAAGAAATTATCTTTAAATAAAGAATTATTTCAATCTTCAACTTAAACAAGATTTGCCCTAACAAAAAAAATCTAAAAAAGTTTTGACTTACGACCCCTAACAAAAAAAAAAAGAACTGATCTTTAAAAAAAGAAGTTTCATATCCAACTTAAAAAAACTAATGACAATTTCACTTACGACCCCTAACAAAAATAAACTAAAAGAACTTATCTTTAAATAAAGAATCTCCAACTTAAACAAGATTTGCCCTAACAAAAAGAATCTAAAAAAGTTTTGACCTACGACCCCTAACAAAAAAAACTGATCTTTAAAAAAGAATAAGTTCCATATCCAACTTAAAGAAACTAATGAAAATTTGACTAACGACCCCTAACAAAAACGAACTAAAAGAACTTATCTTTAAATAAAGAATTATTTTCATCTCCAACTTAAACAAGATTTGCCCTAACAAAAGGAATCTAAAAAAGTTTTGATTACAACCCCTGACAAAAAAAAAGAACTGATCTTTAAAAATATCCCAATAAACACAATTTGACCTGATAAAAAAATCTAAAATAAATTTTGAAGCACGACCCTTTCACAAAAAAGAAGTAATCTTTAAGTCAAGAATAAGTTTCATTTTCAACTTAACCAACTTAAACAAGATTTGACCTGACAAAAAGAATCACAAAACTTTTACTTACGATCCCTAACAAAAACGAACTAAAAGAACTGATCTTTAAATAAAGAATTAGTTCTATCTCCAACTTAAACAATATTTGACCCGACAAAAAGATATTTAAAGAAATTTCGATAATAAAAACTTTTAGTCAAAAAAATTAAAAATAATTAATTGGTAGGTACTTGCCAAATTCCTTGATGAGTTCTGGTTAAATCGTATTATCCTTGTATGGTTGTCTTATTTCTTATTATCCATGGGTTAATGCTACAACATGTTGAACCTAGAAAAAAATACAATTAGACGATTTAAGGGCTGCAACTTTTATGTTTTTATTCTTTTAAATATAAAAGAAATCGTAGTAATATTTGAGATAATAGATGCGTTAGAAATAGGTAGGTACCTAGCAATTTGTATCTATAGATGTAGATCAAAGTAATAAATGAGCATGTTTGTCGTATCAAAGCCAAATTACAACTAAATGGTTGATTACGTTGTAGGGATTATAATTATTTTTATCAGCAAAAACAAAAAAAGGGTGAGTCAGACTTGCGCGATAAACATATGTAATATATATTACGTTAAGGGTGACAAATTTTAATTATAGATATATTTGTTATTTATTATTTTATTAATACTCAAATAATCTAATTTCGATTATACAGTTTCCCAAAAATTACGCACCATTTTGAGTTATTAGGGTTTAAAAATTTAATTTAATTTGTGTTATTTTCTAAAGACGTTTTGAAAATAAAAACTTAAATAAGAATCATTTTTATATGTATACTTTTTATACTTATTGCAACCATTGTTGATATTTTTGTTGAAAATATTTAACACAAAAATTATAGATATATACAGTGTGACCCATTTGTTTGCGACTCACCCCTGTAAAATCTTTATTTATTGTGCGACTTTAACCGGATTTGTTTTAAAGTGTAGATCTTGATAAACTGTATTTTTGGAGCAAAAAACGCCATATTTGTACAAAATACAAGGCCTACTATGTCAGTTTTTGGGAGTAAATTTTTTTAAACAAAATCTAAGCACGGCACTGGATTCACCACCCCTCAAAACGACCCTATATTAAATTTAATTGAAAAATTTTAAGTAGAAAAATGCACAATAATAACAAAAAAATTTTATTCTGTCAAGTTATCCATGAAAAAACATTGAAATAAAATTAAACTAATAGTAACATGGTACTATTACTTGCTTAGATTTTGTTTAAAAAATCGCTAATATGAATTACTAAAAATTTACTTTAAAAAACTGACATTAATATGGCGTATTTTGCTCCAAAAATACAGTTTACCAAGATCTACACTTTAAGACAAATCCTGTTAAAATCGCATAATAAATAAAGATTTTACAGGGGCGCTATGTGAGAATCGGCCTTAAATAGGTACCTACTTTTATTTTAGTCAAAAAATTTAAAAATAATAAATTGGTACTTGCCAAATTTATTGATGAGTTTTGGTTAAATCCCATTATCCTTATTATAACAACCATATATATAATATATATGGTTGTCTTATTTCTTAATATCAATTGGCTTAATAGCTATGGCTTTAACATGTTGGTCGTAGAAAAAAAATACAATTAGACCATTTAAGGACTGCAAATTTTATGTTCTTTATTTTTTGTATTATTTGACCTAATAGATGCGTTAGAATTCTAATAATACCTAGCAATTTGATGATGTAGATAAAAGTAATAAATGAGCATGTTCGTCCCATCGAAGCCAAATTACAACTGAACGTTATGTTCTGTGACTGAACGCTTGGTTACGTTGAAGGGATTATAATTTTTTCTTATTAACAAAAACAACCAAAAAAATGGGTGAGTCAGACCTGCGCGATAAACATATTAGGTTAAGGGTGACGAATTTCTTAATTATATATTTGTTATTTATTATTTTATTAATAATCAAATAATGTAATTTCGATTATTATAGTTTCCAAAAATTACGCACCATTTTGAGTAATTAGGGTTTAAAAATTGTGTTATTTTCTAAAGACGTTTTGAAAATAAAATCTTAAATAAGAAACTGTTTTATCCTTATCGGTTGATATTTTTGTTGAAAATATTTAACACAAAAATTATAGATATTAAACTAAAAAATACAAAAATCTAAACAAAATTTTGACCTACGACCCCTTACAAAAAACTATTTAAATTTTCTAAAAGTTAAAATCAAAGGCAATTTTATAAATAAAAGTGGACTAAACAAGTTTGAAGAAATTTACGAAAACCGTAGTGCTGTTTATAGATTCCCGTACGGAAATCTATAAACAAAACGGTTTTCGTATTGTTCATTTTTTACGGGATGGCAACATTGCACAGCAGTGTCGCCAATAAGAGAATATTTATATTCTACGCTATTTTGAGTAGTTGAACAACTTTTATATATAGCCTGTATATTTAAGGTATGTATCTTTGAAATTGGAGTTATTGTCACAACAAACGTTTTATGAAAATAGATAATATATATTATATAATATAATAAAAAAGCTGTCTTTATTAAAATTCTAACTTCTATTAAATTGAGAAAATACTATAATGTTCACTAGCGTGCCCGTAAAAACTAAATTGCAGGCACTTTAACGTGCACGTAGTCACTGCGTAATATTTTATCTGGCAACTGTCAAGCAGTTTTAACCTTACTTTTTCCCAATTTTAACAGGTTAAAATCGTTTGAAAGATTGGAAAATTGTAAGGTTTTTAAAACTGTTTGGCTGATGTCAAATTTGGAAAAAGTAAACAGTTGTCAGATGTCAGATAAAATGTCAAATAAAATTGTCTTTAAATTCTGAAAAAAATATTACACCTAAGAACACTTAACAATTAAAAAATGACAATGTTTTAATTGTTTTTATTGTTATTATATTATAAATTGTTTTGATGGGTAATTTTCTTAATGCTATCTATTGTAATAAAATTTAAAAAAAAATTACATTGACTACCTAAAGTTTAAATACCTACTTTATTATCTTAATTTATTAATCCATTAAATTCTTGAAGGTTTGGCTTGAAGGCTTGAGGAAAATAACGCACAATGTAAAGGCGAATAATTTTTGCCCGATGACATGTTTGAAAAAACAGTAAGTTCTTTCATTAAAAAAAAGGGAATGTCCTATTTATGTACTAATAATAAAAAAATGTTTCTGAATGACTTTTTGCATTATTGTCACTAACAGCATGTGGTGTTTAAATTTTCCTTGCATTTTTTTTGTTTTATGTTGTATTTTGCATGATTTTTTCCAGAGCTGGCAAACTCATCTCAGAACTATTACTCACAATAATAAAAGCTCTAATGTTTGTCCACGAACTGCCTTAATGAAACAGTAAGTGCTTAGTGAAAAAAAATGAAAGAAAAGCTTTGTAATTTTTTGCATATGATAGATTTGTCCAGTAAAAATATTTGTTTGTTAATATTAATATGTTTTCTCCCTTTTCCCGTTCCAAATTAGAGCCATTTGTGGGTATAAGGTGGAAAAAACCTTTTGGAAATTATATTTTTTTATTACATATCATTTTTATTTACTTTATGTAGGTATTTTAAATTTTATGTTTTATTTGCAAATCAATCCATCTAATCTAAAAAATATTTGAGTTACATATTTAAAAAAATTGTATCAAAATTTTTTTTACCTAGAGTGTGAAAATTTGTTTGCGACTCACCCCTGTAAAATCTTTATTGATTGTGCGATTTTAACCGGATTTGTTTTAAAGTGTAGATCTTAATTGACTGTATTTTTAGAGCACAAAAAACACAATATGTAAAACATATTATATTTACAGAATACAAGGTCAGTTTTTGAGAGTAAATTTTTAAGAATTCATATTGACGATTTTTTAAAACAATATTTTACAGGGTTGAGTCGCAAACAAATACACACTGTATATAAAAAGTCAGGAATTGGTTTTCTAAATCTTTTATACCCATAAATAAAAAAATAAAATAAAACATAATTACATAATATGACATCGTCATTATTTTTAGCTGGATGAGATTAAATTTTTCCGTCGACCCGGTTGGTAAAATACCAGTTAAAGTGATCGCTAAAACTTTTGCGTCGGGCAGAACCGAAAAGTTGGTTTACCAATTTTTATCCGAGCTCGGTTTGCCGAGCCAAAAAAACGACTCGATCGAACCGAGCGACTTCACGTTCGACAAGTTCTACGCTTTGTACCATAAAATCTGCCCCAGGAACGACATTGAGGAACTCTTTAGAAGCATGTAAGTGCAATGAAATTTTGTGCGTTACATGATTTTTTATTCAGGATCATGTTTCGGATTTTTAAGCATTTTTTTGCTTCTTTTAGTACTCAAGGCAAGGCGGAATACATGAACATAAACCAGATGATTGAGTTTTTGAACGAGAAGCAGCGAGATCCACGTTTGAACGAAATTTTGTATCCTTTGTACGACGAAAAAAGAGCGGCAGAAATTATAGATACATATGAACAGGATGAGGAATCTCGAAAAGAAAGAAGACTTACCAAAGATGGATTTACAAGGTAAATTTTTATGGTGACAAACATATTTTACTACCATTTTTATAATCAAACCTCGCCATTTTGATTTAAATATATATATATATATATATCAGGGTGATTCGTTTTGAAGGAACATTCATTTTACAAGAAAATAAGGTATGTTCTTCAGTAGGACGAATTTTCTTTCTTATGAAATTTATCCAAATTTCTATAAAATTATTCGATTTTTAGATTAAATTTTTTGAAGTAAAAAACGATCCAAGTCACAATATTAACATTTCAAGAAAATATTATTAATGAAAAAAAACTATTTTATATGGTTTTTCAATCAAATAAAATATATTCTTTAAAAGTAAATAATATTTACTAAATACCAAATAAAATATATAAAAAAGTGCTGAGAAAAATTTTATTTTAGTTTTAGGATAAATATTTTTAATAATGGGTTTTCAAAAAAAAATATCTTGTTTTAAAGCCATTTATAAGTAAAATGTTTTCAATAAAATAAAATATCCTGTTTTAAAGCAAATTTAAAGAATGAAATTAAAAGTGACAAGTTACAACAATAATATTGCAAAAAAATGTAAACAACATATATCTTCTAAATTTATTTATTACAAAATTATATTTACAATTAATTGCAATTTAGTATAGTTGCCAAATAAATACCCTAAATTGGCCACCATGGAGCCAAAATTGAATAAAACTAAACTTGTGAAAAATATTATATTATTGTATGGTATAAGCTGGCAAATATTATATTATTGTATGGTATAAGCTGGCTTTCTAATGTTTTTATCCCAGGCCATTTCATTATCAGCAGTTTGAGTTTCTGTTATGGACTGTCCTTGAAGATCATTAGCTTCCTTGTCTTGGCACATTTCCTGCACAATGCAAAAAAAAGGATTTAATTTTAATTAATTAAGTGTAAAGTTAGAACAGTATCCACTTTTAAAGACTTTTTTTATGGGAATGTAGTTTGTATGTTTTTTCAATCCAATTTTCCTTCTTATAGCAACTATCTTTAAAGTAAATGGAAGAAATACAAGCTAAAAAACAAACAAAAATATTAATCTAAATTATTTTTTATCTATATATCTGTCACAGATAATTTGTGTACACAAAAGGAAAGTACCTCTAAAAAACTACTGCTATTTAATTGTTTTTAAAATAAATCTAATAACTATCCTTAACATCGATTTTTTCAAGCCCATACTAAGGAAATGTATTGGATTTAAAGGATTTTTTGGCATTGTTTTTTACAGATTTTCACTTGGCAGTTAGACATTTTGGATACAAAACTTTAAAATAGCTTAAAAAAAACAACTATTATCAAAATGTAATCTAAGGAATGGTGGAAACAGATGTGCAAGAACATACCTTTTGTTCTTGTACCATGGAACAGACCTTGTTGTGTGGATTGTGGGGAAAAATTTAAAATCAAAATAAAAGTACTTTAAAGTAGGCTGAAACTTGGGGAGTGACAAAAAATGTTCAAAACAAATCATCCTATGTATGTCAAATAAAGTCGTTTTTTTTTAATATTGGGTAAAATCGTTAAACTTGTTTTATTAAACGATTAAAATTTAAATTAACGACGGTTCAAATGATATATTAAGGTTGCAGTTCATTTTACTCCGTCTGTTAAATGAATAGACATTTTTCTTTAGATACTTGATGTCGGACGAGAATGCGCCCGTTTTTCTCGACCGTCTGGAAATCTACATGGAAATGGACCAACCACTGTGCGCCTACTACATAAACTCTAGTCATAACACTTTTCTATCCGGCCGACAGTTTGGCGGCAAGTCTTCCGTGGAAATGTATCGTCAAGTCCTGTTGGCCGGATGCCGATGCGTCGAATTGGACTGCTGGGACGGTAAATAGTTATATAACGAAAAAAATCCATATCAAAAATGGTTATTTTGTATGTATAACTAGGTAAAGGGGAGGATGAAGAACCTATAATAACCCACGGTAGAGCCATGTGCACCGATATCGTTTTTAAGGATGTTATTTATGCCATAAGAGATACAGCCTTTGTGACGTCGGATTATCCCGTCATTTTATCCTTTGAGAATCATTGCTGCAAAAGCCAGCAGTACAAGCTTGCCAAATACTGTGATGAAATTTTCGGTAAGCTTTATATTAAAAAAATATTTTTTGCGACTGCACTAAAATCGCAAAAAATATTTTTTAGTACTTTTTAATAATTATTTTTAGCATGATTTCCACATTTATTACACCAAAAATGGCGCTTCGTTTAACTTTAAATACACTAACAGACAAAAAAAACGGCCACCAGAAATTGGCAATAATTTCAATGTTGATTCTATTTTTTTATTTACCTAGTCCATTTCTTGTAAGTAATATCATAAGGGCATTTAATATTTCCGAAAAGAATCGAAAAAACATGTTGCTAAGTAATATTTTAACAAAAAGCATGAGTGCTGGTGGCAACAAAAATCCGAGTCGAAGAGGAGGATTTTTGCACCTGCACGAATGCATTTTGTTAAAAAATACTACTTAGCATTGTGTTTTTTCGATTTTTTTCACAGGAAAAATTAGATACCCGAATGGTATTTGACAAGACTATTTCATGAGTAACAGTTAACAATTAAAATATAAATTGCAATTTTTGGTGACAACAGCTGTCAAGTTTTGCCGCGGGTAAACTCGAATAAACTGCTGAAAGGTGCTGTCTCACAGTTTTTTCACCTAGAAACCATTTGTAATTCAAAATTGCGCGTTTGTGATTGGTGGAAATTAAGACGAGGGAAATAGTCACAATAAAACTTTTAAGGATTTAGAGAGAACGTTAAAGTTAAAAAAAAATTGAAAGTGGTATTCATCTAAAAAATATTTCTTTTTTAAAAAGTAATTAAAAAAAAAATTATATATTTATAGGCTTTAGTTAAATTCTTTTTAAAATGATATATCACAACCTACATTTTTCTTAAAAAAACAACAGAATATACCTAAAAACAAAATCCATGTAGTAGCTCCTAGACTTCTACAAAATTTGTCATTTTTAGCCATATTTCGTTTGTTATCGACAAAAATATTTTCTATTATGAGATTTTTGAGTATCAAGATCCACATTACAAGAATGGTTTTTTCTCAAAATATAAATATAACATGATGCGACCTTTGGCCTGGTTTTTTAGCCAAATCTATCGACGCGTTTTTTTAAATAAAATTTATACTTTTATATATACCTCAGATATACAAAAGTAGTAATTTTACCTCACTTTTAATTTTTTTTTTAACTCCTAAAATTCTCCTAAAATTGCCATTAATCTCTTAAATATAAACAGGCCAACCTGACTGCATTTGATTAAGGTAGTAGTCGTGCTAAAAAATTTCTTTTTTAAAAAGTAATTAAAAAAAAATTATATATTTATAGGCTTTAGTTAAATTCTTTTTAAAATGATATATCACAACCTACATTTTTCTTAAAAAAAACAACAGAATATATCTAAAAACAAAATCCATGTAGTAGCTCCTAGACTTCTACAAAATTTGTCATTTTTAGCCATATTTCGTTTGTTATCGACAAAAATATTTTCTATTATGAGATTTTTGAGTATCAAGATCCACATTACAAGAATGGTTTTTTCTCAAAATATAAATATAACATGATGCGACTTTGGCCTGGTTTTTTAGCCAAATCTATCGACGCGTTTTTTTTAATAAAATTTATACTTTTATATATACCTCAGATATACAAAAGTAGTAATTTTACCTCACTTTTAATTTTATTAAAAAAACTCGGCGAGCGATTTGGCTAAAAAACTACCTCAATGTAACTTATTTGTACAAAATAAGTGATATTTATTTATATTTTTGTTAAAACGAAATTTTTTTTTCTTATTTTTAAGTACAGTGTAAAGTTGTTTTTATTTAATTACAGAAATTCATTTGCATATTTGATATCTCCTAAAATTCTCCAAAAAACCTCCTAAATTCCTAAATAAAATTTGTAATTTAGCCGTGGGAGCCCTGTATACAGGGCGAGTTTTAAGTTGACGCGTTCCTTTTAACAGTGTGTAGAAATCAGCTAGACAAATAAATATTTTAAGTAATTTTTTTTATCAAAACTCAAAAATAAAAAAGTTATAGCCCATCAAAGTTTAATTTAATTTTAAGCCGGTCCTGGCTATTGTTAAAGAAAAACATAACCATAAAAATATCAAAATAAACAATGCAAAATGTCATATTTGACAACAAACATAACCATTTAAATCAAATTGACATTTTGCAATAAAAAATGTCATTATTTACTTAAGTTGCAGCATTTGCATTTTGACGACACTCCATAAATTAGTAACATTTGAAATGTTACATTTCCACTAATTCATTATTGGTATAATTATTAACCATTTTTAACAATAATTGAGGCACAAAAAAACTGACATTTTTCATTGCTAAATGTCATTTTGATTTAAATGGTTATGTTTGTTGTCATAGATGACATTTTGCATTGTTTATTTTGTTATTTTTATTTTTATGGTTATGTATTTTGTTAACAATAGCCAGGACCGGCTCAAAATTTAATTAAACTTTGATGGGCTATAACTTTTTTATTTTTGAGTTTTGATAAAAAAGTTACTTAAAATATTTATTTGTCTAGCTGATTTCTACACGCTGTTAAAAGGAACGCGTCAACTTAAAACTCACCCTGTATGTATATTTTTTATTTTTTTTTGTTTTTAAATGGAGTTTATTAAAAATATATAAAAAAATTACCCAGAACTATCTTCTATTTTTGTCTTACTTTTTCGAAAAATATTGAAACTTTTTCGATGATTACCAATTTTAATTTTATTTTCTCTACATAGTGGTATTTTTAGTATTTTATTTAAATTTAAAAAAAAACGCTACTGAAAATTTCAAAGTTATAGATATTCAAAAATAGCGAGCCATTTTTTTTAATTAATAACTTTTTTGTAGAATTTGCAGAAAATGTCAAAGTTTCTAAATTTTTCTGAAATTACATTTAATAACAAAAACGTCCTGATACGTAATGTTTTTGGTAAATAAGACAAAACAGCTTCTTTGGTCTTATATACAGGGTGCTGCCTGAAATTGTGACACCCTGTGTGGTGCATCAGCAATAACAGCGGATGTAAATTTAAATCATACTGTAGTCCCATCTTTTCTGAACATTTTGTTTTTTTATTCGCGTTATTGTCTCTGTTATTAACGAAGATGCCCTGTTTTAAAGGAAACGCCCCGCAAATTTAGAAAAATTCAACCGCACCTAACCCCTGAAAATTTCAGGCGACCTTCTTTTGAAGGAGCCCCTGGAAGACTACCCCCTGGAACCGGGGGCACCCCTGCCGCCCCCCTGCCTGCTGAAACGCAAGATCCTCATCAAAAACAAACGCCTGAAACCTGTGATGGAGAAACAGGAACTCGAGCTTTTCAGGCAGGGTCAGTTCGTCATCGAGGACGAGGAGAAGGAGGACGCGAACGCTTCGGCCGACCGACCGATGCCGCCCGACGTGTCGATCGAGGCGCCGCCCGCGGAGGGCGGCGAAGGCGAGGTGCCGGTCAACTACACCTGCCTCACCATCAACATCCATCCCTGGCTGAGTTCCATGGTCAACTACGCGCAGCCGGTCAAGTTATGCAGCTTCGAAACTGCGGACCGTAAGTGATTTTCATCAACCACATCGTTTTCTACTCGTTGAACCCTTTCATTTCAAAAAAATCGAATAGTTTTTTTTACTTCCGATACTGAAAAATTGGTTCTCAGGCAACTCTAGAAAGTGCTCACCAAATTTGAGCTCTTAATACACTCACAGGCAAAATAATCGATCCACACAAATTTTCGATGAATTTCAATCGCAAATAACTTTTTTATTTGATTTCGTATTTAAACAAATATTAAAGAATATTGTAGATACATTAATGTAGAATCGCTCACATTTTAAAAATTACTAAAAAATACACGTACGTTTATAATATACAGGTTTAAACAAAAAGATGCTTTTTACCATAAGTTTAAGACACTCTGTAGAGTGGCAAAACCGTATATTGTTCTAAATTAAGTTTTAATTATCAAGTTACATCTATTCTTAACATTTTTGTTTTTGATTCACATTGATATATTTATTTTTGTGGAAAATATGGATTTTTTTTTTAAAACATTGCAATTTCTAATATTTTTTTCTGTATAAAGAACTAAGGTTGCTATGGTCCATCCATAGCCTATGGAGGATGACAGTGACAGTTTTGTTGAATCATCCCATACTTGGACATGTCATATACAGCTTTCAAAAGCTATCAAATTGTTTTTTGTAAATTAATGTCTTCATTTTGAGGTGTCTTCGTACTTTTAAAAATGTCTCCGACTAGTGTACTTTACTTGTTGTGACGTTTAAAACACTTGCCAAGTAATACTGTGACCGTCCATCCTGGATTAAATTAATGGCTTTGACAACATCAGTCGGAGACATATCCATTTTTAAAGTAAGAAGACACCTCAAAATTTAAACATTTATTTGCAAAAAACAATTTGATGGCTTTTGAAAGCTGTGTATGATATGTCCAAGTATGGGATGATTCAACAAAACTGTCACTGTCATTCTCCATAGCTTATGCATAGCCATAGCAACCTTAGTTCTTCATACAGAAATTGCAAAGTTTTTTTTAAAAAAATCCATATTTTCCACAAAAATAAATATATCGAGGTGAACCAAAAACAAAACTGTTAAGAATAGATGTGACTTGATAATTAAAACTTAATTTAGAACAATATACGATTTTGCCACTCTACAGAGTGTCTTAAACTTATGGTAAAAAAAATATTTTTGTTTAAACCTGTATATTATAAACGTACGTCTATTTTTTAGTAATTTTTTAAAATGTGAGCGATTGTACATTAATTTATCTACAATATTCTTTAATATTCGTTTAAATCCGACATCAAATAAAAAAGTTATTTGCGATTGAAATTCATCGAAAATTTGTGTGAATAATTACGTTTTTCGTTTGTAATAAAACGTTTTTAAAAAGTTTATTTTAGTTACAAGGGATGATGGTAGGTAATAACACACAAATTTACTCGAACTAGACAACAGTGTTTATTACGCTAAACTAAGTTCACAATAAGATTGAAGTGGTATTTATAACCTATTATTCTTAGTCAGCTTTTTCTAGGCTGCTGCACAGACGATAAATGCATATGTGCCCTAATATACAGGGGCACGTAACTGGATCGATTATTTTGCCTGTGAGTGTATTAATTATTATCGTAAGTAATATCATAAGGGCATTTAATTATTTCCGAAAAGAATCGAAAAAACACGTTGCTAAGTAATATTTTAACAAAAAGCATGAGTGCTGGTGGCAACAAAAATCCGAGTCGAAGAGGAGGATTTTTGCACCTGCACGAATGCATTTTGTTAAAAAATATTACTTAGCATTGTGTTTTTTCGATTTTTTTCTCAGGAAAAATTAGATGCCCGAATGGTATTTGACAAGACTATTTCATGAGTAACAGTTAACAATTAAAATATAAATTGCAATTTTTGGTGACAACAGCTGTCAAGTTTTGCCGCGGGTAAATTTGAATAAATTGCTGACAGGTGCTGTCATACAGTTTTTTCACCTAGAAACCATTTGTAATTCAAAATTGCGCGGTTGTGATTGGTGGAAATTAAGACGAGGGAAATAGTCAATGTAACCTACAATAATTACATTTATAACACAGTACAACACGATTTTCCTCCCATGAAAAAATTTAACAGATTTAAACAATAAAGGATAAATAAACGTACCCGCTTCTCACCGTTTCACGAAATCAGGTCATTTAATTTTTTTACACAGCCATTCTTATTATTTTAACTTAAACAGATTTTTAATTCTCTATTTTGTTATAAATAATTTTTTTCTTCAAATATTTTATGTTTTTACATAATACAAGAATTATACTTAAAGAAAATAACAATTTTATTTTTTTAAGAAAAAAAAATATTTCTGGTTTTATTTTTTGATTTATTTAATAAAACAACAGATTTGTATTTATCTTATATTAAATATATGTTGGAAATAAATCTTGATCTTTTAGTTTGGCGATTAAACATTGCTTTTGAATCTATAGTGGTATCACAACCTAAAAACACCACTTGATATACAGGGTGTTTCACATTCATAGTCCATTGGAAATTCCTGGAGAACGGAAAAAATATAGATTTGAAATTTAAAAGCGTTTATAATCCATTTTCGTTTTAATATTTAATATATTTTGAACAAATTGCAACTTCCGGATGGACCGGAAGTGACATCAACTTTGTTATTTCAAATAGAACACCCCATTTCATTTTTAAACTCTACATAAAATTCTGAGTAAAATTACTATACCATGTCCTATACCTAGAGATGTAATAAAACGGTTTTTTTTCTGATGTGAAAAAAAAACATGAAAAAAAACCTAAAAAAACCTAAACAAAACACAGTTTTTTTTGTTTTTTTTTTCAAATCCGCTACAATAAAGCATATTCTGTCAATAAATAACATTAATCTTAAAACATGGAGTAATTTTTCAAAATGAAATTTTGCGTAAAATGTATATTAATAATAAAGTGAAATGTAGAATATATTACATTTTTCACAGCGAGTGCCCTAAAGTGCCCTTATGTGCCCTATTTTTTTCAGGGTGCCCCAAAAGTGCCCTATTTTAAAATAAAGTGCCCTATTTTTTATCAATTTTTCGTTTATTTTTTAAATTGTGATATATAAAAATTTAAATGCTTGTAAATAAAATTCACACTAAATGTTAATTAGGTGCGAAGGCGTACAAGGGTTTTAAGAAAGTGAAAAGTCCAAATGCGGCATACATAATATAATAAAACGGTCAATTCACATTTTGAATCTGGCGGTACAAGCACAACGCCCCCAACATTTTTGTTAGTGTACAAAGTTGTTTTATTAATTGTGACAAAATGAACAAACAATAAATATATTTTAGCAATATTGAACACCATTTAGCAATATTGCACACCATTTATAGTGCCAAAATAATAATTACTGTGTAATTAATAGGGCATACAATCCACGGGATTTTTTTGATGATATCCTGGGACTTTCGGACAAAAGGTGGGATATTTCAAAAAAATCGGAAAGTAAAATTTATCACTATTTAATTACATACATCTTACAGTACTGTAAGTTGTATGTAATTAAATAAGTGATTAATATTACTTAACTGTTGTTGTTTATAGTTTTCCTTTATTTTCCAAATTGTTTATATAAAAAAGGGTTTCAAGTATTTAGTAATAATAAATTATTTAAAAAAAAATGTTTCCGGAATTTAAGAAATCCTAATTTTGTCCGGGATTGTATGCCCTAGTAATTACCCAAGTAACATTTTAAATGCAAAATTGACTTGAATTCGTTTTAAAAAGGTTTTATTATAGCGGAAATAATGCAAACAGTTTTAAAAAGGTTCTCATAAATGCCAATTATACTTGGGAGAAGATTGTTTTAAAAAAAGGTTTTATAGCTATCTTAAAGAACTCCTATTTAAAACCTTGTGGCTTTCAAGAGTATTTACTCTTTAAAATGACTTTATGTGGACTTAAGTTTAACCTTAATAAGGTTAAATTATCTTAAGATACTTCTAAAAGCAGTATTGTTTTATTATTGTTTTATGATTGACAAATAAAAGCAACTTTGTTTTATGATAGCTTTAATTTTTAGTTTTAAAGCGTTCTTGTAGTCAGCTTAAGCAAGGTACTTTTAAAACTATCTTGCTTTTAAGGAACCCTTATTAAAGCTCTGTCTTATAATGCTCTTGCTTTTAAATTTTTAAATACTTAATAAAACTTTTTTTATTTGAATAAAACCCTTATAAGTCTTTAAACAGCTGGATCTATAATTTATAAACTATTAGTTCCACGATTGTCGTAGTGTCGTACGTACGTATTGTAAAATGTCTACATTCATAGAATGGAGATTTCTATTTTTTGAAGTTTTGTGACAAAAACTTTTTTCATTGACCAGAACAACATTCCACGTTCTTCCCATTCACTCGGAACGATAGACAAGCACATTTGTCCATCTTCACAAGTTTGAACTATTTTAAAAACCATCTTAAATACCTATTTAATTTAACTTTAGTTAACTATACTCTATGAGCTTAATCCAACCATCTCTGGCTCTAACAATAGTAAATAAGGTTAGGTATATTGGCGCGAAGAATAAAACCCCTTTGACTTAAAAAGGTTTTATGAAGATATATGAAATTTAAATAAAAACCTTTTTAAGTCCTTATTAAAGAAAAATGGTTTTAACTAAGTAAAGTTGCTCTTCTTAGGTAGGAAATAAAGTCTAATGGTTTTATTACAGTTTTGGTTTTATCAATTACTATTATTTTAGTAGATTAAAATGGCCGAATATGTTGCACTGTGGAATAAAATATTTTTATTATAGGAAATATTTATTAAAAATTCAATATTTATAGATACAATTATTATTATTTTTATTTTAAACATATTAAAATATTTACATATAAATAACTTACAATTATTAAAACCATAAGGTTTAACATTTGTATATATACTTATATATATAACTTAAACCCGACAAGGTCAACTTATGGTAATTATGAAAATTTCACCCTCCCAGTTTTCTTTAAATTTTCACGTTACATGACTTACCCAAAAAAGCAAAAAAAAACAAAATGTCGGTCTGTCTGTCTGTCCGTCCCAAAACTGTCTGCTCATTTTTCTCAAAAACTATAACACCTATTCACAAAATTTTACAGAATTGCTCCATTATAGCTCTATATGGGACTGTTCGTCCAACCGTTTCGCCCCTGCCCCCTTGTGATAAAACGGTTTTTTGCTTTTCTGTCCTTATAATGCTAGATAGGAGTATTATGTATAAAACAAAAGTTGTCCCTTTCATCGAGACCTTTCTAACGACGTATCACATGGGGTGTGAGAATTTAATTCTCTATAGACCTGTACTTCCAACAAATTTTCGAAAAGTTTGGCGCTTGTGCCGTTTTGCCTTAAACCCATCGATATATACACCCAAGATATCTGAGTTGTTAAATTTTTATTATCGGGTCAAAGTTTGTTTTAGTAATTTTGTTTCTATCGCAAAACATATTAAAACTATTTTATCCCACAGTGCATGTAACGGAATCAGCTTAAAATATATAACAAAATATTATTGAAAAAATGTTTAAATTTACGTTAACTGTAAAGCGCATGTATTTTTTGAAGCTATTTTATAGTGTTTAGTCAATAAAACAAATTGCGTTTAATATTTTGGCCAGACTATTAAATATAATAACTAACATAATATTATATTATAAATCTTAAACAACAGATCGTCGTAGACAATAACTTAAGGTCATACAAATATAATATATTATAATACCTGCATAAGACATTAATAAAATAAGTATTCATTATACTATAATTATTAAAACCAATATAATCCATCTTTAAGTCTAGTTCCTCTTATTACATTCTATTTTGTCTTAAAAAGGATTTAATATTAGCTTCACATAAGTTTTATAGAAGCCCTGAGTACCTTTTTAAGTCTTCGAAGTCATTTAAAAGTATATCTTAAAACTAATTGGTTTTGTTGTAGTCTTAAAGCTTTCTTTAAGTACGCTTTAAACCTATTTTGACTTTTTAAGTTACCTTTAAGACTACTCTAGGCTAATTTTTAAAAATATTTTTTGGTTTTAAAATAGGCGATGCAAGAACCTTAATAAGATGCGCCTTTTTTAGCTTATTAAGGTTGCGAGGATATCTTCAGGAGGTCTATAAGAGTAAAGCGTTTTAATAAAGGAATTTATTTTTTGTTTTAAAGCTTTCTTGAAGACCATAATAAAACTAAAAATGTTACTTGGGTAGGTATGTACAAAACAACGGTATAATTTGTTTATGTATAAGGAAAATTATTCCAACAATTTCCTTAAATTGGCACTAATTTAGTGCCCTATGTTAAAAATAAAAGTGCCCTAAAGTGCCCTAAATTTTTTGCTTCATTCGCTGCAAACCCTGTTATTGAAAATTTTGACCGATACTAAAAAATCTGATTTCTTATTGTTTGGTAGTTTCCACATAAGAAACCAATAGCAATGTAAAACTTCTACACTAATAGAAAAAATTAAAGGTTAAAAAAAATTCCAAATTTTTTGCGATTTTTCGGATAGCTGTATCTTCGTTAAAAATATTGGACCCTTAAAAAAGCAATTTCAAGCTTGAAGTTTATAGTTTTGATATATTTGAAAAAAATTTTTGGCTTTCTTTTTTGGTCCACGGAATGTTCTGACTTAACCACCAATGAATAAATGTTCTACAAGAATTTGATATTGTTTTTTTTTTAATTTCCATTCTCTACATGAATTTGAAAAATCATGAAAAAAGTGCTTTTGGTAGCTTTTTGAAAAATCAAGCGCTGAATCAAAAATATTATAGGTAGTTACTTTTTTTAGGACCAAATCAAAACAAGCGCGGCCCTTATTGGTCAATTCGGTGGTGGTGGCGCGTGCATAGCGCGAGCTTGTATTTACATTTACTAAATGTCATTTAGTGGCTAATTTTAGTCCATGAACTGGACTGGAAACATAAAAAATTCGGCAAATGAGACTAATCTTGAAAAAAACCTAAAATATGAAAAAAAAACCATTTGAAAAAAAAACAATGAAAATAAAAACCTGAAAAAAAAACAAAAAAACGGACCGTTTTTTTAAGTCGCATCTCTACCTATACCTAAAGTTGATAGTTTTCTAGATGTTTGCTATTAGGTTTACAGATATGGGGGTAAAATCTTTGGAATCTTAAATTCAATTCTTTAAAATTTTTCAACAAATTACCCGAGAAACCCCAAATTAAATGTAACACCCGGTATGTTAAGAAATTGATATGGAATATTTTAAAGAACGTTTTAAGATTCCAAAAATTCCACCCCTATTTCTGCAAACCTAATAGCAAGAAAGTTATAGGCTATTTTTGATTGACGCGCATTTGTCATATTTTAACGGAAAAAATTAACTCCAAAACTATTTACTCTATATAGGACATGGTACAGTAATTTTACTCAAAATTTTAAGTAGAAATTAAAAATGTAAAAATATATGGGGTGTTCCATTTAAAATACAACAAAGTTAATGTGAGTGGCATTTTGTTTAAAATATTTTAGAAAAATAGGCTTAATTGGATTATAAACGCTTTAAAAATTTCAAATCGATATCTTTTGCCGTTCCTCAGAAACTCTCAATGGACCACGAACGTGAAACACCCGTATTTCGTAAATGCGCGACACCCTGTATGTAATTAAAATAATTTTAAAATAAATAAATATTCTTAAGGGTTGTCCATTTATACAGTGAATAAATTTTTCATAAAAATATACTGTCCAGCTGTTATCGAATACCGTGGATAAAATTATATTGGATCGCACTTAAAAAAAAAATGGCGTGGTCTGAAGAAACGCCGAAACACGGGTATCATTTTGTTAAGTCTATTTTGAAAATCTATAGAAAAAAAATCAAATTTTGTCGTACTGTGTTATAACTAGCTTAGTTTGTTTTAATCAATGCAACCAACTTGACAACTGTATTTACCAACCAAACCCCTAAATTTGCAACGTTGCCGCAGTCCACATAAAAAAAAATGAAAAAAACGTTCTTTTTTTTAGAGAAAAACATTCACCACAACATGTCGAGTTTTTCTGAGCCTGCCGGGTTGGGTTTTCTGCGCACGTCCGCCATCGATTTCGTCAACTACAACAAGCGGCAGATGTCGCGCATCTACCCTAGCGGGGCGCGCGCAAACTCCTCCAATTACATGCCGCAAGTGTTTTGGAACGCGGGCTGCCAGATGGTCTCTCTCAATTTCCAGACGTCCGATTTGCCGATGCAACTCAACCAGGTAAGAATTATCGTTTAGCTAGTAAACCGAAAATGCGATAAAAAATGTTAAATACATTAATGGTGGAGATTTCATTTTCCTTTAATTTCGTATGAACAAAATGCAAATCCGCCATCTTTTATCGAAGATACACTCACCAACAAGAAAAACGGCCACCAGAAATTGGCAACAATTTTAATGCTGATTTCCTCCTCGTGAACCGTTCATCTGATTTTGATGATTTTTTTTTAAATGTAGGTCGAACATTTTGTTTTTTCTTCAAGTTATTGCCTCTATAGTTTTTTCGCGCATCGCTGATTTTGATGATTTTTTTACTCCTCAGTAATATATATTTTTATTTTTTACATTTGCACCCTCGGCCATTTCAAGCGGATGGACGGGACATATCACAAAACTGTTTTTATAAAAAAATTTGTAGGTAATTTATTATATATTATTTTTGCATCAAAATTGTCAAATATATTCTTCTATTATTAGACTATACATTAAATAAAAAAATCGCAAGAAATATTTTATAAAAGTAGAGATAATTTCAATAATTGACAGGGGATGGACGGGACAAGATAAATCTTTTTTTTGTCCCGTCCACACCTTTCAATTATTGAAATTATATCTACTTTTATAAAATATTTCTTGCGTTTTTTTTTATTTAATGTATAACCTAATAAAAGAAGAATATTTTTGACAATTTTGATGCCAAAATATTATATAATAAATAATCTACAATTTTTTTTATAAAAACAGTTTTGTAATTCGTGCGTTTCGCGCGCTTGAAATGGCCGCCCTGTACAGCATAGTAACTTAAGGGTAAACCTACAATTCAAAAATCATCAAAATCAGATAAGTGGTTCGCGAGGGAATCAACATTCAAATTCTGGCCAATTTTTTCACAAAACCAGCCACAACGTGGCAAAACGGTAGACAGATTGACAGTTATTTTTTTCGTATTTCCAATAGTTAGAGGCACAATGGTCATTCAGCCAGATCACTGGAGTCCAGATTTTAAAGTCTAATATAAAAATTAAGCGTTTCTTCTAATTTTTTGTTGTCGCACATTATAATTTGGAATGTTTTCTTTCAAAATTCATCAGATTTAATGCGAAAAGAACATATTTATTTTTTCACCCTCAGTATCGTTTGTCGTGGAATGACTCTGCCGTACTTTTTTGGTAGGATAAAGGTTATTTTAAACTATTTTTAGTCTTTAGAATTTAGAAAAAAAATCAGCTGCTTTATGGATCCTAAGGCATTACCCATTTTAATATATTACATTAATTACAAAACACCCTGTAGTATACTAGCTAATCAGTTTTTTTTAACTAATTTACCAAGAAATTATATATACAGAGAGTTTAAAAAATAACAAAACATGACAATTGGTAAAATGAATGTATTAAGGGGTTACATACATATGAGCTCGTAAAAATTAATGTCTTATATAATTATGAGCAAAAAAGGATTACTGATTGTGGCAGAGATAGTAAAAAATTGTGGCGTCATATAAATAACAACCTAATTAATAACAAAAATAAACAAAACATAAAATTACTGAAAATGACATAACATTTACTTCTCCAGTGGATATAGCTAATACCTTCAATAGTTTTTTTGGGAATGTTGGTAAAGATCTAGCTATTCGCATTAAAAAACCTAAAAATGAAAACTTATGTCTTCCATCAAATAATGAAAAAACATTTTTTCTAGAACCCACTAATCCAACTGAACTATTGAAGGTAATTAAACAAATGAAAAACAAAGCAGGTGGTATTGACGAAATAAGTGTTATGGCTATGAAAAATATTGCTAATTATATAATTAATCCCTTGTCATATATATTAAACCTATGTATTTCTAAATCTGTCTGGCCGACTGCACTAAAATCAGCAGAAATAGTACCAATATTTAAAAATGGGAATAAATCGCTCCCAACAAATTATAGACCAATTTCCCTGATTTCAAATATCGCAAAACTGTTTGAAAAAATAATACACTACAGATTAGTGAAGGGAGAATCGAATGATTTTAAGAATCGAATACTTTGCATTCGAATAGTCTAAAGAATCGAATGATCATTCGAATGCAGAGAATCGAATAGTTTGTTCCGAATCGGAACCGATAATAGCCGAAAACATTTATTGAATGAATGTTTTCGGAACAAACTATTCGATTATCTGTATTCGAATGGTCATTTTATTTCTTGTTTACAATTCGTTATGGGCTAAGCGGGTTGGCGTCGCACTGGGTGCAATATAAATTCTAAACCGGCTAATATACCTACTAATTGATTTATGACATGCTTTCTTTATTTTTGTCATAAAACATAAACCATATTATTTGTCAGGTTTTGTAAATAGGCGAAAATTTATGGCCTATTTTAATAAAGTAAAAATGTATGCTCTTTATTTTTAATAAAATAATACCTTTTGATTCAAAATTAAAATCCTTAAGGAAATAGTCACCAAAATTCAACATTCTTTATTTTTAATTTGGTTGGAACGTCGGTTATATGTTTTATTTTTGTGACATTTAAAAAGTTTTAATAATAATTGTTAGATAATTATTTTTTTGTTATATTTACTACATTTTAGTACATATTAAAATTAACACAAGCAGTGCTGGTCCAGCTCGACGCAAGCCGATTCTCCATGCGATACAAAAAATCAACTTTGGCGTGAATTCGAATGCAGAGAAATCTCTCGTCTCCCACCTTCCGCTCGATGACACGCAAGCGCTTTCGATTCGATTCGAATAGTTCGAACTATTCGAATACTTTGTTGAGAATCGAATGCATTCGAATGCACGCCAGAATCGAATACTTCGATTATTTGTATTCGAATAGTCCCTTCACTACTACAGATTATACACATTTCTAGAGAAATTTAAAATTATTTCAAATAAACAATTTGGATTTAGAAAGAAAATTGGTACTAAAGACGCTATTTTTGAGGTAACAAGATAATTAAATGCATAAACGACAACAAAAAAGTCATTGCTACTTTCCTGGACCTTGCGAAGGCGTTCGATACAGTAAACCATAATATTCTTCTATTAAAACTAGAAAGATATGGTGTCAGAGGTCCTACAAAAAAATTGTTAACTAGCTATCTAAATAACAGATCGCAAAAAGTCAAGATAGATGGAATATACAGTGACTCTCTAAGCGTAAACACAGGAGTTCCACAAGTAACCATATTAGGCCCACTCTTGTTTATTGTTTATATCAACGATCTTTTGAAAATATTGCCGGACGACACCATATCTTCCTATGCGGATGATACTGTGATAATATGTACTGATGAATCTTGGGGAAGAGCCAAAGAAAAAATGAATGACTACTTATCTACTATAAATAAATGGCTTAGTCTTAATGAACTGTCGTTAAATGTAAAGAAAACGGTTTTTATTACTTTTGGATCTTATGAGAAAAGTGTACCAAAAGAAATAAATGTTAGTATCGATGATCAACCATTACAAAGAGTGGAAAACTGTAAATATTTAGGTATAATAGATAGTAGACTCAAGTGGCAAGCACATATAAACAGTTTGATACACAAAACTAAATATCTGATTTACCTAATGTACAAAATGTCAATAATCATGAATGCCTTCTCACTCATGTTATTGTACTACGCTTTCTTCCACAGCATTGCGACCTACGGTATCATTGCTTGGGGAGGAGCGTATGACAATGCCTTATCGTGTCTACAGAGAATCCAGAATAGGCTGCTTAAAATTATACGTGAAAAAGACAGTACCGTGTGTATGCCTTTATCTATCAAAGAAAGTTTCCTGCTCGAGTCAATATCGCAAAACTATTGTGACCTTTCAACAAATTTCAGGACATCAGATACATGTACAAGAAACAAAATGCCATTACCAAAAGTGAAAAAAACCCTAAAATTAAATAGTAGCCAAATAGTAGCAATAAAAATTTTTAATATCCTGGACATAGACTTGAAAACCATCGATAAACCGAGTAACTACACGAAAAAAGTTCTAAAAAAATGGATGTGCAATAACACAAATAAACTCCTAAAGCTCAATTTCATAGACAAAGATGACTTAATTATTTAAAACTTGCTAGAATTGTAATATGTACAGTAATATACTGGTTCTGAATTAATCTTTATTTTTGTTAAAAGTTGGTAGAATTGTAAATACAAACTAATTAAGTAGTTTAGAATTTAGTTTAGTTTTAGTTTTTTTTTAGTTTAGTTAACTAGGTCTGCACACAGGTTAGTAAACCTCTAGCAGATTTTATGTATGCTTGCATCATAATATGTACCCCACCTAGTTCAAATAAATAAATAAATAAAATAAATAAATAAATATGGAAAGTTGTGGAAAATACGGCCCTTGCCCCGAAACGATTTTTTTTCAAGCGTTTCGGTGAGCATGAAATATCGAAAACCGCTCAACAGATCTTAATGAACAAAAAAACTATATTAGTACATACTATAACCCCCTTCGTGAACGAAGGGGTTTGCAAAAAAAAAATGTTCATGCAAATGGCGGTCATTTTCCAAAACAATCTGATTTTCGAGGGTACAAAAATTTAGTTTTCGAGCCGAAAAAATAGAAATTTCCATCCAAATGAAAATCCCTTCGTTTACGAAGGAGCTATTGTAATTAGGAACAACACAAATTTCATATCAATCGGTAAATTGGTTTTCGAGAAATCGTGCTCACGACAACGGCACTTTTCAAAAAATACGATTCCAAGATAAACTCGTTTAAAGTTTTAATTTCATTCAATTTGCCTTTAAATATTCGTGACGTAGCGCGCTATAAATTGCTATAACATACGTTCTAGTGCTCCGATCTGGATAAAATTTTGAGTACATATTTTTAAAAGTATATGTTGTAAGAATATTTAATAAAAAAATCGATTTTTTGATCCAGCACAAATGCTGGATTGCAATTCCTAATGACAATAAGTCACAAAGGGCTTACATTTTTGACTGATTCATTCTGAGAGAGCGAACATTTTTGGTGCTCGCAGGGAAAGTTCGAGTACAACGGCAACTGCGGCTACCTGCTGAAGCCGGACTTCATGCGCAGGCACGACCGCACGTTCGACCCGTTCGCCGAGTGCCCGGTAGATGGCGTCATCGCGGCCCAGTGCTCGGTGCAGATCATCGCCGGTCAGTTTTTGTCGGACAAGAAGGTGGGCACGTACGTCGAGGTCGACATGTACGGCCTGCCGACCGACACCATCACGAAGGAGTTCAGGACGCGCCTGGTGCCGGCCAACGGCCTCAATCCCGTCTACAACGAGGAGCCGTTCTTGTTCAGGAAGGTCGTGCTGCCGGATTTGGCCGTGCTGTGGTTCGGCGTCTACGACGAAAGCAGTTAGTGCTCATTCATAATGGACGTAACCATAAGATGCCCGTAAGAAATACGTAAAACGTAAAGTTGAATATTAACAAAACCTGTTTATAATGAATAGCCGTAATTTTTACGTATTACGTTCGAACATAAGATCTTACGGGTGACCGTAAAAAATACGTAAAGTTGAAATCATCTCAACTTTACGGGTTTCTTATGTATGAATTTTAGTAATTTTCATGATTTCACTAGAACATTGTTGGTAGCAATCAGGGTAGTAGCCATGCAAACAGATGACAGATCTCAGTTCTGTGTTGTCCGCTGAAGTGACAAGTGTCCTTGAGAGGACAATATGGTGCTCACATCACATTAAGCTAATCAGTGCCAAAACTCCAAAATCTACATTAGATTTGTGAAGATGCAATAGATTTCCACAAAGGATGGTCGAAATATTAAAGGATTTAATAGTCATGTTCAAACAGCCATGTAGTGCATCGTGGGTTTTTTTTGCTATTTTTTTTGCCCTCTATTTTTATGTATGACTTCCTCTGCGTGTATGGTGATTTCGTTTATGTTTGAGACATTAGTGTATTAGTGTAATAAAAATGACTCTAAATGATGAGTGTACTGAGAAGATTTGTTAAGATTGAACTGTAATGCTAAAATAAAAAGATTGATTTATGAACTATGAAGACTGAAGTGATATTGATGGACATTAATTTTGAAAAATAAAACAAATAATCAAGAAGAAAACGAGAAGCTGTAATTTATATATATTATATAATAAAGAAGAAAGGAGAAGCTATAGGTAATCCTAGACTCGCTTACTCCAGTACCTAAAAGAAACGAGATTAAGCTGGCTAATTCCCGGAAGGGAAAGGCCAATCAAACCAGAGAAGAAGAAGAAGAAGATGACAGGTGTATTCTGGTGTATCCACAGAACAAACAATCTAAAGAACCATAACACTGATAGTTTTAACTTAATTTATATTTATAATTATTATGTCTTAAAACTTTTAAGTTTTGAGACATAATAATTAGACGAAATCTGTCAATGCTGCCATTTTAGTGAACTTGGACATGCGCGCCTTATTAATATATACATAAGGCATACGTTCATTATAAACACAACTCATCGTTACGTACAAATTATGGTGATATTATGTTTATGTTTTACGGTCATCTTATGGTTACATCCATTATGAATGAGCACTTAGTTTGGCATTTTTAATGTTTCTGAAACTTTGCAAATTGTGCAGCCATCTAGCGTCAAATTGTACTAACTAATGCCTCATTTAGAACCACGTAATTAGTGGAATAAATTAGTGGTTTCAATTAACGTAAAAGTTGTCTTATGAATATACACAGTGTTGTTCACAACCAGAAAATTAGTGGTAGTATTTTTCAATTAGTGGAAAAAGTTTGCAAACTCCAAACATTTACCACTAATTATAATTGGAAAGAGCTTTGCGCATGTGCGAGGATATTTTATGTCAAAAGCAAAAAGTTTAAAGATTTGCCAGTGAAGGTAAGGTTATATAAATATTATTTTAATGGTTGTAAAAAATATTATTTTACTATAATTAGTATTTTTTATGTGAGGTTAAGAAGAATGGACAATCTTTTGGCAAATTCTCATAATTTTAGATGCTAATTTTGGCTAATGAGGCTTAAGATCAAATTGTAGCTTCTAGTACGTCAGTATCTCTTTAGCAATTCTAGTACAATTTTCAAAATTGCATTCAATTGAAAAAAAAATAATAAATCGAATCTCGAAATTGTATGGCACGCCGTTTTAACATTTATTAAATAATTTTTTAATTTAAAATTTTATTGTTTTAAAATTTTCCTTACTAAAAATTTTAGGTTTACATTTATAAATTTATAATATTTTCAACTATCATGTATTGAAAGACAAAATTTACTAACCACCAGTTCACTTCTGTATTAAACAATATTATTTTCTATCAATTTTTGAAAAATTTCTAACTATCATTTTTTAATAAAAATAATTTCCCAAGTATAATTTATTTGGGTGGCATTTTGTTAACTTAAATAAATATTTTATAAAATTATTGAGATTAATTTGGTAAAGTTAAATTTTTTAGAATTTAAAAATAGTATCAAGCCATTTAAAATAAAAATACATATAAAACATTTTCTACCAAACTAGTTTAAAAAGTTAAATTTTAAACTCAAAACTATTGATAATCAAAAAATATTTTAAATATAAAATGCAAGTGTAGAAGTTTAAGTTTAAAAATATTAATTTTTAAAAAATGGAATTTTAATATTTTATTCTTCAAAATTATGGTTTGAATTTGTAAAGAGTCATTTAAATGATTTTAAACATTACATTTAAATGTTAGTTTTAAATTTTAAAGTGGTAATTTTTGCATTAAAAATTTATCGACTATCATTTAAATGACTCTTTACAATTTTAAACCAATAACTTTTATTTTTAACAATTTTAAATTGATACATTTTTAAAACAAAATTTATAACTTTACATTTAAATGTAAGTCGATAATTTTTAAATTACAAAGTGTAAACGTAGCTTTAGTAGAAGGCACAGGAGTCTGGGATCGGAGCCACGATGCAGCCAGTTTGATCCGCAGTGTTGCCAAATCGTGCTTGCTCCATAAATATTTGACGCGTTTTACAAATTATCGTAATGAAATGTTTCTTTATTACATAAATTTAATAATAGAACAGCAACATTTTTAGTGCCTATTGTACTAAGTTAATTCGACAATTAAAAAACATCAACGGATCAAACTGGCTGCATCGTGGCTCCGAAAAAAATTTGGTTTAAATTTGAAAAGAGTCATTTAAACCAATAATTTTGTAGAATAAAATATTACAACCAAAACTTTTAAAAATCAATATTTTTAAACATAAATTTTTACTGTTGCATTTTATATTTAAAATATTTTTTGACTATCAATTGTTTTGAGTTTAAAAAAATTTAACTTTATAAATTTCTGTTAAAACATAATTTAAGTGCTAAACTTTAATCTTTAAACTTTTATCTAATAAATGTTAAAACGGCGTGCCATAAAATTGAGACAACATTTCTAGCAATTGTACTGTTGGTAACGGCCCAGATAGCACAGAGATATCTTAAAGATGTCGGACTCGGACGTTTATGACTAAAGATGGGATATTTAGGTACTAAAAACTGAAAAATAGGCAACTAAAAAGGTACTAAAAAAAGCATTTTAGGTTAAAAAAAACATTAAAAGATCAAGTTTCTTTTATTTTTATAAAATAAGTACCTAACATAAAATATTTTTTTTATAAACTGACCAATACTTAATTAAAGCTATAAGGAACTGAAAATATAACAGGAAATACCTGATATTTACCAAATTTACTACTTAAGTAACAAACAGATAGCTAAAATGTATATAAATTAAAGAAAGATGTTTTAACATAACCTCAAAGTCCTTACAATTTTTTTATAATTTTGTTTAGCCGCATACCCAAACACAGAACATACCCACAATAAACTATTTCTATGCAATAAACTGTGTTTCACTGAGTGACACTCAATATAACATAATGCTTATGTCATAAGCTCACTACAAAGAAGGTAACTGCAAAGAAAGTTACTGTTACAGTCTGTGACCATAAGAAAAAATTCTATACTGGATTTGAGTTGCACGCCCTGAATAAAATATTGGCGCAAAATTTAAAAAGAACACAAAAAATAAAATAAGCAAAAACCTCCAGAAAAGGTAAAAAAGGTAAAAACAAATTAAAAAAATAGGTAACAAAAGTATAAAAAAGGTAGTTTAAAGCAAAATCCTCCAAAAAAGGTAAAAAAGGTGAAAACAAGTTAGGTTCATATAAAAGAAAATCTTTTAAAACACATTTTGGCATTATTGGTTTTCAAATAGTTACATCGGTTAAAAAAAGGTAAAATAACTAAAATCCTATCCCTATTTATGACCCCAAGCAGCATTTTTGGTTCCAAAAACCATTACCACTGGTGATAACTTTAAATTAGTTAAGTATACTAAACAGCTACTTTAATTTTTACTTAAAAGTAATTCTAACTTTAAATGGTTACTATAAAGTAATAAACATGTAAGTAAAACTTGGTTGCCCCCAAGAAGACTTTGCAACTTTAAAAAAGGTGTTATAAGTAAAAAAAACTTTCAAGTAAATTTAATTTGTAGCAGTTACTTTCGGTTGCTACCTAAAGATTACATTATAATTATTTTTACTTTGTAGTCCCTTTGCAAGTTAAAATCTCGAAACTGGAACATGAGTTAAAAACTACGAAGTTAATAACTTAAAAGTTATTATTTTAGTATTTGGAATGTTTATGGTACTAACCAAAACTACTGTAAAGTAAATTAAGGTGGAAAAAAACTTTAAAGTAGCGAAACTACTTCAAAGGAAAATGCTTCTTATCGGCCATTTTTTACTGTACAGTACCACGTGGTAATGTAAATAATAAATTATTTTAATTGTTTGTAAATGGTTGTTTACTTTTTATTAAATAGTAATTTTGTTGGTAATAGACGGTATTAATAATTAAATAATAAATTAATAATAAATATTAAGATTTCATTATTTATAAACATTAACAAATTAAACAAATGAAAAACAAAGCAGGTGGTATTGACGAAATAAGTGTTATGGCTATGAAAAATATTGCTAATTATATAATTAATCCCTTGTCATATATATTAAACCTATGTATTTCTAAATCTGTCTGGCCGACTGCACTAAAATCAGCAGAAATAGTACCAATATTTAAAAACGGGAATAAATCGCTCCCAACAAATTATAGACCAATTTCCCTGATTTCAAATATCGCAAAACTGTTTGAAAAACCACTACAGATTATATACATTTCTTGACAAATTTAAAATTATTTCAAATAAACAATTTGGATTTAGGAAGAAAATTGGTACTAAAGACGCTATTTTTGAGGTAACTAACAAGATAATTAAATGCATAAACGACAACAAAAAAGTCATTGCTACTTTCCTGGACCTTGCGAAGGCGTTCGATACAGTAAACCATAATATTCTTCTATTAAAACTAGAAAGATATGGTGTCAGAGGTCCTACAAAAGAATTGTTAACTAGCTATCTAAATAACAGATCGCAAAAAGTCAAGATAGATGGAATATACAGTGACACTCTAAGCGTAAACACAGGAGTTCCACAAGGAACCATATTAGGCCCACTCTTGTTTATTGTTTATATCAACGATCTTTTGAAAATATTGCCGGACGACACCATATCTTCCTATGCGGATGATACTGTGATAATATGTACTGATGAATCTTGGGGAAGAGCCAAAGAAAAAATGAATGACTACTTATCTACTATAAATAAATGGCTTAGTCTTAATGAACTGTCGTTAAATGTAAAGAAAACGGTTTTTATTACTTTTGGATCTTATGAGAAAAGTGTACCAAAAGAAATAAATGTTAGTATCGATGATCAACCATTACAAAGAGTGGAAAACTGTAAATATTTAGGTATAATAATAGACAGTAGACTCAAGTGGCAAGCACATATAAACAGTTTGATACAAAAAACTAAATATCTGATTTACCTAATGTACAAAATGTCAAAAATCATGAATGCCTTCTCACTCATGTTATTGTACTACGCTTTCTTCCACAGCATTGCGACCTACGGTATCATTGCTTGGGGAGGAGCGTATGACAATCGTGTTTACAGAGACTCCAGAATAGGCTGCTTAAAATTATACGTGTAAAAGACAGTACCGTGTGTATGCCTTTATCTATCAAAGAAAGTTTTCTGCTCGAGTCAATATCGCAAAACTATTGTGACCTTTCAACAAATTTCAGGACATCAGATACATGTACAAGAAACAAAATGCCATTACCAAAAGTGAAAAAAACCCTAAAATTAAATAGTAGCCAAATAGTAGCAATACAAATTTTTAATATCCTGGACATAGACTTGAAAACCATCGAAAAACCGAGTAACTACACGACAAAAAGTTCTAAAAAAATGGATGTGCAATAACACAAATAAACTCCTAAAGCTCAATTTCATAGACAAAGATGACTTAATAATTTAAAACTTGCTAGAATTGTAATATGTACAGTAATATACTGGTTCTGAATTAATCTTTATTTTTGTTAAAAGTTGTTAGAATTGTAAATACAAACTAATTAAGTAGTTTAGTATTTAGTTTAGTTTTAGTTTTTTTAGTTTAGTTAACTAGGTCTGCACACAGGTTAGTAAAACGCATTTATTTTACAAAAAATAAATTCATAAGTTCAACAGTAAAATTTAAAGGGTTTATAAATTTACCTTCCTTATTAAAAATTATATTGTTATTCTGGTTATAGACTACCAGTACATATTTAATAAACGACGACATTAAAAAGCCAAGTCCGTAGTGGTTCCATTTTAAAAAGGAGGGATAGTATAATCTAAGTTTGACAAAGACAGTTAATATAGAAGTAAAAACAAATAAATAAAAGTAATTATAGCAACCACAGACCTAGGTCTGTGATAGCAACGATATTGAAATGTTCTAGTAACGTAGCAGCTACGTTCCAGATAGTAGCAGGGTTTATAGCCAGTGACATATTTGTTACCTTTTTGGAACTCAATAATTGTTCCCCACTTTAGTCGTAACTTAGTAATAAAAGAGTAATATAAAGAGACCGGCGACTGTCGCAAAACACTTTGAAGTAAGTTTCTTCAATAGTCCCATATACGTAACAAATACTTAAATTGTTGCTTGGGACATCTCTGAGACGTCCAGTTTACGACGTAAGTCATCTTTAAGATATCTAATGTTACAAAACACACCGTCTTTAAGATGCTTTTTAACGGCATTATTAAGTCGTTGCTAAACGTCGTTAAGACGTCTTTAAGACTACCTATTGAAAACGTCTTCGTTATGCATTGCTACATCGCCAAAACGTTTTTAAGGTTATTAAGCAGAGCTGTCAAAGATACTTTAAAATAGTATCTAGTTACTAGATAATTATCTTAAGTTACTTTTTGAAAAAGTATTTGAAGTTACTTTGGGTATCTAGTTGCTCTTTAAAAAAAGGAACTTAAGTACTTATCTTAAGTTACTTTTTAAGATAATTAATAAGATACTTTTTTAGTTACTTTGTATATTATGTATTAAGTTTGGTAATTGGGATTCCAATCCCAATTCTTAACCTGCTGTCGGATTTAAACCATATGCAACTAGTTTATTTTTGTAATAATTTTTTTCAATAAAATTTGGTTGATTAAAACAATTGAAGAGTCCAATGCAAAAAGTGCCTAACTTAGGCACTTTTAAAATAACTTAAAAATAAAAACAGATACAATCGTTAATTAAACACCACTTAATTGTAAACAAAACCAAAATTATCTCACTATCCATTTAATCTTTTTTTTTTTAATTTAAATGGAAAACGTACAGTGAACATTATAGAATTTACGGTACAATGTAACAACTGTGCCGCCTAACTTATTTCAGACTTATCAGAGCGGGTGGCGAAGTATAGGTGACTATTTCCCTCGTCTTAATTTCCACCAATTACGAACGCGCAATTTTGAATTACAAATGGTTTCTAGGTGAAAAAACTGTGTGACAGCACCTGTCAGCAGTTTTTTCGAGTTTACCCGCGGCAAAACTTGACAGCTGTTGTCACCAAAAATTGCAATTTATATTTTAATTGTTAACTGTTACTCATGAAATAGTCTTGTCAAATACCATTCGGGTATCTAATTTTTCCTGTGAAAAAAATCGAAAAAACACAATGCTAAGTAGTATTTTTTAACAAAATGCATTCGTGCAGGTGCAAAAATCCTCCTCTTCGACTCGGATTTTTGTTGCCACCAGCACTCATGCTTTTTGTTAAAATATCACTTAGCAACGTGTTTTTTCGATTCTTTTCGGAAAAATTAAATGCCCTTATGATATTACTTACGACTATTTCCCTCGTCTTAATTTCCACAAATCACAAACGCAGTTTTTTCGAGTTTACCCGCGGCAAAAATTTGACACCAAAAATTGCAATTTATATTTTAATTGTACCATAAATAATTAAGTTTGTAGTATTTTGTGATTAAATAAATTACCTATTTTTCAGTTTTCAAATTAATAGCTACATATTTATTATGTATGCATGTATAATTATTATAGGTAGTATGTTTTGTAAACTATGTGTTACTCATGAAATAGTCTTGTCAAATACCATCCGGGCACAATGCTATGTAATATTTTTTAACAAAATCCATTCGTGCAGGTGGAAAATCCTCGTCTTCGACTCGGATTTTTGTTGCCACCAGCACTCATGCTTCTTGTTAAAATATTACTTAGCAACGTGTTTTTTCGATTTTCTTCGGAAAAATTAGGTGCCCTTATGATATTACTTACGAATAAAAACTAAAAAAAAAACGCCGCCAGCCGCCAGTAATAATTAGATGGCCGCGGCCGTTTAGAACAAATCTTAACTTGTCTAAAGGAACTTTTCTTGCGGTAACTTACATACTTTTTGGTATCTGAGATACTTTTTGGTATCTGAGATACTTTTTGGTATCTGAGATACTTTTTGGTATCTAAGTTACGTTTCGGTATCTAAGATATTTTTCGGTATCTAAGATACTTTTTTAAGTTACAAGATACGGCTTCTTTTAAAAAATATCTAAGATACTAGATGTTAAAAAAATAAAGGAACTTAAAATTACTAAGTAACTCTAAAGTAACTAAGATACTTTTTTCTGACAGCTCTGTTTAGAACCATCTAAAAAGTTCTAAAACCCTCCTATAATTGCTTTAAAATGCCCTAAACCGTTTTTTAACAAATATCCAGACAAACTCTTGGGGCAGCGCATTCTACCTCTGGACGGTTTGCAAGCGGGTTACCGTCACATTTCGCTAAGAACCGAAGCGAATTTCCCCATGTCGTTGCCGATGTTGTTTTGCAACATCGAACTGAAAATCTACGTTCCTGACGGTTTCGAGGACTTCATGGGCGCGCAGAAGAAACAAAACGAACAAATGTTTTCCATGGGTATCGAGGTTACCGATAAAAAGGGACAGGAGAACAAGGAGAAGAAGGAGGAGAGGAAAGTTGGTAAGCAAAATACTATGCAATACTTCTATAACTGTTTAAATAGTCCTTTAAACGCCATGAACCATTCGAGATGTCCTAAAACCAGCCTTAAAGTTTTAGAAGATATTATTTTTAGAACCCATGGTTTTTGAACCAATCACCATTGAGTCGATAAAACAAGACAAGGCTTTCCAAAAAACCACGAAAAAACAGCAAAAAGAGTACGACACTTTGCGCAAAAAACAAACCAAAGAGAAGTTGGCTGTCCAAAAATCTCAGTGTTTGGCCATTGAAAAATTAATTAAAGGAAAAAAGTAAGTTTACAATAATTATTGTTAACCCTATTTTTTGTAGCATATACGCTAAAGAAGTATAGGGTTTTCGCAACGCGCGCGCCATCTGGTGAACTTCGATAGCATTGCGTAAATTTAAGAATTGTCAATAATACATTTAAAGCACAGATTATACATAATTTTTAAATAAATAGGTAGTTTTTCACAAAAGAGAGGAAGGCAGAAGTCTTACTCGACAAATTTTGTTCAATTGCACAGCTAAATCGCGCACGTTATTTGTGTTTTACGTTGCAAGGAAAAAAATTAAAAACCTTTTTAGTACTCGATTTTGATTGATTATTCCTTATATCATTGATTAAGAAACTCAACGCTTAAATGCTTATATAGTTACGTTAGTGTGTGCATTTTATCCAAGGGATCATGGTGAATTATTGTTTTTTTAATTAAAAATAAAATTCAAGAACTAAATCGTTGTATTTTCATGTTTTGCCAAAGGTAGTTGTTGGTGTTGGTGCAGAATTAACTAATGATAACTTTACCTAATATAATTTATATTTATGTTTGGACATTTTTAATAAATTAGTAAAAAATAATTTTTGCACAAACATAACCTTAAAATCAACCATTTTTATATTTGAGTTCTCTAAAAAACGCCGACAACTGCATTTTAAACAAAATATACCTACGAATTCATGGCAACATAATATTATATATAATACATAATATAATGGTATTTTACCGTTGAGTGGAGACTTTCTTAATCAACGCTTATTTGTTTGACGATTTTTACTGAATTAAAATTTCACGTTAATCACTACTAAAATGTGTATTTATTGTATCTAATAGGTACAATTTATATTTGCAGAGACTGTATGCAATTTATTTCTTCATTCAGATTAACACTGTTTATTGGAAAACCGGTAAAAACTCATCCCAGGATTTCCTCTCGAAATACACCCAACAACACAACAAATCGAGCCACGGTTTTTTTCCCGATATTTTTCAACATTTTCCGGCTTTATTCTCAAAAACACTCGTTTGTAACATAAGCGTTTAACAGCTGATTATTAAAAGTCGTACTTTTGTTACGATGATAACAGCCGAGTGGTGGCGCTACTAGCGATACTTCTTTAGCCTATAACTCTTCAGAACTCTCTAAAATGTCATAAATCGATAACAGTCCTGTGTTGTTCCAAGAACAAAAAATAAATAAAAATCGTAATTTCAAGCAAAAACGACCTCGCGAACGATCCAGCGGTGAAAAAAATGGTGGGAGAACAAACTTTGGAGTGGAGCGAGTTGATGGGGCGCCACAGAAAACAGGAGTGGGAATTTTTGAGACAGCAACTGGAAGATCAACGGGATGTTTTGAGGAAACACATGGAAATCCTGCAGGCTTCTCAAGTCAAACAATTGGAGGTGAAACACGACAAGGACATGAAGGATTTGAGAGTGCAGCAAGCCAAACAATCCGTAGAAACGGCAAAAGAGGTAAGAATTGTTTTGACATTTTTTTGGTATATCAAACTACATTCTTTCACCCGTCTTTTTGTGTTTTTCGTTTGCCCAATTTCCTTTCAGTTTTCGAGTAAAAAAACTTTAAAGACTTCATATTTATTTTTGTCCCTTCCATCTGACAGATCTTTTCTGTATAACACGGTGTGCCTGAACGAAGTTTAAGTCACATAAAAATGCCGCCAAAAACTGATTGCAGTTTCTTGTACGGGATCCTTTGGTGACTTAAAAATGATATTTACCAAAATCCTAGCTGCTCCTCTTTTCGAAATTTTTTGAAAATTCATGACTTTTTTTTAAATTTTTGTTTATTTCAAAGTCTACCTTTGACAGAGTACATATTTGTTCACCGATTTTTATAAAATTAGAGTATATTATTTAGGAGACTTAAAGAATACTTTTTAATAGTGTTCACATCATTTGATATATACAGAATGAGCCAAAAATCGCTTATTTTTAATAAAGCTGTGTTGACCCGCCCTCCGTAAAACGAGAAAAACACAACCAAGAATACATCTACCCGTAAAGCATCCTACCTATTCGAAATTAGACATTTAAATTAATGTTAAGTTTTTAAAATAATGCAGCGTTGCCCTTTCTTAAAAATACTTGAATTATATAACGTTTAATTACTTGGGTTAATGGGGTCCTGTTTAACCGAGCGCGCTAAAGCCGGCCCTGTCGCGGTAGGTTGGGGGGGATAGAGAACAAGGCCGAGCGGCTGAAGAAAAGCAACAGCAATGCTGTTACAGCATAGAGTAACAGGTGAAGGAAAAGGGTCGTCCGAGTGAATCGGGGGTTTTCGTGTTGTAAAATAAACCTTGTAGGTAAGCTAAAATGATCCTTTACTTGTTTAAATTAACTAACTAAGGTGGTTGTATCTTTTAACCAAGTTTAATAATGTAGATTTGTTGTGTTTTGGGGATATTTAGCCGAGAGTACGCTACGCGTCTCTTTGCTCCGTAAAGCTACATTTTCAATCAACTCTAAAGCTAGCTTTAGAGTGGGAGTGTGTCGCTCACGCAGTGTTGCCAACCGTAGCGGAATTCCGCTACGCATAGCGGGATTTACCCCCAAGAGCGGTGTAGCGGCGGTGGAACAAAATGATGGCAAAACGTAGCGGAATTTAGTTTTTTTTTTAATTAGTATTAGTAAAACATCTAAAACAAATTGTTATTTAATAAGTTATTTTTTTTAGTTTAAATTTTATCATTAAATATAGCTACATCTATAGAATAACATTTTAAGCAGTAAGCGGATAATAATGAAGGTCTATAGCTGCCGTAGGATTTACAAATGCAACCGCGGCTTGCGTATTGTTTATCTTTTACGGGCGGGCGGGACTTCGAGCGTTAGAATATTTTTGTTTTGGTTTTAACATTGTTTGTTTATATTTTAATTTTCTTGTTATATGTTATAATCCCTATAGGGATTTTTTGTTACCTGTTTTTTATACTTTAAGAAAGTATTTTGCTTAACATTTCTTGTCTTTATTTGCATTAAAAAAAATTGTATCCAATGTTTGGATTCCAAACTTTAAGCCAAAATAGTAAATTTGTTGTTTTGGTGTAACAATGTCAAAATTTGGGGTTATGTAAATTATATTTACATTTGTTGCTTTGGTGTAGCGAAAACTCTATTGAACTCTTTCTAAATGTCATATTAATATACTAATATCCATAACACCTATATGCACTGTAAATAAACTATGACATGCTATGTTTTTTATGAAATAACAACTTCACAGTCTTCAAAATCAATATGATCTTATTTCTTAACAAAAATGAATGGTTAAATACCTACATGAGAAATGTTTATTTGTAGTATTTGTACATAGTACAAATGTTTACTATTTCAAAAATACAAAATTTAAAACTGTCGATAGCACTATAAATTTAATACCAAAAAATAAAAAAAAAATCAGATAAAAATTATCAGAATTAAAAATCACTTCACAAATAATAAGTCAAAGTTTGACCATTGATCAATGGTTTGACTGTCAAACAAAAATTTGCTGTTTTGAATTCACAATTATTCAGGTATTTCCATGAACTTTTTGGTACCATTATATATAACAACTTGCCATAATAGACAATAGTTACGTAATTCTGTAATTATTAATTACTAAATAGTATTTAATAAATAATCTATAAACAATATTCAATGGTAGTTTATTAAAATATTGTAGGTTAGGATTGTTTCCACTTCTGCAATCAGCTGTTTGTCTGCCGCCATATTGATATCCAAGCCAGACCCAGCACGAAAGCTTTAGCACGTACGGCGGATTGTGCGCTGGAGTCAGATTTTAATGAAAATGAATACTATAAAATACACAAAGCAAGCTTGCACTCCCACTCTAGCACGAGAGTTGATTGAAAATGGGCCTTAAGATGGCGGACGGGCGTGAAAAATGCTTGTCTGATGTATTGTGCCTGCTCGCGATAGGGAAGAGGGTTATAGGAGGTATTATTATTATTAAATAATGTAATCTAATCTAATCTAATCTCTTCACAAGACTAGAGCTCGCCAATAGAGTTCCTTACCGACAAAGGGGTTATACTGTGAGATGTAATATGGAAACTATGCATTTATTATGTACACTGTAGCGGAATATGTTTAGATAGCTATAAAAGGTTTCAATACACTAGACAAAACGGTTTGCATTCAATAATATTCATTTTATAACCTGTTGGATTGTTGGGAGGGGTAAATTGTACTTGTAACATTTTATAAATCTGCTTTATTAACGCTTGGTATGACAAAGTCCAAATAACAACCGCTAAATAAAAACCAATATTCAGCAAACACTTGTAAGGTACACTATGTATTTTCGTAACCCGATTCTTTAAGTATACTGAAATACTTGTTTTGGCATATTCGTGATCGTCTAGTTAATTTACTTACTTTATAAAAATTAGGACTCTACGTTGTGTATTTACTTACATTGATAATAACGTTATTTTGAAATTGGTCAGGTTTAATGAAACACAAGCATTTAATTTTTAAACCCCTGATTTAATTTAAGCAAAGACAAAGGGGTGGCCCGTTGAGTCAAAGCACAGGGAAAAGGGACCATAAAATCCCTGGCGACTTACACAGTTCAAATAAAAATAAAATACTAAACAAAACATAGTTATATGGGTCATAATCACAAAAATACAGTATAAATAATAAGTGAATAAAATAACATAAAAAGCAGATAAACATATTTCATATAATTTGGGTGTTTTTATCAATATTCAAAACATTTTGTACTCAGGTAAAATAGTTATAATAGAGATCGTCATTTTATGACGATGTGTTTTAATATTTGTTTACCTTACCACGCATCTTCGAACTATTGAACGAGGATACGATTTTATAAAAATAAACTACAGTAACGACATATTTCTGATAGAGAGAATTCATATGCTTTAACCAAGTGCAGATATTTAACCGTAGCCAATAACCACACTACGGAACGATTGCATACTCTGCGAAGTGATATAACGACAGCTATGGTGGTCCTATCTCACTAAAGTGTCGCTATATCACAATATGTTCAAATATTCTTACAAAATCAATGTCCAGAACAAGACAAAAGTATTGCGAAAATATACAAACAATTCTGCACACAGAGTTTATAGAGGTAATAACATAAAAACACTATTTTTCTTCTAAGGATAAATCCTTTTGAAATAATGCTTATATATTACCCATGTTCAAATATTCATGTATGAGCACTCTCCAAACGAAAACACAAGTACAAATACAGACACAAATAAAATAAACAATATGCAATAAAATAAAATGGTATAAAATATGAATAAAATACAATAAAATAAATAAATAGGAGAGAGTCATAACAATAAACATCTAAACATGGCCAAAACTCTAACCACCAGAAGTGTCGCGCTGGATAATAATATAAAGAGATTTTTATCATATATAGTAACGTTAAAGTCATTATCAAATATTCCAAATAAAGCGCTAAGATAAGCAGTTTAAATCAAAGTCTCTATCCAGAATCAAATCAAAAGACTAAACGATACTATTACCTTACCATGATATGACCTAATGGCAATATCAAATTTAATAATAATAATAATAGCAATAATAATAATAATAACAATAGCATTTTATAAACCTTACCCAAATAATACCAATATTATAAAAGTAATATAATTGTTAAAAGCTTTAGCCTGAGTACAAATGCAAAGAGTTGAAATAAATAAATACCTTAATACCGAGATGATACACTGAGTTTCATAAACAATAAAATACATTTCAGTTAAATACAAAGTTATACAAAAGGAAACAACACAATCAAAGCCAGTGTAACACAAAATAAAGTCAATACAAAATATTAAAATTTAAGTCAAATGTAATTCAGTGTAAATGTTGAATGCGACAAGGTTTGAACTCAGTGTATGCGGGATACCAAGATATTAAACCAAAATAATGAAATAGTGATACAATAAAAATTATTACCAAAAATCACTCGCTAGTTACACATATTAAAATGATTAGGACCCAATAAACTAGCAATGATAAACGCTATAGACCAAAATGCAAATTAAATAATATTGTTCAAAATTATAAGCAAATTATAAGCAAAAAACGAGGAGTTGTTTATCATTACTAGCAAATTTACAATTTTTAAAAGAGTACATACCTAGTTATAGCAGAAAATCGGTAACAATCACAAAAACTATAACTATATTATAATATATTTCACAAACGGTTTAACAGGAGTATCTTGAAGGGCGAGCAAAAACCCTCTGTGTGTATTCTATTTCTTAAACTAGCTTTTAAACATCTCGGCCACTTAAGCAAGAATGTGTAACATAAACATATCACCCCAATATTTCTACGTTCAGATACAAAGAAGTGAAACTTTAAAACTCAATAGGGTTTTAAAACATAAAATATCTTAAAACTATAATATTATTTTTAGTGGATTATTTAAATTTTCCTTGGTTAAAATAGCGCCAAATTTGAATTTAAAAGTTTATATACTACAGGACCCTTACACACTGCAACACATAAAACGCTAAATACCGTCAACCAATCCTTTGTAAAAACTCCATTGTAAACAAACAATGAATAGAGAAAACCTACAACCATACTTATTGTGTTTTATTACTTAATCTGGTCTCCTCTCATTGGCTACTCCACCTATCTAGAAGCGAACTAAAATAACACAACGTAGGGTCTCCTTTTCTATTTTCTAGACGATCACTTCTTTTGGCCAAACTTGACAACACTGCTTGCGCTGTCAATATTTAAATTTAGTTCGCGCGATTCTTCTAATCGCCTTGGGTTACTGCCGTTTGCATGAGTATGGGGTACCACCCCGTGCCCATCACAAAGCAAAAGCGTAAATTCATGATTTTGGCATAACACGCAAAAAAGATTTATCCCCATTTTTATTTCTACGTTTATCAGGTTACAAAATGGCATTCATTAACCTTTTATAAAAAAATAGATTTTTAATAAAATTAAATAAAATGACGCCTAAAGAATATTTAAAATGTTTAATTTAGGCTTTTTAGTAGTTTTCAATTTTGAACGAAAAACTGGTTAGTTTTTTGATCGGCACTCTTTGAAGATTTAAAAACGACATTTACCAAAATTCTAACTGATTTTTTTGAAATTTGTTAAAAAACCATTTTTTTTAATTATTTGTTTATCTCAAGTCTACCTTTGCCAGAGTACACATTTGTACACCGATTTTTATAATATTGGAGTATATTGTTAACGAGACTTGGAGAATACTCTTTTTATACTGAGCACCAGTGGCGGCTCGTCAGGGTAGGCCTCTGAGGCCGCGCCTCACCCTTAAAATGAAGGAACGAACGACTTTTTGTATTTATATTTTTTTACAAGTGTATTTTTACAACAGTTCTACCCAATAAAAAGTAAAAAACCAATCAATAATATTAAGCGTAAATAAAAATCCAGGCGCAAAGCGCGTCGAGTCGCTTGTTGTATGTATCTTGGCTTGGACAGAGGCGAAATTTTCACAGCCTCGGAAGCTCCCATTTACGCCTTGAAAGCGAAAATGACTCACCAACAAAAATATCGCCGTAAGTTCGCGAATAAACACAGTACATGAGGCGAAGTTAATTTAGCTTGGTTTGTTCTGATTGGTCGTTCGTTTATGGTGGGATGCCAGCGGAGACAAGTTGCCAGTCTTATCTTAGCGCTTGTGGAGTACGTTATTGTTTTGATTCAGATTAAATTATCTTTTATAGTTTTTGTCTCGATTAGTAAAATTTCTTATTTAAGGGAACACACTAAGGTAGATTTAGCAGTTTTTATTAAGCAAATTTTATATTTTGAAATAATAGATTGCATAATTCTTCAATTAGAGACACGGTTTGAAAATTTAGAATTACTTTTAAATCTCACTGCAGACCAACAATTTTACGACCAAATAATAGATAAATTTTCAATCTTAAAAGATAGACGTATAGTATTTTATATTTTTTAATACTTAGGTAGGGGTCGACTTTTTAGTTTTATTTTTATTTTTTGATTAATTTATTTATTTTTAACTTTTTTAAGACTATCTTTTAAGTTTAAGATTAAAACTAGTCTTTGATGTGATATTTTGTTTGTTTTGTTTCTTAGAGTTTATTTTTTGGTTTAGTAGTGCTATCGGCTCCATTTTAAAAAAGGTCAACGCGTCGGAGAATAATACCTCCCGGGTGACGTGGAAATTTATTCGTATTTAGACAAAATTAACCTTATGTAGCCTCACCCTCCTGTACACCCACGAGCCGCCACTGCTGAGCACATCATTAGATTTATACAGGGTTAGCCAAAAATCATTTTTTTATATAGTAAAAAGCATAATGCACAAAAAAGATTTATCTCTAAAAAATGTTATTTTATTTAATTTTATTCAAAATCAATTTTTCTTATAAAGTCTTGATAAGAATCCCATTTTGTAGCCTGCTAAACATAAAAATATCTAAAAAAAACATGGTATATACCTTTTTGCGTGTTCTGCCAAAATCATGAATTTACGCTTTTGCTTTATTAAAAGAAGCGATTTTTGGCTAACCCTGTATATATTAAATGATGTGCATAGTATAAAAAAGTATTCTCTAAATCTCCTTAACAATATACTCCAATATTATAAAAATCGGTGTACAAATGTGTACTCTGTCAAAAGTAGACTTTAAGATAAACAAAAATTAAAAAAAAATTATGAATTTTCAAAAAATTTCGAAAAGAGGAGCAGCTAGAATTTTGGTAAATATCATTTTTAAGTCACCAAAGGGTCCCAAACAAGAAACTGCTATCAGTTTTTGGCGGCATTTTTATGTGACTTGAAACTTCGTTCAGGCACACCATGATAAGTACCTATTTTAGGTTGCAAATGACAAAACACTGAAAAATAAAAAGGACAAGGACAGGAGATTGAAGAAAAAAACTCAGAACAACACGAAAAAGTTCCTTGAAGAGTATAAAACGGCCGCGATTAAGCAGGCAAGGGAAAAGGAAAAGTTGAAAATAACTCACGACAAACAGTTGGAGATGTTATCGCACGACATTCAAAAATTAATTGACATGTACAAAAACGGAGAGTTAGAGTATGAATTAAGCGGCAAAAATGAATTTTACGCTTGAGGGACCAAATTTGACTGTTTTGTTGGAATTTATTATTAAATTTTGTACCAAATTTATTCAGTATTTTATCTACTTGCATAGTTACTGTAACTGTAACTGTTACACTTTTTTTTAAATTAATTTTACATGGAGATTTAACGGTTAAAAAAAAAGAAAAGAAACTATTGGAAAAATTTAAAAATTAAAATAAAAACCGACCATGAAAATTTATTAATGTTATGTGATAAAATAATGAAAATTATGAATATTTTTTTGCATTTTAATAAAAAACAATAAATTGATTTTATCAGGGATTTACCAATTAAAACAAATTTTTATAGTTTATTACATTTTTTACAATTCTTAGGGAAATTTTAAATCAAATATTTATTCCACATAAAAAGTATGATTTTGATGAAGTAATTTAAAAAAATGGAGGTAATTGGTGCGTTCTTTTCGCCTGAGATCTCAGTTAATCTCAGCTCACATCGGTAAATTTTGCAAATGTGCGCGTTCTTTTTGCTTCACTCACCATAAAGTGAGCTGAGATTTTTCCTCCCCCCTCACCGATACTGCACATGCTGTGCGGGGGAATCAGTTTGAATTAAGTCGGAAATAAAGTGGAGGGGATAATTAAATTATTGATTTGTTAAGATTTTAAATAACATAACCTAATCTTATTTAGGTGATTTTTTACAATAAAACTTAAATGTTGTAAATTAGCTATTAACTTAATATAATAAATATAATTCGAAAAAAATTGTTTTTCAGAAGTAGAAAACCACTTTTTACAATAAAATTAAACAAAACATGTCAAAGTGAAGTTTTTTTATAAATTTTTATTTTGTCATAAAATTAATATTCTTATCAAAAAATTGTTGTTTTTGTTTGTCATCCAATTATGGAAAGAATAAGTATTATAGATCGGGAAACGCTTTAATTTGTCCACTGAAGATGCACAAAGGGTGCAGAAAGGTATTATCGATAAAGTCTGATTTATAGATTGCCTTCCTTCCTTCCTTTCTCCCGTAAAAGATGAACAATACGAAAATCGTAGTGCCATTTATAGATTTCTGTACGGATCTATTTATTAGGCTTAATTCAACGCAAATTTAAACTTGGAAAAACACGAAATTTAAACCATAAGGAATCCTTATGGTTTAAATTTCGTGTTTTTCCTTATTAAGGATATGACACAGAACATAATTATATCAGAGATAGGTTATGTATGCACCGTCATATTGAGCGTTTTAATTGAGTGTGTCGTTCTTTTTGATGCTTACTCAGATCACTACATCTCATATCACATTAACTAAAGTGAGCTGAGATCTCAGGCGAAAAGAACGCACCTAATGTCAAACATTACACAATTGTCCTACTTATTGAAAAAATAGTTCTATACAAACATATTTAAAAAAATTGCTGTATTTTTTGACATTACATTCTAAAAAATAGTAGTCAATTTTCATAGTAAAATTGATTAATATTTTATGTAGAATACATGGTAAGAAAAAATATAACTTAAGAATCACCCTGTATAATGCTTGTTAGCTGAATACGTAAAATGCTTTAATATTTTGGAATTGATTGTTTTTCCTAGAAGTCAGTTTTGCAGGTTTAAATGTTTATTGTAATGTTATACTTTATATATGTTTATATATGGATGTTGTAAAATTAATACTATAACGGTATCTAATGTTTAAATTTCAGATTTTAACAAAGTTTAGGCCTAGTCCAAAATCCTATTAGATTTAACGTTATTGTATAGATCTGTTATTATTTATTTAATATTAATTATGTTGTAAATCTGGTGAAATAAAAAGTATTTAAAATATACTCACTGTTTTTTCTTTCAAACAAATTCAAAACAACACCTAGTTAATTTTTGACAAATTTAATAATGTCAAAGTAGTTCAAACGTACCCACAGCTGCCAACCAATTAAACTTAAAATATATGGACTTATTCAACCCGTGGACACTTATTTGTAATTGTGGTTGCATAAATATTAAAAAATATAAGGAGTTCTGCAACCCGTCGACAGTTATTTGTAACATTGGTTGCACAAACGGTGAAATTTTCAGTGCTGCCAATTGTGGGTATTTTACCCGAAAAGCGGGTAATTTTATACAGCGTGCGGGTAAAAGTTTGAAGCGGGTAAAACCGGGTATTTTTCGGAAAATTTTAGTAAAACAACCTTAAATAAAGAAATATAGAAACAAAGAATTGATTTTATGCAATTCAACATACGGCAGCCAACTCAAAGGTCATTCACCGGTGCCAGACATGCGGCATTCGGCGAGTACAGAGCGACTGCTCGCCGAATGCCGTGTAGTGTGGACGTGTTCGTCCACATCCACATCTGTGGTTTCGTCGCTACTTGCCGATGACAAATTTTGCTGTTTGGTGAATTTTCAGTGACCTAAAAAATATTAAGACCGATCATAGAAATTCGTTAGACACTACAACGTTAACGTTGTAGTCAATTGCCGTCTTTAATATCTACAAAACAAGGCATTAAAGACATGGGACCTTGCCTTAAATTTGGAAGTCAGGAAATCAATGCTAAAATTTGGAAAACAAGTCAACAGTGAACCAGCCAGAAGAAATGCATATTAATTCTCGCATTGAACATCTTTAAACACCATATTAACAGTCCTTTAAATAATCCAAAATACTTTTTTATTTTGGTCAAAATAAATTTTTTTAACCTTAAAATTACAAAATTAGATGATATTTTTGTTATACACAGTGACTAGAGGCAAGCTAACATACCGCGATTGAAAATATTAAAGGCACGTTAGTTACGTCATAATTATAATCCGTTTTTGTTCCCCGACCATTTAATATTTGACATCAAGCTAGATAGCTTATATGGTAGGGCGTTCGTTTGGCATGTGAGAGGTCCCGGGTTCGATACTAAGAAGCTGTCGAATTTTTTTTATTATTTTATTTCATAAATTTGTTGTTTCTTTGTTAAACAGTGTTCGGTTGGGTTGGGTTGGTTGATTTGTTTTAGTTTTATCGTAACATAAAATCTACTGTCTGTCCACTCTAAGTTGGCTGAACTAAGGAATTTTGTTGTTTAGATATTAAAGAATTGTCGTACTGTGTGCTTTTAAAACAGATTTTATATTATAAATAATACTAGTATATAATATGTACTAGTATTATTTATAATATAAAATCTGTTTTAAAAGCACACAGTACGACAATTCTTTAATATCTAAACTACAAAATTCCTTAGTTCCGCCAACTTAGAGTAGACAGTTGTATAATCTCAGATTTAATCTTAAGGCTGGGAATTTGTTAGTTTTTGGAATTCGAATCCTCGTTTAAAAATTATTTGAAATACTCGAATTATTCGAATATTCGAATTATTCGAGTATTCGAATTATTCGAATATTCGAGTATTCGAATTATTCGAATATTCGAATATTCGTGTTCTAGTAAATTCGAATAATTCGAATATGCATGTCTTTATAATCTGTGATTCATGTCCTCGTACATTCGAATAATTTGAATATAGAGTACATTTTTAAATATTCAAATAATCGAATTTTTAAATACTCGAATATTAAAATATTTCAATTAATCAAAACTATCTTTGCTTTGCTTATTGTTGATGACATATGGGGGGTGGGGGTCTAGATGGTGATTACGTCAGCAGTAGTTATTTACTTTTTTACACATATGGCAACCCACACATTGTCTATGCTTGAAATTAGTAATTACTGATTACTTTTTGCTACTGTCCAAAACGAAGCGACTACATATATCGCTTTTTTCGAATTTGGTTATTTTTGGAATTTTCAAAATTCAAAAGCCATCTAATTTTTGATGAGAGCTGTTAATTTTTTTTAATAAAAATGACAAATTAACATATTCGAAAAAAGTTTTTTTTGCACCACCCTTATATATACTAATTTAAAGTGTTTTAATATTCGAGTATTCAAATATGCGAGTATTCGAATAATATTCGACGAATATTCGAGTATTCAAATATGCCAGTATTCGAATATTCGAGTATTCGAATATTCAAATATTCGAATATTTGAATATTCGAGTATTCGAATAATTTATAATCGATTTCCACCCCTATTCGAATACTCGAATATTCGAATATTCGAATTATTCGTAATCGATTCCCAGCCTTAATAATCTGTGGACAGACAGTACTAGAAGTTGTCGAACTTTTTTTATTTCATAAATTTGTTGTTCCTTTGTTAAAAAGTGTTTTATTTTTATCGTAACATAAATTTGCCCATTATAGTTAGGTTTTTTGTTCAATGGGGCGGGGGGGGGCAATGGGGCGGGGTCGGTTGGGTTGTGTTGTTGAGTTTGGGATGGTTTGAGTTTATGACGTAACTAACGTGCCTTTAACATTTCAAATCGCGGCACGTTAACGTGCCTCTAGTCACAGCGTTTGTTATATATTAACCTACCTTTAATACAGATATTCTTATTCTAGATTAAGCTAGATTTTTTTAAATAAGTAAATGCAGTTTTGTTAAAATTATTTTATAGAGAAAACCAGATATTTGGACCAAATGCACAAAAATATTAAATATTTGGCACCATACACTTTAGAATTTCATTAAATGCAGTATTTATATTCTTAAATTCTTAAACCATCCATTGTTATTGTAATGTTATAAAGATTTATACATTTTTAACGCCTAAACATAATATTAGTCGTTTTTTCGCGTAAATACCATGAAATACTATGGGCCGGTTTTTCAATCGTTGGTTAAGTTTATCTTACGGTTAACTTTCTTAGATACTATTGTGTTAACAATAGTATCTAAGGAAATTAACGGTAAGATAAACTTAACCAACGATTGAAAAACCGGCCCTATGGTTATTAAACTTAACCTTGGTTAATAGTTAAGTAATTTTTGCGTTTAGAGTGCGTTCAAAAATTCTAACTATGCCGTCACAAATACCAGACCATAAAACCATTGAGTAAAGTTCTTTACTCAATGATAAAACTATATCGCTGAGCTAGTTATTCAACGTGGT